GTTACTATAATGCGCGCTACTAGCCTATAAGCTTTATAGTAAAAAAGCTAGTAAGCTTTTCTATAAAAAACCTTTGCTTAAAAAATAAGAAGTTAGCACTAAGACGTATTAAGCCCTTTAGAATTCTTAAGACTATAGGCAGATAAGCATATTAACTAATACTGCTAAAATAATATAGCTAACTATATAACGTTTTTTAGTCTTACTATTAAAGCACTAAAAGAGTAGAGTAGGCGTAGAATAAGCGCCTTTAACAATGCTAGCATTAAAAGACTTAAATAACAAATAGAAAGTAAAAGTAGTCTTAAACAAAAGACGCAAGGCTAGCTAAACTAAATACTTAGTACGTTAGATAGGCTAGCTAACAAAATATAACTAGTAGGTGCTAAAAAAAGATATAGAAAATGCGTACGCAGCAATTAAGCAGTATGCGCATAGTAAGCGCGTAAAGACGAAAACATATAAGTAAGAGCTTAAATTAATTTAACTAGCTAAAAGGCCTTATAAAAGACTATCTAAAACTATCTAAAAAGCTCTTAAAGCAATGCTATACTAGCCGCTACCTTAGTATAAGCCTTATTTATAATATACGCCCTTACTACTACCTTAAAAAAGGTATTAAAGGCTATAGTAAGAGCAGCATAACTAGTGTTACTAAGCATTAAGCGTAGTAGCTAAAAGAGCTATTAAACGGTTAAAGTAGCAAGCCTAGGCGGTTAAGATAAAGAGGGCGTATATAGTAATAGCAGGTGTATTTAGGCTAATAAAGTCTGCTAAGCCTTTACCTAGCAGGCTACCTCTTAAGCCTTCTCCTAGGCCTTAATGCCTTAGCAAAGATTAAGCTTTGCTTATATAACGTTAGCAGCTAATAACACTCTTAGCAACGTAGGCCGCTACTACTTATCTACCTATGATAAGGTAGTAATAAAAGCACTTATAGCATACGTAAGTGCTGTGCGCACTATAGGCAAACCCTAGCTATAAAGCTTTTTATTAAGGCTACATAGCACTATTTTAAAGTTAGCCTAGTTGCTAACTATTAGCGGGAAAACCTGTATCTTATTAGCTATTAAAGCCGCCTATAGCCACTAAAGAGGACTTACCCCGCAACACTTATACTTGCTAGCATAGCAGCCGTCGTAGCGCCTAGCGCTAGCAACGCTATAAATATACAGCACGGCCGTAAACCTAGGCAACTCTATAGAGAGAGTTGTTAAAAAGCGGTGCAAGCACTATACGCACAACAAGCTATCTAAGGCAACCTAGGGGTAAACTAGTAGCGTAGCCGCTACTAACCCTAAGAGCGCTAGACTAGCAAGGGCAGCTCTTACACCTTAACGGGCTACTAAAGGCCTAACTAAGGGCACGGCGCGCGCCGCAGTCTACGCAAAACGACGAACTAGGCTAGCGTAAGCCCCGCGCGCACGTTACGCGCGGCTAGAACTAGCACCTTGGCTAGAGGGCAAAGGGTGTTAAGGAGCAAAGGCTAGGGCTATAGCAGGTACTAAAGCGCTAAAAGCGCTTACCGTAGGCATAGGAGCGTTAGAATTAGGAGCAGCTATATTACTGCTAAAAGACAAATTTATTATTTCTAGAAGAAGTAACTAAATGCTAGACCCTACGATAATCTAATTTAACTATAGGACTAACCTCCTAAATAAAGGGAACTAAAGGCGCCTTAAGTCGCCTTTAACAGCAATCTTAGCAAGCATAAAAGGGCCGCCGCAAACGGACAAGCACTACTACCACTAGGAACAAAGGCTGCAAGCCTTTCGTTAAGACCTGCCTTAAGGGAGTCAGGCATAGGAGGGGAGCAATTGTAACGCCGCCCTAGGAAGGGGACCAACGCAGGCCACGTGCAAGCCGTACGCAGTACGCGCACAGCGTATTAGATGCACATCGTGGACTAGAAGCGGTGCTTGTGGCGCAGGCTGCGTGGCGCAGTCTGCGCACAGGCCACAGCACGTGCTAGCGCACGGGCCAAGTAGAAACGGGGTCGCGCCTGCCCTGCGCACTTGGTGCGCTAGAGGTGCGCCTACGATAAAGAGCGCCTCCCGCACTCCCTTAGAGTGCAGGAGGCAAGAATTAGCTATTGAATATACGGCTGCTTCCTTTTGTTAGAAAGATACCTCCTTGCCTGCCTAACTTACCTGGCCTACCTAAGTACACCTTTAATAATTAATAAAATTCTTTAACCTTTTAGTTAATTAATATTAACTTACTTTTTGCTTAATAGCTATAAACTTTAAAGCTAAATTTATACCTTTATCTTGCCTTTATGTAAGTATTTTTTAATAATAGTAAAGTATTTTATATTCTTATAATATTTAAAAATACTAAAGCAAAAGACTATAGTATTAAAAGCTAATATTAACCTATACTAGTAGCTAGTAATAAATTTAGTATAATATCTTTCTTTTAAATATAGCTATTACTTACTTAGTATACTAATAATTTTATAAGCAATTAACAACCTTATGTTTTATATTTAAAAGCTAAATATTAATTTAATTAACTAAAAAAGACTGCCTTAAAACAAACTTTTTAATTAAAACAAAGTTAGCGTTTTCCCTTTATTTTTATAACTAAGTATACTATAACATTCTTAAACTAATACTTAGCTTACTTAGTTACGTTAAAATAATATACAGCTAACTTTAACCTCTCTTTACTATAAATTATTAGCATTTAAATATAAGCTAAGCTTAATAAATATAAATAAAAAAGACGCTTATATTAAGTAGTTATATAAAAAGCAATAGCGCTAAAAGTGGTAAAAGAAGTAGTAGCGTAAAAAGTAGTAGAAAAAGTAGTAGTATAAAAAGCAGCAAAAAGCGCTTATAGCAGCGCCTAAGGTAGCGCTTAATAAAGAAAAAGTAAAAGAAGCTATATAAAGAAAGAGAGTAGTAAAGGCAATATTAAAGAAGAAGAGAGGTTACTAAAGGCAACTATATAAAGTTAAAGTGCCTATTAACTAGCAGCTTAAGCTTATAATATAATTAGTTATATTTAAATTTTATTATAAGTTTATATTTATAGTAATAGTTTAAAAGAAAAGAATAATTCTAAATACTTTTTCTTTTGTTTTACCTTTTATTAACTAGGCAATAGTCTCTCTTTTAATTAGCTAAAGCTTATATTTATTATAGGCCTATTCTATAGTAACGATTAAGGGGGGGGCGATATTTTGTTACTCTAATGTTTTCTTCACCTAGTTAACTAGACAACGGTGCGATAATAGTATTAGCTAAAACTGAAATTATATTATGGGTCCTTGGCGGTGAAAGAAAGGACCCACCGTAGACCCACCCTATGTACCACATCTCTTATTAGTGGATTACGGTGCAGATAGCCAAATTTTACGGTGCAAATAGCAACTCTCTTTAAAAGTTGATAAAAGAATATGCCGACGCTCGCTCTGTTGATGCTTACTAATAAGAGACATCGATACGAGAACGTGTGAAAAATTGTTGCAGAAGTATCTTACGTCGTATAGAGTACTTGTACTCTGTATATAGGATACTGAGTATGAAAAACTCCTAATATACTCCTTATTAAGTGTTACTCTTTCCGCCGTCTGCATTTGCTAAGATACTGTGAAGGTTAAGGGAGGCTATACGTAGCGGTCATATAACGTGATGCACTGTGAGGAGCAGGAGGCTGAATAGGGTCTAGTGTGGGCGAAAGAGTGTTGTGTACTTAGGAAGAAATAGATACATCGCGACCCTTCTGGGGATCCGTATTAATACTAGTGTCAGGCCCCGCTTTTGTGCCTTCTGACCAATTACAGGCCAGTACGGCCAAGTGGGGCGGAAGGGCCACAGTGTGGCGGATTCCAATGCTTGACAGATACATACTCCTAAGGTATCTTATCTTATAATTTGGCTCTTTAAGTTATTTGTAAGATACTCTGTACGGAGTGCTAAACAAGTATAGAATGCATACTGCAGTACTCCGTACTTCGTAATAAGATACTATGTAGTAAAACTATGCCCAGATTACCATCGGCAAGGGGTACTCCGTATCTTACGTAAGATACGGAGTACAGTCGCATCACCCATTTTTTCATTAGCTTTTCACGCTTTTCGGTTCTATCTACTCCGTAGCTCGGGTATACATAAACAGGCCGCGGCAAAACGGAGGGCTCCTCGTTCTCTCGTATCTTATAGTAAGCATGTATTCGACTGTACTCCGTGTTCGTTTAATTTACATACGGTGTATTTTAAAAGCTACGGAGAACAGAGTAAGATAAGATACAAACTACTCCTTCCGTTCCCCTTATTTGTTGATGCCGTATATTGTCAAGCGCGTAGTCCTAGTAGCCGGGTTTTTTCGCGTCGTGGCTGATACTCCCATACTCTGTATTATATAGCGCTGAAAGTTTGGAAGAGCGTGTCCTTTCCCCGCCCCTTCCTCCGTGCTACTCCGTACAGGCAACCTACTCGTACTCCCCGTCAATTCATAGTCTTTTTACGACGGCGTACGGAGTACTCCGTAGCATTAGCGGTATTCTTTTTATTTTCTTTTTTCTCTCTGTTATTCCCTCTTTCTCTCTAAGTAAGATAATAATATGCCTACAAGGTGCACGGAGTACAGAGTACGGGGGTATACTACTCCGTATCGTACATATATTCTAAATTTGGGTCGTCCCAGTTAGCTATTGGCGGACGACTAAGCACCCATTACTTACCTGACCGCCCCGGCACCAAAAAAACGACTTCTTATCGGCCAGAGCACTTTTCTTCCACACAACACACCAAACCCACACGCAGCCCCATACCCTGACACAGCCGCGACCAGACGCGACTCCTCCCATCGCGACACCCTCTGCCGTGTCACTTCCCATCTCGATCATATCAGATATTGTTGTTGTGAATGACGTCGCGCTTATCCTTGTGATTGCTGACCCCATCATAAGCCGTTTGCAGGCAGATGGGTCCTTTGGCGACTACTCTTAGCCTCAGACCTCAAGTTTTTTCGTCAGCTGCCTTCTAATCGCCATGAGCTCTTGGTTGAATGAAGCTGCCGTCCAGAATCACAATGGCAACGGCTTCCCTCATATCAACGACCCAAATGCATCCGTTGGTGGGATTATGGATCCGTCGGCCTTTGTGGCCAACGCCGCACAGTTCAACCCGGCCTCGGCGAACCAGTTCACGAACTCCCAGCAGATGATGGCATTACAGAATGGCGCCATGCGCCATGCTTCACCGTCGTCTTTCTCGAACCCCATGTACCAGACAAATTCTGTTGTTCCATCCAAACGGCCTCGTCCACGGGAGGATGGTGTTGGCGCATCGCCGCGACAAAATGCCGGCATGTTACCAACTTCACGCGCTGAGACACCCCAGCAGGCACATTTTCCAGCCTACACTCCAGGCTCTCATCCGCAACAAAACACTCCTCAATCTTTTCAGCACTTGCCGCCCAATGGCTCTGCGAATGCCAGTCCGTCTCCGATTATGGGAAATCAGATTCGCTCTGGGAGTGTTCCTCAGCGGGTTTCGACCACTTCACCACATCCCTTTTCCCCTGCCTCTCAAAATTTTGTTCCTCAAGCATCTCCCGTCCCATCAGAGGCGGCGCCTCAGCCAAACGCATACGGAACACCATCCTTCGCCCCTGTTTTCAATTCGAACTTCGCATCACAGCCATCTGCTGGCCGACCCTCGCCGAACCTACAAGCGGTGAGTAGCCCTGCAATGCCGACGCAATTGAACCAAATGCCTCAGCAGATGGGACAATTGTCAGCAATGGGTGCAATGGGATCTTCTGGGATGATGGCACATATGAGCCCGATGCACCAAATGAATCATGTAAATGCTATGAGCCAGCTTGGACATGCCGCAAACCAAATGCTCACTCCGCAGATGCAACAACAGCTAGCCCAGACACGAAACCCGCTGGAACAGCAGAAACTTCTATACCAAATGCAAGTCCAACGGCATTTACATCAGGGGAACATGCAAGCGGGGCCGCAAATGCAAGGCCAGAACATACCAACACAACAGAGGAATATGCTTGTCAGACAGTCCGGTACATCCAACGGGCAGCTACCGCCTGGTACTTCAGGCGGTGTAAAGCACTCTCAGCAACCAACAACGCCATTGCAGCAGAACGCACCGAGGTCTGGTCCGGACCAATTCCTGTCACAATTGTCGTTGTTCATGAGTCGGAGGAACATGCCATTGGAGATGAACCCGTCTGTTGGAGACCGGCCTTTGAATTTAATGGTCTTATTTCAAGCCGTGCAAAAGTTTAATGGATATCGGCACGTATCCCAGACTAACGCGTGGCCACAAGTCTGTATCTCCATCGGCCTGCAAGTACAGACGCCTTCAGTCCTAGCTCAGGTCAAGTCCATCTATGATCGCAATCTTCTAAAGTTTGAGGAGTTTTGGGTCCAAACCCGTTCCAAAGCAATACAACAGCAGCAGCCTCTCGGTCAGGCTCAGCCGCAGCCACAGCAACAGCAACAGCAACAGCAACAGCAACAGCAACAGCAACAGCAACAGCAACAGCAACAGCAACAGCAACAGCAACAGCAACAGCAACAGCAACAGCAACAGCAACAGCAACAGCAACAGCAACAGCAACAGCAACAGCAACAGCAACAGCAACAGCAACAGCAACAGCAACAGCAACAGCAACAGCAACAGCAACAGCAACAGCAACAGCAACAGCAACAGCAACAGCAACAGCAACAGCAACAGCAACAGCAACAGCAACAGCAACAGCAACAGCAACAGCAACAGCAACAGCAACAGCAGCAGCAGCAACAGCAGCAGCAACAGCAACAGCAACAGCAACAGCCACAGCCACAGCCACAGCCACAGCCACAGCCACAGCCACAGCTACAGCTACAACAACAAGAGCAATCTCCGTACATACAGCACTCACTGCTTCAGCAGCAGTCACAGCCGGGACAACAGGACCCCGCCGGAACCAGTGCCGTACCAGGAACCCCGAATTCCGCCGGTCATCCGCATTTGCTTTCTGGCCAAATAAGCGGCCAAGGATCCGTCACACAGCGAGTCCCGCCAGGACAGCTCGTGCCTGCGAAGCAGCCACCACCTAATGGACAACAGCCAAACGTGACGGGGGTTTCAAACCAGCACATGGCTTTCAGCCATCTCCAATCAAACTCCAGTCGGAGCACCTTGAAGAACGGCACACCACAGAGCGTACAAGGCACTCCGACGCTTGAAGAATTTTCTGTTCATGCCTCACCTCAGAGCAAAATGGGTATATTTCCGTCCACACGGGTCACACATACAGGGGTCCGCAGCTCAGCAGACGCTCCTGTCAACTCGAAACAGGTCACACTTTGTGACTCTGACGAATATAAGCCATGCAGCCGAGAGAGCCACACGTATGGGGGGATTGATGTCAACGCCCCAGGCAAGATTGTAGCAGAGATTTTACGGTTTAGGCCGGATGTTCCCATCCCTCAAGATCTCGGGAACATTGACATACATGCGTTGACCAAGAGCATTCAGTCTGGCATACACGGCGAAGTCCGATTAGCTTTGGACACGTTGGCAATGATCACCGTGTCAGGACAGCCCGGCCTGGATATTGAGCTTGATAAATGCGATGACTTGCTTGATAGTCTCGTTGATTATGCAGAGGATCTTGTCGAAATACTCGCAGAGAGTTCGCCTGAGGTTTCAGATGAGATTCTGATTCCGCCGTACGAGGATATTGCTAGGGCTTGCCAGGTGGAGAGGTTGGCTGTCCGAAGTCTACCAGAGGCTGGTTCCGAGCCGGAAGACTTGGACAGAGTGGTTGATTATCTACTCTGCATTACGGTCATCCTTCGGAATTTGTCGTTCAATCCGCGGAATCAGCAAGACCTCGCCGACGATTCAGCTGTCAGATTTCTTTGCCAGGTCATACGTTATGTCGGCACGCGGAATATGCTTCTTCGTACACAGCTGAACACGCTGGACTTTCTAAAGGACGTCATTGTTTTGCTCTCCAATATCTCTGGCTCTGTGGAAATCTCTGATCGCGACCAAGCAGTGTGTCTTCTTCAGTTCCTCTTGGCATTCGCACCAACCCCATCCCCAAGTCTTTCACATCCACACATATTCTTTCCAACTTTTCAACCTACTGTGCAACCATATCTCCCTCCAGCCGTGGACGCTCTTGCGAAATTGCTGGCAAGAGACGAGCCGAATCGAACCCATTTTCGCAATGTTTTCGCTACCGATGTCATCAGCCCGGCGTCTAGTGATCTTCTCACTCGAACCTTCAGTCTTGCAATATCACCAATTCCAGACCATGTCAGGGAGGCTCGACCACGACATTTGCCTACGATAATTGAGGCTCGAAAGCCTATTGTTATGCAGGGTCTTCTTGCCGCAGACATTGTGGCATCACTGGCCCCTGGGTATGAAAGCGGAGTTACCAGGGCTTGGCTCACAGCGGATAACGGCTTTGCACAGAATTTGCACCGTTCTATTCGCGACCTTTGTCACCAGTATGAGAGTATGGAACTACATGCTCGGAATTACAGGCTTCGTGATCCGCCGAGAAAAGATGCAGAGTTGATGTATATTGTGGTGTTGGCTATATCTTTGCTCCGCAAACTAAGCGACAAGGCGCTCGATCCAAACGATTCTAAATCGTCTCTACCGCCTAGCGTATGGCCATCTGACGAGGGCCTCCTTGACGCCTTGGGTATGGTCAGTGGGGAGTGGAGTCGAGATGGCTTTTTGCAGAATCTGGTTGCATTTGCATCCTCTGGGGAGTAAAAGAAAAAGAATCGTGGTTTGGTGCATGCAGTAGCGCCTTCCTTTCCATTGCACCACGTTTTGCTTTTTGTATTTTATCTATGTGAAAAGAAAAGAAAAAAAGTTCTAAGCGCTTCCATAGTTTCCCTGCATGTTTGACACAACAAGTGCGTTGTAACCATTTTTTGTCTCGATAAGTTTTGAAAAACAAATATTGCTGTGCCTGTAACGGCGTGGATAGTGGTCGGCCGGAAAATATTGGCACTTGGGGTTTTCTTTTGTTGGCTTGCCCCGCTGTCCGGGCTGCTAGGAACATATCGTGTCGATGCCATACGAAGTATTGTGTGTGTGGTAGACGGCTTTCTACGTTGTTTTATTGATGAGCTGGTTCATATAGAGGATAGAATATACCTTCCCTAAGCCTGGTAGATGTCGCTAGCAATAACCTATCCTAGCAGAACTAACTCTTTATTCGTATTTTGGTACTTCTAGAGGCATGGAACGGAGGCTTCAAAAATTTCTTACATGGTTTTGTCGTCAGTATATTTAGTGTGCTGTTTTGAATTTAAAACCCTTTGTGCTCTAACCACCCAGTAACCCTGTCCTTGTGTAATCCCTTGACCTGTCAGCAAGTAGCCCATGCGTGGCCGTTACACCCTTATGCAGTTTCTCACCTTGATAATAACGTCGTTTGTCCGGGGATTTATTTTTGTTTCCAGGCTCAGCTCATCTCGCAGCTGTTGCGCTAATGTACGTGCATCACCCTCTACCTTCTTAACCTCTGTTGTGCGATTCGTCCCTCCGGATTTTATGCGATGGTACACGGCCAGATTTTGGCTTGAGCTGCGGCCGACACAATATGGTAAAAAACCAGCCGTGCGAAGAGAACCGGATGACAGGAGGGTTCTTGGCTCGGTCACATTCGCGCTAGTCGTTGCCGTCGACAGTGTCCTGTGAAATTCAATGAAGTAGTCGCGCACGAAGCCCGAGGCAGCCCTCGACTTTTGATATATTGGCAAGCGTTGCATTTTTTGACCGAGCTCTAATAGTATCTTCGAGGTTGGGTGCTTTCTCGAGACATTTGTTGAGGATGGTATATTCAAGGTGCTATTTTAGCGTATTGACCGCTCGGCAGAAAACCGCGGTCTGCTCCAATCCACGGATAAACGTAACCCCGAACATCACACACTCTCTGTGAATTTTCGACACTTTTTTTTCCTCGTTGGCATCATAGCCCCCGCCCTGAAGAACGCAGACACGCACCGTGGAGATAACAAGTGGTACGCACCCACGGTCACGCTTCGCTGTCGTTTCAACCTTACCACATCCATACATAACCATGGCGACACAAACGAACACTGTCGGAGCTATGGCTGTCTCTGAGTTCGATCTCTTGCCGCAGCTCGTTCTCCGCCTCGACAGACACCTCATCTTCCCACTACTGGAGTTTTCCGCAGCGCAGCTAGAGGACGAGAATGGGAGCAGTAAAGACGAGAATAAATCGCGTGAGATAACGAAGGCGAAATATGAGCTGTTAAAGAAAACTAGCATGACGGATTACGTTGCCAATCTATACTGCGAGATCGAGGATCTGGATACGCCACCCGCCGAATTTACCGAGTCTCGGAAGAAAGTGCTCGGAAAACTTGAGCAGTTCGAGGATGATACGAGCAAGCTGCGGGACCTTTTGGGGAATGAAGATGTCGTAGGCAATTTGCGCAGCGACAAAGTGGCCAACTTGGAATTTCTGAAGAAGGAGCATGATGTCAGTACACCCCTCCTCGTTCTTACCTAAGATTCCATTGGGAAGGGCTTGCCCCCCTCTCCTCTCTCCAAACTTTTCGAATGAACGGGGATACCGTCACTCGTACAACGTGTCGTGAAGTCTGTTGCGGTAAAATATAGAGCTTGTTCTGATTCTCAGACAAATAGGTCACGATCGAGATGGTTAATGCGCTCTACGACTTCGGCAACTTTCAATACAGCTGTGGCAACTATGGGGCGGCAGCAGAGCTGCTATACCAGTTCCGTGTCTTGTCGACAGATAACGAAAAGGTGGCGGCGGCCACATGGGGCAAGTTAGCTTCAGAGATCCTAACGACGAACTGGGAGTCGGCCATGGAGGAACTCCAGAAGGTTAAAGAAAACATTGACACGAAGCTATTCAACAACCCGCTGGCGCAGTTGCAGCAGCGTACATGGCTTGCCCACTGGGCGCTCTTTCCGCTCTTCAACTACGAAGGGTCGCGCGAAAGCGTATTGGAACTGCTGTTCTCGCCGAACTACATCAATACTATCCAGACCTCGTGTCCGTGGATTCTTCGCTATGTAGCGGCCTCTGTCATTGCGGGCCGTGGACGCGTTAAGAACTTGGGCCTACAGCAAAAGCAACTCAAGGACATCGTGCGTGTGGTCCGTCAGGAGGCGTATGAATACACGGACCCAGTCACCGACTTTGTCCGCGCTCTTTTTGTCGACTTCGATTTCGAGGAAGCCCAGCGCCAGCTTCCTCGCGTGGAGACGGTTCTGCGCGCCGACTTTTTCCTTGCTGGCGCGGCAGATGAGTTCATCGATGCCGCCCGGCACCTTTTCTTTGAGTCCTACTGCAAGATTCATGCGCGCATTGATCTAAAGCGTGTAAGCGCACAGCTTGGCCTCAACGTGGATGACGGCGAGAAGTGGATTGTCAACCTTATCCGGGACACGCGACTGGATGCCAAGATTGACTTCCAAGAGGGCACGGTTATAATGAACCACCCAAACAGCTCCGTATACCAGCAGGTGATAGAGCGGACAAAGGGCGGCTTTTTCCGCACACAGGTGCTGAGTGCGGCTGTCACAAGGTGAAGGTTCGAATCAAAAGGGGGCGTTTCTATGTATCGGGCGTTTTAGGTTTTCTTCTCTTGTCTTGTATAATGCGAGGATGTGGGTGGTGGCTTGAGGCGGCCCCGAATACATGGCCTTGCAGAGCACGGGATAACCTCTAGAAACGAGCTGGACATGCGGAAGGAAATACATAAGGCAGCGTGGAGGGAGAGAACAGGGGAGACGGGTGATGTTTCGTCAGCTATTCAGTACACATGCGAAGCTGCACACGCAATTTGGCAAAACTCTTTTCATAAAATCAGCTTGCCATGTCTCAACCTAGAGAGGCTTGGCTATTCGTTCCTTCTGGCCAGCAATCCAGGCCTTGCCCTTCAGAGTGTCAATGATGCTATCGTCCATCCACCAGTCAACAGCAGCTGAGCTGGTCGACCATGGCAGTTGTCCTTCATGTTGCAAGTCAGCGGGAACTTCCATTTCTGTGCCTTTGTCTCTGTTCTCTACAGCGCTGCCAGCTCCCTCATCGCACTGTCGCAGGCTGTCTCGCAGGCTTGCCCAGTCGAAAAGGAGACGCAAATCAAGAAGACCGTTTCGGCTCCATCGTTCCAGGCTAGTCTCCAGCACCAGCCGCGCATCTATGATGTTGCTGAAGATGTGCCCGTTGCCATCTTCAGATGTACCGAGCTGGCCGAGCATATATGCACGTTCTGCAAGAGTGATACCCTTGAACCTCCTGAGTTCGAATAACCAGTCCAAGCAGGCTGATTCTCCGTTCAAACCCGTACTGGGCAGCCCAATACTAGGGGCAATCAAAGTAGCAGGCACCCCACAGCCTAGCACTTGCAGTGTTGTCGAAAAAGCGCACTCGTGTGCAGGGCGCCTGCGCAGATAAAGGTTTTGGTTTGTCTGGAAATCGTGCCGAAGGTTTGGGTGTCTCTCAAAATTGACTTCTAGGTCCCAGTACCCTTGGGCAGATGCATCGGTCCGAACAGTGATAACATCTTCTAATGGCGGAAGTAGGCAAGGTGTTTTTCGGTGCAGCATATACTCCTCTCGAGAAACCGCCAACGCGGATATCGACAATGCTGTCGGCTTAAGGCAGATCGTTATGGGGACAGATATGGGCAGGCCTGTTGCAATATCCTTTGTGACCAGACACCGCGGCTCAGTAGCCAGAACCCAAAAATGGCGAAAGGCCTGCAAATGCGAGCCGTTGTCTTGGATGGTCGTTGGAAAGATTGGGTAAAATGCAACAAGAAGTGCAGCCACGGCCAGGTTGCTATTTCCAAATGTCGTTGTGCCGGATCCGAGGAACAAAGTCCCAATGGCCAAATGGGCAGCAAAATGACTACCATACGTGGTGTGGACGTCATCACGGCCATGCAGCGATCTCAATCTTCGCAAGACTATGAGATCGCCCGTTCCCGACATGACCGTCGCACATGACAGGGCTAGAACATCCAAGCACATGCGTGCCCCCGCCCTGGCTGTTTGCGCGTCGAAATGGTCGGCCGGCAATTCCTGAACGATTCGTCGAAAGCTGTCAAGGTAGTGAACCAGCATATCTCTGACTCTGCGATTTGCAGAACCCGCATAGCGCAAGGCTGCGGAAAAACAAAGCCCAGCGATGACGGAGAAGAGTGGCAAGTCCACACTCCTCAACGACAATATGTTTTCAAGTTTATATCGGCTGCGAAACTCAAGTGGTAGGCTTTGCTGAAGCCAATCAAATGACGCACCAATACCGCTCCACAGGATGAGGTTCTTCGCCAGTGTTCGAAGCAGTAAAACGTCGGGACGGACGTAATCGAATTGGAGAATAGAGTCGGGGACATCGATCTTGCGAGCAACAATTTGATCTTCCGTCTTCATATAAATGAGACAGATAGCCACAGTCGCTGCAGCGGCAGAGCGGTCAAGAACATTGACCAGCTCTACCTTTTTCGTCGAGTATGCAAGACTAAGGAGTTGCTCGGTGATTTGCATGTCCAATAAGCCTTTCCGATCACTGCCCTTTCCGAGATTGATGAAGCCAAGTGCAAAGCCGGCCGCCAATCGATAGCCTTCGTTTCTCAACGGGTCCTCTTCATCCTCGTCGTCCATGAATTCGATTTCGGACATCATGATTTCGCTCATTCGCCGATGCTGGCTATTGTAGTACAACAGCCCGATTCCCATAATGCCTGTGGTTTGTACTTGGTGGGAAAGATTCAATTCTGCAGCCCCAGGAGGAAGCATACGAGTGACATGCACTGAAAGTAAGCGTGTGATCAAAGAGTCCATCGTGCCGATATGGGATACAGCGAGACCCAAGAGTAGGCCAATAGACGTCATGACATGCTTGGGGGTGAGGTACTTGAAAGCCACCCATTTTGCTACTGCTTTCAAATGTCCATTCAAACCGAGAGCAAGGAGAAATCCAGCATGTCTGTGACTGAGATCAGTCCCAGGCTTATTGAATACGATCCATGACGTGTCGATTCCCTTTGCACGGGAAGATATAGCTAGCCCATAGGCGACGCCTTGGTGAAAGAATGCCCAATTAACCTTCTCTTCAGTGAACATGGATTTATCCACACCGACAGCCACATTTGTAGGCTTCACAATGCAAGTCAAATTGAAACCCTGAACATTGAACTTTTGCGTGAGAAGAGGGAACCGGAAGCCATAGTTCAGCATGCCGCGACCAGCAGGGCTTGCCAAGGTGCTAGTAGCAATTGTTGTGACTAGATCCTTTTGGCGTTCAAGATACTCTGGCTCTGACCAGTTTGTTTGATGATTGAGACGCACAACCCTTGGCTTACAGGCGGAGAGGAGGCCTTGCGCTTCGTAGAGTCGCTTGTCTTCTCCAAACAGCGCTTGTATTACCGCTTGGCGTTCTTCACTCTCTGGTTCTTCGACAGGCTGTATATTTGTCTCGTCTTTGACACCTTTTATTGCCTGCGAGTTGTGATGTGCAACTGCTGGGGCGATCTATAATAGCGATTAGTATGGAAGCGAGACGAGACACGTCGAATATCAGTGAATGGTACTGAATATATAAACGCACCGCTCTATTGGGGGACGTGTGGATGCTGTGCGGGCCTGCCTTCAGCACAGTATTTATATCACCACGTCCAACCAGCTCGTAGAGGCCATGGTCCCAATGGGGCGGTGGGTGTTGCTGACACCGGCTCACCGCGTCTCGTAGTGGTGCCGCAATGCCCTCCGGAAGTGAGTCGAGCATGCCGGCGGTGAATCCGCATATGTGCATGGCCTCTACCACCTGGACACTTGAGTCGTAAGGTTTTGTAACTTGGAAGAACCGACGAAAGATAAGTGTCCGTGGTGTAAGGTGTTCCCATTTTTGGTCTTCTCGCCCTGCATCTCTATTGTTCTGCTGAACAAGAGTAGCATAAACATCACCAAGAAAAGGGAATGAATCTGAACTCCGTCCTCCCAGCCGCAGTAAGATCCACTCAGAGATACAAGGAACCATGTTAGGCTCCGGCAACAAAGAAAATCGGACATTCCTGTCTTTACTTTAAGTCAGTTGGGAGCTGCGGGGGAGGCAAAACTTGTTTCGGTAACTCCTTACCGCAGCCACACATAGCCTGGAGGCAGTTGATATCCGATTCATACCGCTCGACAAATGTTCGCCACTGAAGCCACGTTGCAATTTGGTACAGAACAGTCGTTAGGTTGCTGGCTGCTGCATCGTTTCCAGCCGCCATGATATCGAGTTTCTCTTCTTCCAGAAAAAGGTGCAAGGCCATAAAAATTCCCCAGGCTGAACTTTTCCGAATTCCTTCGGGTAGCCCATGAGCTGTTGGGAAATACCCAGATGGCCCAATGGCCTGGATCCCAAATGCAGACATCATATAAACCTGAGCAAGACGCATAGCCTCTGACGAGCTCGTTTGTTTACAGCTCCCCTCCTCTGAAGTCCTGCCAGATCCAGATGTTGCCACGTTAACATTAGTCATTGCCCAGTCCCAAGCTTTGGGCATTGTCCAAGGTTGGGTTGCATTGGAGCCCATCGAATTCGGTGTCGCTGTCGATAGCTCAGGAATGCGCTGCTCCGGCATCAACCCGTTATCAAATATAGAACCGTCCGGGGTCATCAAGGCGAGGAATACGGCATACAGTTCTATAATAAGACCAGTCCACTCCAAATTCGCCGAACTGACGTTCGCTTGAGGTTCTAGCCATTGCATAACTTGCCACCATCCAGCAACGATTTTCTCTGCGTAAGCCGCGGGGAGGACACTGCGTAAGACATTCAATATCTGACGAACGCGGGTAGTCCTCGGCTCCATTTTGATCTGGATCTGATGAAATGTTCCGTTATTGTCGACCAAATCGACAAGTCCTTTGGGTCGCGGATGCCGAAGACCACTGATCCGAGGCCGACATACATCCGGTTGCGGGTTGGGGAAAGGTTCCTCGAAATCATATGTCGAGTACACGTCCTGCTTGTACAGAGATAGGGACGGTAGTACGATGGTAGTCAACTCGCTCCAAGGAGCCTGGATGCTCAGCTGGTGCTGTCCATCGTTCCCCTCCGAGAGAATAAGAATCATTGTTTGATCCCCGTCAAATATTTTACACGAGTCTGCCACGTTCTGGGCTCTCCTCAGCTGACCCCATGTGATCGATGTTGTCTCCTTATCTGCAAGAGGCATTGGACTCCTGCGTGTTTGTATGTGGAGTGTCAAGAGTTGCAGCCGTGTGTCGATCATGTCTTGTATGCAGATAAGGAGGTAGTTACGGTCTTGTTCGTCAACCGAGTAGGGCGTCCCAGTAACGATATAGACCTTGCTCAACTTGTTGGCTGGAGTATTGGATAGTGAGTACCGGAGGTTTGCTGTATCCATCGGGACGCTGCGTATCTTTGTGAAAAGGATTTCCTTGCTAAGTCCATCGTATTCTGTGTCGTCTAGTCTCATACTGTGGAACCCTTCGAAGTCACCACCGGAACGTAGCTCCTCCAGAAGTCCATCAACCGGGGCTTCTAAAAGGCTGTTCAAAGTCTGATTGTACAAAACATTTGAGGTTGTAGCAGCCAGTCCCACACTCGCTCGGCCCCGTTGGCTGCCATGGGAGTCTGCGCGTCTTCCCGTTCCAGTAGAAAGTAGGGGCGTTTCGGCAAATAACGGTCTTTCTTGGGACGCTGAAAGGTCTGCTCTTGCTAGCAGAGAGCTAACTCTGCGGGATTGCCGTCTCGAGGCCTCTGCTGCTCTATCTGTCTCGAGCGACAGGGCCATTTCCAATGATGTGTCACCCTTATCCGGGGCTTCGCCCCTGCGCGTCTTCTTTACGGGCAGAGTGCCACCTAGGCTCTCGCGCATACTTGAATGGCGAGGTGTCGTTGTGCCACTTTGGAGACCGGGCTGCATTGAGCTGCGTCGGCGGGAAACCGTTGTTTTTGGCTTCTTCCGACGAGACGTGATTTGATCTCCACTGTTCAAATATGACATCCTCCATACGCTGTACATGCTTGTTTCGCGATTCACAGTAACTGCCAGTACGAGACTGTCATTGTTGCCATTGTTGTTGGATGTGGTCCGGTCGTGCATGATGGACTCGACATGTAATATCTCCTCGGCCGGGTCAAGGAATGGAGTCCTGGCCGATATTCCGAGCCTGCTTCCTTTTTCCGGTTGTAAAGCCACCAAGCCAATTGGAAGCATTGGGTCTGCGAGGAAAACAAGCCGAGGCCATCCAGAGTCTCCAGTCTCTAGCGGAGTATCCCACATAGTATCGAGTGTCGAGCTGAGACGTAATGGCATGGGTCGCGGTTTACCAAGGCTAGCGGTTGAAAACGTTTGGCTCCCTAGGTCATTGACCATCGGAAGAATATGTGACGAAAGAAATGAGTTTGGCGGAGCACGAGGAAACTTAAGAGTCACTGGTACTGTAGTGTCAAGCTTTGATTTGCGCTGGATGATGACACCACGCGGAGCTGCAATAGCCGTCTCAACCTCGAACGGCATATGTATAACATACTCGCCCCCGGAGAATGAGAATACATGGGCTTGAGTCTTTAGGAAAACAATCAAGGTCTTGGAAAGGGACGATCTTGTGGAAGGGTCTGCGCCTGTGTTACAGGATGCTGAGTCTTCGTTCTCGATGCCATTCTCGCCAGCAGGAAAATACGCCAGCAGAGCCTTTAATATTGGTTCCTTCTCGGCTTCAAATCGAAGACATCTGCCGACCTCGCCGCCACGAGACCATATGGCACATGTGTCGGTCGTGAATAGTTCGTCCTCTCCATTATCGTCGGTATGTATTTCCCAGGCGTACGAGTCCGGCGCTGCGTTATACGGGAGTATGTTTTCGGCTATCGCAAAGCGCAGCCCAGCAGGTTCGTGTATTCCGGTAGATTTCACAGAAGCCATATTGAGATAAAGTTAGGGCCATAGGCATGGAAAGGTCGAGATGTCAACCTCCGTCGTGATAAGAAAGACAAGAAACTGCAAACTAAGTACTTAGTACACGCGGCGCGTTGCGGGGAAGGCGACGGTCCTAATGTGGCTGTGTTTTGTGGCGCGACGCCATCATCGGCTGGGGGCGCCTCTTTCATCTCGACGACCTAGTCCTCCCGAAATTACAGAGGTGCGCTGGGACAACATGTCCACGCCGTGCTCATGTCTGCCTCTATTCCAACAGTGCCCCCCGAGGCAGGAGGTAGAGGTATAAAAGCCGCTAGGAAAGCTAGGGCCAAGGACAGCAATACCCAGGTCTCGAAGTCGTCGGCAACAGACGAGACCGAAATTACCGTCCAGCAACATGCGACTCACACCCAATCCTCACGGGCTTCTGAATGGAACTCTGTCAGTGCAGAGTACGCTGACGACAGTGGGGAACTCGCAGAAATGAATGAAAGGGAAGAGGAGGACAGCCACATTGTTGTTGTGCTACAGGAGAATAGAGGACCTGACGACGACAACGACGACAAAGAAGAAGAGGAGGAAGAAGAAGAAGAAGAAGAAGAAGAAGAAGAAGAAGAAGAAGAAGAAGAAGAAGAAGAAGAAGAAGAAGAGGAAGAAGAAGGACCAGCAGAAGAAGGTCAAGATGAAGAAGATCAATATGAAGAAGGAGAAGAAGGTGTCGATGATGAAGACGATGAGGAGGAACCGAGACTAAAATACGTGAGGCTCACACAAAAGATGGCTGGCATATACCGAAATGGAGACGCAACGAGTGCGTTCCTTGTTGCCGGCGACAAGATGGTTTGTAGCAGCCCAATTTTTTTAGCTACACATATCTCTAAGTCTCTCCTTTTTGCTAATCAAATTCTACCAGATCGTTGGCACCCACAACGGAAATATTGTAGGTTGCGTGTTTATAGCCTTGAACTTGAAAATCTCTAACTGATTGCACAGCATGTATTCCAACTGCCTATGTTCTACCCTCTCCGAGTCTATCACGCCCATTCTGCTTCAGTTACCGCTATATCAATTTCACCGTTTCCTCCACCGCTACCTAATCTCAAACATGACCAACTCGGCAAGATTGTCGCAGAATGCGGTTCAGGCACTACGCACCCGGCATCGCGACGTGCTGATGTGTCGCCAACTACCTCTCCTCGGAAGTTGAGGGAGCCAACAGCGGTCCTCAACATTCCGTCGAACAATATATACATTGCAACAGCCTCTATCGATGGGAATGTATGTGTTCAATCTCTCGTGGACCCCAGAGATGTGCAGCTGCGAAACTTTGCACGACCTGTGCAGACAGTAGCTCTATCCCCAGAGTACCGTCAAGATCGAACGTATCTATCGGGAGGGCTGGCTGAGAACCTCATATTAACTGTCGGTGGCCAGCCCGGCAGAAGCACGTCTACCACCGTCGGGACTGCCGCTGCAGCTGCATCCGGCTGGCTGGGAAGCATTGGTCTTGGCACGAACACAGGGAAGGACACCATTCTACATTCTGGAGAAGGTACCATCAATACTATCAAATGGTCGCCGTCCGGAAAATACGCAGTATGGTTGAACGAACACGGTATCAAAATTATGCGCACTAAAGTTCAGCTCGAGAGCGCCGATGCAGAAAGTGCCTGGAAGCGTATAGGGCATATCGACCGTCCCCAAACAGAGGAATGGGGCATTATGGCCAGTGTGTGGAAGGGAAGAGTTGAATGGATTGACGAGCACAATGTTGCCTATGACGACAGTCTGAACCCGCACGAATCGGGTGCCTCTCCTGTTAAGGAGCAACAGTCCAGTATCACGAAATCGATCGAGAGGCTATTAGTCGGATGGGGCAGCACGATATGGATTATGCATGTTCACCCTGGTGGTGTTGGGGTTGGGAAAAATGCTGGAGAGAGATCTGTGGGCAAGGTTGACATTATCAAGATGTAAGTTGGTGGCTAGGAAGCATTTCAGCTGCTCATAGCACCGCTAACAATACACAGTCTTCGCATAGATTGTATCATATCTGGGATAGCGCTCTACACAGAGAACTTGCTCTTGGTATTGGCGTGCTGTCTGACAGAGGATGCCGACAACGCGGAGGCACAGGAAAGCAAGCGCAAGAGCCACAAGTCAATGACCTCAGCTAAGGCCAACATCGGCGAGCCAGCAAGCAGCATTCACCGTCGACAAAACAACCAACCTCCAGAGCTTCGACTGATTGATCTCGCGTCACAAGTAGAGGTTGACAAAGACGTACTCGGCGTCAGTCGTTTCGAACGATTATCAGGGGGTGATTACCACCTGGGTTTTCTGCCTGCACAGACCGCAGCAGCAGCAGTGTCATCAAAAGGGCCGCTGGAGTCCCTTGCCGATCTTGGGGCGGACATGTGGAATGCCGCAATCAACCCGAAAATGCTATTCAGTTCTAGTGCGAGCATCAAGAGCAAAGAGAGCAATGACAGCACGACGATTTCTAGGGCTTCCACAAGCACGACAACGGGACGCAGCCTTCTCCACCGTGATATCCATCCATCTCTGGCTAAGGCTGGTCTCAAAATTTTTATTCACAGTCCTTACGATTGCATATTGGCTACACGACGTGATATCTCGGACCACCTTGGCTGGCTGTTGGAGCATCAGGACTATCAGAAGGCATGGGAACTTGTTGACGAGAGACCCGATGCTGTCCTATCAAATGAGGCATATTTGGAGCGTGCACCCTCAATGTTCGAAGAGGGAACGGCAGCGCAAGCTCAGGACGATTTTTTCGGGGACTCCATGCTTGACGCACTCAGTAAATTAGCCAATTCGCCGGCCGAGAGAGAGAAGAAACGGATTGGTGAGCTGTGGATAAAAGACCTGGTAGACGTGGGTAATTGGACCCAAGCGGGCCAAGTGGCCGGCAAGGTATTACGTTCGTCTGATCGATGGGAGAAATGGGTGTGGACATTTGCCGGGGCGGACAAACTAGACGAGATTACCGCCTTCATTCCAGCGGAGCCTTTACAGCCACCATTACCCAGAACGGTATATGAGGTAGTGCTTGGCCACTATTTGAAGGTCGACAAACCTCGCTTTCGGGTGTTGCTTGAGCAGTGGCCGAGCGAACTGTTTGACATCAGCACAGTCGTCACAGCATTGGAGAACCAGCTCGACTACCGTGACGTGCGCGAGGACAGCATCGACGATGGAGAAAGAGGGCGCGATTGGCGTATTGTGGTAGAGTCGTTGGCCCGGATGCACGAAGCCAATGGCCGGCATCGGGAGGCTCTCCGGAATTATATCAAACTTCAGGATGCCGACTCTGCCTTCCGCCTGATCCGGAACAACCATCTTGCAGACGCAGTCACAGATGATATTCCGAGTTTCATTGCCCTTCGCGTGCCAGTGGGCCAGGCTGATCAGATGACTGCCGCCGAGCTAGAGCAGTCAACGGCTGAGGCTATCACACTTCTCGTTGATGAGGCTCAGCACGGACTTGTGCAGCCAGAAACTGTCGTGTCGCAGCTGCAGGAGAAGGAGCTCAATTTGTACACATTCTTTTACCTACACGGCCTCTGGGATGGCGACGGCATCCGGGGGCATCAGGGCGAGTCACACGACCGGCTTGTTTCGGAATGCAGGGCGCAGTTGGATATTTTTGCCGATCTCGTCGTCCATCTTTTTGCGCTATTTGATCGCTCACTACTCATGGAGTTTCTCAAATCATCCACCTCGTACTCGTTTGAAAAGGTTCGTAAGGATTCATCCCTGCGCCTTGTATTCAACCCTGAATGATCTAACATTCACAACAGGCTGCTATTGAATGCGAGAAGTACAATTACATTGACGAGCTGGTGTATCTTTATTCAAAAACTGGGCAAATGAAGCGAGCTCTTTACCTGATAATCGATAGGCTTGGCGACGTCAGCCGGGCTATCGAGTTTGCAAAGGAGCAGGATGACCCGGACTTGTGGGACGACCTGCTCAACTATAGCATGGACAAGCCGCGGTTCATACGGGGGCTTCTTGAGGAGGTCGGCACGGCCATTGATCCAATTACGCTTGTGCGCCGCATCCCCGAGGGTTTGGAGATCGAGGGTCTGCGAGACGGCCTGCGGCATATTATGAAAGAACACGAGATCCAGCACAGCATCAGCTCAGGTGTAGCTCGGGTGCTGCGCAGTGAGGTGGCCATGGCACAGACTTCACTGCGCCGGGGCCAACGCCGGGGTATCAAGTTTGAGGTGCCGCAAGCGGCAAATACAGCCTTGGATGTCTCCGAGACAGCCGAGGCTGCGGAGAACGACACCGTCGACGCCGACGTGCAGACCCTAGATCCCTGTCTTGCCACCAAACAGACAGCTGGCCGTTGTGCAAAGTGTCTAATGGTCGTCACGGAATGGGAGACAGACACACTTGTTGGATTCGCCTGTGGGCACGTGTTTCATCTGACGCATCTGCTGGGTCTGCAGCCGGACGAAGCGACCCGTCGCGGATTCGGTGGACTGGATGACGATGTAGTGCAGAGCCGGCATAATGTCATCGGGACAAAAATCACCCATGCCCGGCTGCTGCGGGACAGCCTTCGAGATGGCTGCCCTGTGTGCAGGGCAGTGCACGCGCAGCCGTGAGCCTGCTTCTTTTCAATCCTTGGACCGACTTTTCGGTGTGTGTGTGTGTGTATGCTGGTATCTTAGACTGGTGTGCCTATCTTTGGCCGTCTCTCTTCTCTTCTTATTCGTCGCTGTCGTTGCGTAGTTTGCTTTATTTCCTTCGGCAATATATATCTTAGTACCTTAGCCAGCTCCCTCTCAGCCAGGAAATCCTCCCCTAGCCATCTTCCGTGCTCGTTGGTCACGGCGGCTGTGGTTGGCCCGACTGGACTTGCTGGCTTCCTTGCGCCTCCTCGCCTGCTCTGTTTCCTTCTCTCCTGGTGGTCCTGCGACATTGCCGCTTCTACCACCTCCTCCCCGTACGGGTCCTCTTCCACCTCTCGAGGAGCCTCGTCCTCCCGTGCTGCCACCACCGCGCGACGGGAGTGTCCCGTCTAGATCAGACTTATTTTCGTCCTCTTCCCCGTCGTGTGCTCTCCAGGATGTCCGCGCCAGCTCGATCTGCGATCCTGTGAAAGTGCTGAGCCTCGCCTCCAGTCTTCGCTTCTGCTGCGGATTACGTGACAACATCAATCCCCATCCCTCGATCGCCTCATCTGTCATATCCGTGTCATCTCGCAGCCGCGTACGCGCCTCTCCCCGCCGTGTTGCCATATCCCGGTCGAATACCGTCGGGTTCGTCCGGTACGCAGCAAAAAGAGCTTCGTCCTTGGCACTCTCTAAATCATCAATGCCTGTGGCTGTAGAGCTATCGACTGTGCCTCCGACGTCTGCAGCGTCATATGTGTCATCTCGCTCATCATCGTCGAAATCAAAGGCTGCTAGGGCAGAAAGTATAGCTGCCTTTTGGGGCGCCTGCGAACGGTCCCGGAGGACATCATCAGCTGTCCTTTTCGATTTCTGCTTGCCAAAATGTAACTTGGGCGTCTCTGCTGCTAGTGTAACAATACTGTCATCACTGAATGCATTTTGATAGTTGGGTGGTAGCGTTGAGTGCGGGGCGAGATCGATATAGCTCATGCCTGACTGATTGGAAGATCTTTGTTCTTGTCAGCGTATCGCCACGGGAAAGAGTCGAAGTTCGGAAGACGGAAAGCCACCAAGCATACAAATTCTCAGAACGGTCAGCAGTTGCTAAGTGTTGAGGAAGTGAGTCCTCCAGCAGATGCAAAATGACCCGCTCAGAGTTCTCGCCATATTCATCTAGAAGTCTGGCTACAAATGCAGAGCCAAGATCAGGAAAGAGGTCCTGAATCTGGGTTATTTGACTAAGCCGATGAACAAATAGATGCCTTCTCCGTTCTTCTGGGCTGGCCGTTGCCGGTGATTTGCCCTTCTCTTGTTTCGTCCTGATTCGCATCTGTGGTAGCTGCAGTCCGGCGCCTATCATATTGCGATGTTTGGCCAAGTCGTTCAAAGCGGAAATCATCCGTATCTTTGATGATGTTATTCCCTCGGATCTCTGATGGAGAAGCAGCAATACTGGTGAAGACGTGACGAGTTCACTCAATAAAGAGTTGTTGGCATTGCCAGTGCTCGCGTTCTGCTCATTGGTAGCGCCAAGCATAGAATAAAGAGCGTCTATCAGCTGTGAGTATTTCGGCGTGCTGCCCTCAGTAAGGCCCTTGATGCATAGGTACACGTTGGTAACAGCATGTTTGCGTAGAGATGAGGTCATAATTCGAAAGGCGGCTACCAGTGCATCGATGTAGTCGCTGCCGGCTAAGAACAAGGCGGCCGCAGCCGGCCACGCATAAATCAAAGGGTTTACATCGTGGAGATACTTCTCCACAACTATGAGATCTCCCTGGGTTCCTGAATTCAGATTGTCCACGATAACCTTTTTTAGCCCCGATAGAGATGCTTCTAGCAAGTCAGTTGCTTGCCGGGGCAATCTCTGCAGGGCCTGGCCGATTCGCCGCTTTTCATACGCATGGCAGAAGTCAGCAACAAAATCCCAGCGAACGAGAGGGCTAGTAGGTGTAGGTTGTGGATGCTGTAGAATTCTCATTATCAGAAAGTAGCAGGCCTTCTTAAGTCGCTCGGCGGCTGGGTCGCTGCTAAAGAACGACGTCTCCGGCGTTGCAAGACCGTGAACGAGGCCAACAAGAAACAGCTGCATGCTTTCATCCCTCATCGACGCCTCTGTAAATTCAGCGTCCTGCCGTAAAAGATGGGCTCTTATCAAGGCGAGCCATGATTGTAAACACGCCGTTCGTTCACCGACTTCAATGGCATCTTGCCCGACTGCCAATGCCGGGAAGGGCGCGAATAACGGTAGAGCCGACTCCATCAAAAGCGTATCATATGTATAGGTACGCTGTGTTCGCACCGTTCTTCGTTCTCATAGAGCTGAAAGATATTGCGAAGACGAGTAGGTCGACTGTTTGGACGTCGGAGACGAAGAAACTCCGAAGCTTCGACTCTATACTACCCCCCACTTTTCTACACTGCGCTTGCCGCCATGACTCAATCCGGTAAACAGACTTGTTGCTCCATAATATGTTGACTGGAAAATATGGAATACTTGCTAATCACGGCAATATAATTGTGACTTGTTTCAATATACGTAAATTACGTCGTATATAGCCAATCTTTGCATGTACACAGAAAGTGTAGTATATCTGCAAGAGCCTGTCCCAGCCAGTCCGTACTAAAAGTCCCATAAACACCACTCTCTTTTTGGCGGCAATTCTGGCATGAGTCCTCCGTCGAATTTGCGAGTCCTCATAAAAGCGCCATATTGTGTCTTGGTGTCGTGACTGTACTTCTCCTTCGAGAGCTCTGTGTCTTTGTTGTACGGAGGAGGTCCTTTCGGAAACCATACTTTAACAGCTTTGCCTACAGCATTAGAAATAACTGGAAATGAAACACCGTCCTTTGTTTGATAAGAAACAGCTTCTCCTTTGAACTTCACAAGATTTCCCGACGCATCGTACGCGGCATAACTCCGAATAGGTGGGTGCTGACGCTCTGCAGCAGGAATAGCAGGTACGGCCACCTCGCATGTTGCTTGTAGAGAATCAACAGACGTATTTGTTGAAACTTCCACTCGAGTACTGCCAAAACCTCCTGCATCGTCAGACTGACCGAATGCAGGCTGGGCTTGCACGACTTTTTGAAAGGGATTTGTCGCAGAAACAGTCGCAGAGTTGAGAAGCGGTGTCGGTGACGCTCCAACTGAAGGGTTGCCTGGATGGGCGGTCTGACCCCCCCCAAACGGATTTGCAGCCGTATTGGCCTGCCCAAAAGTATTCTGGATGGCAGTTACGGCAGACTGGCCAAAAGGATTCGGCGGAGTTGTTTTAGCGCCGCCGAACGGATTCGGCACGTTGCTACCAGCTGTCGTATTGGGGTTGCTCTGAGCAGCGAACGGGCGTGTCGCATTTCCAGCGATAGCAGAAAATGGCGACGCGCCAGCGTGCAGACTAGAGGGTTGCCCAAACGCGGTCCCGCTCCCAAGCTTTGAGTTCTGGCCAAAACCGCCAGCGCCAGCGCTTGGCCCTGGCTGGGGGGGCTGTCCAAATACGCTGGCTGACGCACCGGACGCGCCAGCTGCCTGTGCGAACTTTGAAAATCCAGAAACGTTGGGCTGCCCAAAGGATGTTGCTCCAAATGACGGTGCTCCGAACGCAGGTTTCTGGATCAGACTTGACGGCTGGCCGAACGCTGACATCGCGCCTAGCTGTGTGGGTTTCCCGAATGCCGCTACGCCCCCAAGCTGTGACGGCTGTCCAAATGCGGACGATGTCGTAGTCTGTGACGGCTGTCCAAACCCTAATGCCCCCCCTACTTGCAGTGGCTTTCCAAATGTTGACACTGGTTGAGATGGCTTTCCAAATATTGTACCTGGGCTAGACTGTGCGGGCTGTCCAAACGGTCCATTTCCGAGCTGGGCAGGACGTCCAAATGCAGGGCCAGTACCCTGAGAGAGGGGGGATATAGCCGACCCAAAACTACTGGCAGGTACGGCAGGTCCGCCAAAAGGACTTGCAACAGCAGACTGATCTGCGGAGTCAAAAGTGCCACTCTGATACCCTGCTCGGCTTCTTCCCATCGCAAAGTCCCCCGTTGTCATTGACAGAGAGTTATTCTTGCAAGTGTCTAGTCTGTTTGGATGCTGTTTTCCAGCCTCCAAGACGAATCGCATGGCTTCGGCAGGGTTGTTAATTGCATTATCCATCTGCCGCTGGATTTGTTGGTAGAGTGAATCGATATCAGTGATCTGTCGCAACGAGAGTCAGTACCACCTGTTCAGGAGTTGGATTTGGCTAGTAAGTAAAGAGGGGAGGGCTATAGGCACGAACTGCAACCTGTGGGTTCCCAGCAGCAAGCGCTTTCCAGTGGTGCAACCGGAGCTCCTCAAAACTATGTTCTGTCTGGCGGCCACCAAAAAGTTGGCCTGGTGCATCCCGTCCAGGACCGTATGCTGAGAATATCCATGATGGGCGTTCTTCCGTCAAGTCTTTGACAATGCCAGCGGTTGAAATGCTATATGGATTGTCTGCAACGTCAGTGCATCGCGCCTAAATATTAGCAACAACGCGTTCTTTCGGAGGTTTCGCTCAGACCTATGTTGAGACAAAGCTTCAATGGCAATATTTACGTACCGGGGTCTTTCTGTCCAATCGTCAGAGAAGTTGAGTTGCTAGATGGCGCTCCAAAAGCGCCGAATCTGTTTTGGCTCGCTATTGGGTGCTCGTATTTGCATGAATCTGCGATGGGGGCTATCAGAAAGCAGAATAAATGAAAAGAAGAGTGAGGACAAGAACATACTCCCAAACCTGCAGTTTCCCTGTAACCAGAATTTGCATACTGCCATCATCTGTTTCTAACATCAGTGCTAAGAACGAGGGGCGACCAAGAAGAAGGAGCTATTTTTCTGTGTCTTGATTTTAGGTTCGAGTACTGTGCAATCGCGATACCGACTGATAATAAGGAGTACGGAGTAGACAAACGTATAAGTGGGTCTCGTACGGAGTAGCACCCTCCGCGTCTCTGTCAATACGACTCGACTCGACAAGTGGCACACGTGATTTTCGCTTTCACCGCCCAACAGCAGAAAGCTGAAAACAAACTCTGCAGTGCTCCGAGACCTGAGCCTAGGGTCCGCACGCAGGTAAGATAGCATCACGATTAGATTTAGATGCGTACTCCGTAATGCGTGATGCGGAGTAAGAATACAGAAAACTCTCGATCTTCTTATTGCTGATAGCCGCAATCGTGGAAACCTTCCCGTCTCCGATGCCTGGCAGACACCAGAAAAACGCATTAATAGTTCACATAGGCTTTTTCTGGGCCGTCTCGCTAGCTGATATGTCAACTGGGCCTGGCTGTTGTCACCAAGCAGTACAGTGCATGTTGCTACATAGCTTCATAATCAACAACGACATTACTAATCTGCTTCAAACTGCCTTAGATTACGGAGTAGAGCAGTTAATATTATTGCAGGTGTCAGAACAAATTTTGGTCGCAGATAGCCGATTGCATTTGTGGCCCGCACTAGATCTGGCATACATTATCCAACGGCTTCATAGCTGGCAAGAAAGCCCTCTGAATCCGGACCAAGTCAAGATGTATGCATCCGGGCACGAAATTCGATCATAGGCCCATTCTTCAGGCTAGTAAATGTATCCACTAGCTGAAACTCTTCCGGCCGGTGGCGTCCCCATGCCGCATGTGGGTTGCCCTCGCCTGGGTCCACGATCCCAACGGCACGTTGCATATCATAAAGGAACAGTACCCGGGCTAACGCAGTGGTCATCTCGACGTATGCTAGCCCCTTACCTATACAGCCACGGGGGCCGATGCTAAACGGACAAAACGCTGACTGGGCACGGCTGACCTCCTCTTCGGTTGAAACTTTAGCCTTGCAACCCAAATGATTCTTAAGAGATATCGGCCGGAGAATGCTCGCGTTTTTTATCCATCGTTCTGGAAGATAAGAAAATGGCTCAGGAAAGTATTCAGTATTGTGGTGAATTGCATAGTGTGGTGTGCCGATTACTGTGCCCTCAGGAATCAGGTCGGTGCCGATCTGGATGCCACCTGCGAGCACCTCGCGTGGTAGCAGACCGCCAACAGATGGTGAAAGTCGCATAGCCTCGTCAATGCAGGCACGAAGGTAAGTGCAGCCTGTAAGCTGAGAGCCTTGGCGAATGTCCTCCACAGTAGAAAAGACACTGCGCACTTCCCTAGTCACGCGGGCCAATACCATTGTATTTCGGGTCAGATAAAACAATGTGGCTGCCATCGCCGTCGAAGTCGTGTCTGAACCAGCAATGATACTGACGCTCATGTTTGTTAACACTTCCCGCCTGTCAGTTTACTCTGGACCTTCCATGACCTGACGTACAGCAAATTTGACTCTCCCCACAGTTCGGGCATGCTGAACCCGGCCCCCGTCTCGGGATCTCGGGCTTTTAAGCAGGTGGTAGAAAAAGTCACGGCGGTCGGCCTCGTCTCCAAGCTTTGTCCGTATGCCGAGCTGGGCGCGACTATATTCCATATATTTGGCCCTTCCTTCTGAGATTCTGTGGAAGAGGACTTTGTCGAGGCCGAGCCTGTCAATGATCGGCATAGTTCCACACTTGGTTCTATTAGTATTACTCAAGTAATGGGTCAAATTGCACAAGTAATGGGTCATATTGCACATACAAGAAGATGTCTCTGTGCAGCGATACCAACCAGGTTGATGGCGTATGGACACTCCAGCATGCGAAACGCTTTTCCAAAACACAAGTCGCCCAGAATGTCCATGGCGAGGTAGTTACACCAATCGGCCATGTTTCTCGGGGAAGACCACTCCTGACTGCTCGCAAAGCTGTGGCTCGCGTCACATCCGATCTCATCACAAAATATGCGTATGTTGGCAAGAATGTACCGCTCCATTTCTTTTATTGCCCCGTCCGAGAACGCCTGTGACAGAACCCTTCTCTTGCGAGCATGAATATCTTTTTCACGAGTGTTATGGGTGTTGGGTGCCGGATGAACGAATGCGTCGTAGAATTCTGATTTGCGCACATTGGCTCGGAAGCCATATATCTCCTTGAGCGCAGAATTACTGTTGAATGAGAGGCTATTGGGGGCGAACCGCACAGCGTTACCTATCGATGCACAGCATCAATTAGATCGGGTCGATAAATTTGATGGCTTCCATTGACGGGTCTTTCTCCAACCTATCGCTACTAACCATATTTCTCGTGTAGTCTCCAAAACTCAATATGCCGCTCGCCTTTCCAGGCGTAGTATAGCATATATGCATTCGACACTTTGGCCAAAAAAGGCCCGGGGTAATTCGCCAGCGGGTGAAAAAAGACTCTGTAAAACACTAGGCTGACGACCTGTTTAACATGTATCAGTACGCGGAGCTCACGGATGGTGTTCTTGGCGCTGATATCATGTATATAAGCGTACGTATGTTGATAGCATGGCAAATATTGCCTTAAGCCAGTAAGTAAGGTGCACAACCTGAAATTCCATTTTGTGTGTTGGTAAATTTATCAATAAGACGAGGATAGAAATTGACCTCATAGATGGCGACAACCCCATCATATTAATTACCATGTATCCCGCTATCGTCCAGCTCTTGGTATGCAGTAATACCCATTTGTTGGCCAGCCGCGGCGATCTTCGGCTTTCTGCGGCTCAATCAGAGGGATGTTTCGTCGTGCTATTTCCCCGCACATAAAAGCAACCTGAAACAGCAAAGGGCTCATTCCTTCATAGTAGGTATTAGCCCGGCTCCATGGCAAGGAGGAGATCTCGCACCCATGTGTTTGGGGAGTGGATCAAAAATGAGAAGAACAAGACGACTTCTCAGCCGGTTGCAAAAAGAAAAAAAAGAAAAAAAAGAGAAAAAAAGGAGTACGCATAGCTGGTTTTACAGCACGATTGAATGCTGTAGTGTGATTTTCATCATTGTTCCATTTTCGTAGCTACACGTCGTAAAACTAGAAAAACAGGCGTGGTCCATGAAGGCGCCTTTTAAAGCCCCCCAAACAGCGTTAAACCACCGAAAACCACTCCAGACATAGCCATTACAAAAGACCAATGCACTTATGCTGTCTTGGCCTGAGTGGGCGTGACCTTCTTGCCATCCTTGTTGTATCGGACGCGCGGCGGAGGCGCACGGTTGCGACGGCCAACGCGCGAGCGTACACTGTAATTTAATTAGCAAATCTGGCTCGCTTTCACCTTCAACTATGAACGAGACCATAGATAGGAGAGACAAATGCGCCAGTAATGGGAGCCCAGCACATATGCTTCCAGGGAGGACTTCGGTCGCCAAGGTTCTTCTCAGCCGCCCGTGCGAGGTTGCCTCTCGACAACCCCAGCACGGTTGCCTCTCCCGAGGGCAAACGTACCGAACGATCTTGCCATGAATGGCACAAGACACACAGTACTGCAGCTTGAGGTACATCTTGGGGACGGTATAGTCTGCAAAAACGGACGCGTCCGAGATATCACCTATCCCAACTTGTTAGTCTTCCGCGAGTCCTGACTAGCCACCCGGCGGGAAGCTGTTAAAAATTCCGGAACATACGGATAGCAGCAGATTCAACCATGTTGCGGATGGTAAACCGCTTGATGGCCTTATCCTTGGGTGTGCATCGCGAGCAGTTTGAACAGCGGATAGGCTTGACGTGGCCGCGACCCTTCTTGTTGCGGCCGCTGTAAGGAAGACGTGTCAGTATTGGCCACTGTCATATGTCATTCTTGTAGATGTGTCTCGGCAAAAGAAGGCATACTTGTTCTTTCTCTTTTTGACCATTTTGACGTTTTCGATGCTCTTGGAGTGGAGGATGAAGTGATGTGAAGAGAACGAAAATGTATATATTCAACTCCACTACGAAAAAAAGGTCTTTGAAGACATTTCACCCCTCCCGAATTTCACAGGGCAAGTGGCCCTTAAAGATGCCCTACTCACGTGATTTCATATTGATACTGTGCGCTCAATCTTTTGCACAGTATAGCCAGGCAAAAATTCACTTCTTGCGAAGTATTAGCACTGTGATAAAATTCACCCCACAAATTCTAGCATCTTTGCTGCACTATTTTTTTTCTTTCACATCCCAGCTTCGGAATCTTTTCACTTTCAACAACCACACAAAGTTCTGAAGATTGCCTAGGACGCAATAGCCCCAACTATTGCCAGGTACGTCTTTACGATCACTTGGCCATCATGATACGCAGCGAGGTTGCTTGATACTTCTGTTGTGCCGCCTCTCGTTTTTTGTATTGTTCTTTTTTGACATTCATTGATCTTGTTTCACTCTGTTCTTTACCGCTATCATGGTGGCCATTGACCGCAATATGCATTCCTCACTTTTTCAACACACGTCTAACGTCTAGTAATAGGCAGCCATGCAGATCTTCGTAAAGACCCTCACGGGCAAGACCATCACCCTTGAGGTCGAAAGCAGCGACACAATCGACAATGTCAAGTCCAAAATTCAGGACAAAGAGGGCATCCCGCCTGATCAGCAGCGCCTGATCTTTGCCGGAAAGCAGCTGGAGGACGGACGGACTCTCTCTGACTACAACATTCAGAAGGAGAGCACGCTCCACTTGGTGCTTCGGCTCCGTGGCGGCGCCAAGAAGCGCAAGAAGAAGGTGTACACCACTCCCAAGAAGATCAAGCACAAGCACAAGAAGACCAAGTTGGCTGTTCTGAAGTACTACAAAGTCGACAGTGATGGCAAGATTGAACGCCTCCGTCGCGAGTGCCCCAACGAGACTGTGAGTATACTAGGCGCACTCTGCTAACTGTTGCCACCTCTTTTCTAACCATTGCAATAGTGTGGTGCTGGTGTATTCATGGCTGCCATGCAGGATCGTCAATACTGTGGTCGCTGCCACCTGACGTATGTTTTTGGCGAGAAGGACTAAACGAACAGCTTTGTTTGCAGGGATGTGAATTCGGTGGAAAAGTATATCGAGGGGTCTAAACCTTACAGTGGTCTACGCCATGGAGGCGAGTGATGTCTTAGATAACTTCGCCACCTAGAAAAACACGAGGGTTTTCGGATATTCAGAGATCAAATTATAATGCTGCGCTGTTGATGACTGTGCGTATGATAGTAGTCCCTATATGATCCTCGCCCAGCGTCTTCATAAAATCTCGAGAGGAAGAGGTCAATTGCCCGGAAACGAATTTCTGAGATTATCGTACTTCGTCTCAGGGTAGGTAATGCAGTTTCGCTGTCGGTAAAGGGTGCACCGCCCTCCTAGTGCGCTTACTACACTGCTAATGAGGCTGTCATCACCTTCTTTATCAGCACTGCTCTCCCACCACATAGCCCCTCCGAGGACCCTGCTCCTGATGAATTTTGCTTTCACTTTCGCCATATCCACAGTGTCATAAGTGACCAGCGTTCGTGAGTTAGGATTATAGCAATATGAGGCTCCAGCATCTTGGTCAATGTGTTGCTGCGCCCCCATCAAAGGCAGCTTCTTGTAGTCATATACCCCTCGCTCCCAGTTGCCCTCGCCAACTCCGCTGAACGGCTTGCCAGGACCTTCCGTGTTTTCGAAAGCGCGTCCATACAATGGCATTCCAATGACGATTTTTTTGGAAGTAACACCATGAGACGTGTAGTAGGCAACCGCGGCAGCAGTGTCGAATGGAGTCGATGACCGGTTTGTAGGGTGTGGGAATAAGTTTGCTTGATGACCGGCAGTAGAATCCCACGAGCCAGCATAATCATAAGCCATCAAGTTCCAAAAATCCAAAAAGCGATCCATAGCTTTAAGATCAAGAACTTTAAATTTCTCCGGCCCAGCCGGGCATGCCACGGTCAACTCAAAGTGGTATGGCGGGCACAGAGAAGCACCGTACGCGTCTAAGGCTTTTCGGCAATCATGAAGGAGGGCGACATATGCCGCTGCCTGCGATGCGTCTTCAGGATATTCCCAGTCTATGTCGATGCCATCAAATCCGAGGTTCTTCACCAACCCGACCGCCGACTTTGCGAAAGTCTCGCGGCCCTGAGGTGTGGAGGCCGGGGCGCGGAAGTTGCTCGAATACGTCCAGCCACCAATAGACAGAAGCACTTTGAGATTACGGTTTCGTTTCTTCAAAAGATTCAGCTGTTTCAGACAGCCATATAAGTTGGTTCCCGAGTCATTCCACGAATCGTTCTCCCAATGGATGTCGGTGTCCGCCCAGGCATCGGTCAAGAACACCTCTCCAGATTCGGGGCGAATATTTGCAAAGGCGTAGAGGATGTGCGTCAAGTTGTCGATAGGAAGGTCTTGCGGCCGATGCTTCCGAGCATAGATGGCCCAGTTCACAAAGTAAGCAACTGTCCTATAGCTCTGGTCATAAGACATTCTTGTAATTCGATAGTATGTTATAAGCAAGAGGGGTAAACAGTGACAGCAAAATATCAAGGTGGTACGGGATATATTAGCATGATTGTCGGAATATACTACATCCGAGACCGACGTTGTTTGCTATAAAGGGGGCTCCAGTTTTTTAGGAACTAAGGAAAAAAAAGCGGTTTGCTGCGGCAGGAGGGAAGACTTTTTTTTCTGAAATTCGACATTTTTTTGTCAACTCCAGAGAAACGCAACAGCAACGGTTATTCGATTTTAACAATGGCGACCTTAAATTACCTACTCCACGAATCTGCCGTTGGCTACGGTATATTTGAAGTAGTCCATCAAGCTGACAGTGTTGGCCTTCGTTTGAACGAGGTCCAAGACTCGATAACCGACCTGTCGAAGTTCGGCAAGATGATCAAGCTTGTCAATTTCTCGCCCTGGAGGTTAGTAGCAAAGCTCGAGGCACTCTTCCCTCTGGGCAGATCTCTTTGATTTCTTTCGGTTTTGTTGCTGACATGGCACTGCCAGAAACCACGCTGAAGGCCTTCAAAACATCAACGATCTCTCCGAAGGCATTCTGCCTGTGTATCTGGCGTCTGTTCTCGAGCTGAGTCTTCCTAAAGCAAGTGGAAAGAAGACGAAGGTTGTTCTTGGCGTTGCAGATAGGAAGCTTGCTGGTGAAATTACCAGTCAATTCTCTGGCATCGAATGCGAAACTATGGAAACGTCCGAGGTGGTCGCAAATTTCCTTCGTGGCATTCGGCAGTACTCCGAAAAATTGCTCAAGGGACTTCACGAGGGCGACGTCGGGCGCGCGGAGTTGGCTATGGGCCATGCGTATTCTCGGTCTAAAGTCAAGTTCAACATCCACAAGAACGACAATCATATTATCCAGCAAATTGCCACCCTTGACAATTTGGATAAGAGCATCAACAGTGGCTGCATGCGCGTGCGTGAGTGGTATGGATGGCACTTTCCGGAGCTAGTAAAAATCGTCTCGGACAACGTCACATACGTGAAGTTGGTACTTGCCATTGGGAACAAGAAGTCACTCACCGACGACAAGCTTCATGACATCGCTGCTGTTATTGAAGAAGACGGCGACAAGGCGCAGGCTATTCTTGATGCTGCCAAAGTGTCCATGGGTCAAGATATCAGCGAAACTGATCTCGAAATGGTGAAGGCTTTTGCCACGAGTGTGACCAAGATGGCCGCCTACCGGCAATCCCTCGGATCCGCATTGGAGAAAAAAATGAACACCGTGGCACCCAACCTTCAAGTAATCTTAGGCACGCCGGTAGCAGCACGTTTGATATCCCACGCGGGATCCCTCACAAATTTGGCTAAATACCCTGCCTCGACTTTGCAGATCCTCGGTGCTGAAAAGGCTCTTTTTCGCGCACTGAAGACGAAGGGAAACACGCCCAAGTATGGTCTGATTTATCAAAGCTCGTTTATCGGCCGTTCAAGCACACGCCACAAGGGCCGAATTTCGCGATATCTCGCCAATAAGTGCAGTATCGCAGCACGTGTGGACAGCTTTAGTGAACAGCCGACGTCTCGGTTTGGCGAGGTCATGCGGCAGCAGCTAGAGGACCGGCTTGAGTTTTTCTCTTCTGGAAAAAAGCCTATGACGAACGAAGACGCGATGCAAGAGGCAATGAAGAAAGTGCTTGCAGACGGTGGCTCGCTTGCCGTGGACCACGAAATGACCGACGCGCACGAGGGAGGAGGAGAATTTGCAAAGGTGAAGACTGCTAAGAAGGACAAGAAGGAAAAGAAGGAAAAGAAAGAAAAGAAAGACAAGAAACGCAAATCGCTAGATGCTAGCGCCATGGACATCGACGCGGAAGTCAGCCTGGACAAGAAGAAGAAGAAGAAGTCGCACGCTGACTAGCTTAGAGGATGCTCTTGGACTTGGCAGTCGGAGACCAGTCGGGTCTCACCATTGCTACTGTATGGATGTATCTTGTACTGTTTGCCTGTCTCAGTCGTCTTGATTATGTTGCAATGTTTTTACCGTTGGAGTTATCAGGTGGATCTGGCTTTGGAGTTTAATAATAAAATCAGCTCAACTATTTGGGTGGAAGGTCAAGCCGCTTTCCGTTTCGCAGTAGGTGAAAAAAAGTGGTCGAATCCTCACAGTGTACAAAATTGCGTGGCTACAGGCTATTCTTATTCGGGATGGAGCGATTACAGCAACGCATAATATGGTAACCAAGAATTACCGAGCATGGCCCCTGATCATTCAGCTCACATGTATCGTTGAACGTTGTGCAAAATCCAGATAATCCTGTAACTTCGTCTACTTTCTGAACGCTAACAACGCCGGACTACCTGTATGTTTGCTAAGTGCCTCTTCCATTATGCGCCCTCGCTGCCAAACTCGTTTGTCCATTCTGCGTTTCGATTTAAGTCTTCTTTGGATACTGTTGGCCTGCTGGCTTTGATAGCCTTTATAAAGTCCTTTAAATCTACTGTCGGCTCAAGTAATTCGTCCTGTCCGATATCATCCCAAGTCATCTCGTCGGCATCTGGCTCCCCTGGTGAACAGGGAGTCAACTTCCGCTTGCCATCGAGCATAACCTGAAGCAGAATCAATTAGTTTCAGATGTGCCGCACGCGTGCCACTGGCGTGGCGTTTGAGGCAGGGCAGGCCATCGAATGGGAGGAGTTTGTTTACCGGGTGGAAATGTGTCGCCTGTTGAATTTTTCTAACAGGCTGCATAAGTGCATCCTGGACGACGGTACTGATATCAGAGCCAGAGTAGCCTTCTGCGAGCTTTGCTAGTTCGCGGTAGTCGTTGGATTTCAGAGTAGTAGGTGTCTCGCCGACAGCAAGCTTGAACATGGTTGTGCGGGCAGCAAGGTCGGGCAAGCTGATATGAACTCGACGTTGGAAACGACGCCGAATCGCGGCATCGAGCTGCCAGGGAATGTTGGTAGCACCGAGGACGAGCACACCCGTGCTATCTTTGCCGACGCCGTCCATCTGGACGAGCATCTCGGTCTTAATGCGCCGTGACGCTTCGGACTCGCCCTCGCCACGAGGGCCACATAGCGCATCGACTTCATCGATAAATATAATAGACGGTTTATTTTCGCGGGCCATGTTGAAAAGCTGCTTGACTAACCTTCAAGTAAGTGTCAAAGTTAGTTATAACGAACAAGGTGCAAGACTGATATGCGGTGAGACTGCGAACCTTTCACTCTCGCCCATCCATTTGCTGACTAGGTCAGAGCTACTGACGCTGAAGAACGTACTCTTGGCCTCCGTAGCTACGGCCTTGGCAAGATAGCTTTTGCCTGTCCCCGGTGGACCATATAGCAATATGCCTTTCCATGGTTGCCGCTTGCCCTGGAAGAGATGTGGGAATTTGATAGGCAGCAGAACAGCCTCCTTCAGCGCTTCCTTAGCAGCCTCCAGACCGGCCACGTCATCCCATTTCACGTTTGGGCGGTCTTGTAGGATAGCTCCAGCCAATGCACTGCGTAGCTTTTTGCTGTCCTCGTCAATGCCGTCGCCGCCAGCGTCCTCTCCGCCCTGTTTGCCTTTGCCAGTACCGGCCGTCGAAGCTCCGTTTGCACCGACCATGCCCGGTTTTTTTCGCTTGGCATCGACATCAGACAGGTGTGATTTCAATTTTTCTGCACGGTCCATGTATTCGGTAGTCTTCTGGCGAATCATCTCCTTTGACCTTGGGTTCTTCTCCCATTTGAGCGCTAACATGAACATTTCCAAGGCGGAGTAGTAGAGCTGATACGCCTTTTCATATTCAGCAGAATTGTCAGCCTCAATTGCCTTACGCACTTGTTCGATAGCCCTGCCTAGAAAATCGGTGTTGGACATGGTCGCTGGTGCGCAGTGGAGGCCGTCAGCTCGTGGTCGGGCGTTTGTCTGGGAGGGAAACGAAACAGAGATATGATAGGGCGGGCAGCTGTCCTAGACAGCTTCAAAATAAGTTAAAAGTAAACCCGGTTTACTCTAATTCCAGCGCAACTTAAATACCGCTTGTCTGCTCCGTGCTGACGCGCCACAGTTGAGAAGTTGGTGCTGATAATAAGGCTGCGATATATTCGAGGATCGAAAGTCCGTTTTGGCGGGGTAACCATGCGATTGCGCCACAGATCGTAGCTCTAGATGCTATTCGCCACAATTTCCGCCGCCGCCACACATTATATCAAGTGCTGAAATCTTGTGACCTCGAAGGAAAAAGCTCCGACCATAAATCGGTCTCTGGCTTTTGGACGCCCTGAATAACGGGAAAACAACACTGCAAAGGGTAAGAGGCTTAAAGCGCTGTCCTTCTCGAAACTTCATACATGGCATCAGCAGAGGTACAAGGGGCTCTTCAAGGCTTGTCGGATGAGTTCACCAAGCTTCAACAAGGTGGTTATTTATATTCTTGCTCTTCATACTATATCAATTATTTCTGACCTTACCTTTGGTACAGACCAGCAGAAAGTAATAGCAGCCCAGCAAAGGCTTAACGCGCAGAGGACTGAGAATGAGGGAGTCAAGAAGGTTTACTCCCTCCAGATGGCCGTATAGATCTAAATGAAACGAGGCTAATGTGATGTGCGGCAGGAATTTGACAAGTTAAAAGATGGAGAGATCATTTACAAGCTTGTCGGACCAGTACTCTTGAAACAAGATAAAATCGAGGCAGACAGTACTGTGGTGGGCCGTCTGGATTTCATTACAAAAGAAATGTGCGTGACATTCTGCTGTCATCTATTGAATCTTTCTCCACTGACGAGGTGTGGTAGGGATCGGCTCGATGGAGAGATAAAGGAATCAAACCAGAAACTTGACAAGGTCAAAGACCAGATTATGACCATCCAAAGCAGTGCACAAGGTGCAGCACCGGGAAAATCGGGTACATGATATGCCGTTGCTAGCAAGGATGAGGAGTTCTAGAAACTGTCAAAGAGACTGAAGCCATGAATACATACAAGCAATGCCGAAGCCATACTAGACTCCTATATTATTACAATCAGTGATTTACGTCTTCATCTCTAATTCAAGACCATAAATGTAAATCCCCAAGGTAAGCCCATGTTTCTAGAAGGTCGCTCATAACCTGCGCTGAATGCATCCACCTCATAGTCCTGGAAAGATGCGCATTCTGGTCGCACGTCCATGTTATCTTCATGGCTTGCATCCATGATCAGATCCATCATTTGATCCATCATTAAGCAACTGCTGAAAAGGTGGCTCTGTTCCATGGTATGTCTGATGTAGTCTAGCTGTTTCGAAGTCGAAAATCTGCATAATTCATGCCTAAGAATGTCGGCAGTGATTTCGATGTCCAGTTTAGACAAGCGTGTGGCGAGGGCGATGCAGCTAGAAATACCCTCCGCTAGTAGGCGAGCCTTCTCTTGGGGGCCCAACAGTTCCGCTGCGCGAGGGACATCTCCGTTCACTAGAGGCAGAGCTTCAACGTCAAATATGGCGTCCACAATATACTTCTTTGTAGGTTGTGTCGCAAACAAAACAAGGCATCTGTCAGCCGTCGAGATCTGATTTAAGATCTGGTACAATATTGACCGAAGGGGAGAATCGCTCTGTGTGTACACTTGGCCCGAATTGATCGAAAAGAACAATGGAAGGAGAGTCATGGCCCCTAGAAAGCGTGTCACCCGTCAGTTTAAGGTGAATAAATTTGATGGTAGTAAGCTACACACCTCTACATTGTGTTTGTAGGAAGCTCTCATGACATTTACCAAGCATGGCTGTGGATGTAGATAAAGTAATAAGAGCGAAAAGCGAAAGAAACGATTAGGTTGATGCTTTGGGAGATATTCGTAGATGCAATAGTTACAAAGCATGCCAACAACTTTGTAGTTCTCCTGGCTGCTTTTATAATAGTCGGGGTGGCAGCTCTACGCAAGAAGTGGAACGAAGAATGCGAAATACCTTGCAACGTATCTTACGATATATTGCAACTTTCCACAGACGAGTGTGAGAATGCTATGTATGGGTGTGGGGGCTACTGGTAAATTGACAGCAGTTGTTTCCGTTGTCTGTGCTTTCTTGATTGTATCTTAATAGTTAGATACGTTACATGGTACGGAGTAAACAGTGGTTATACTTGTACGAGTAGTACTCGTACTCCGTACGGAGTACAGTTGGATAATAGTAGATGCATGGGTGGATACAGCAATAAACGGGGACGGAAACCGAGGACGGTTGGCCTATTGAGACGCCGGAATTATACAAATTATGGTCTAGTGCCTTAGACTGGGAATGCATTGGAACTCTTGTAGCCTTGAATGATCCTCCAAGGTATACTCCGTACTGCGAGCAAGGTGGTCAGTTCGTGGGGCCTCAACATACACCATCGGGCCACAGCTGATACGTGGATGCTGTTGACAGGCATTGTCTCTTAGCTTCAGGGGGTTAGGATTGGACGCCACAGCTATATATACATATCTCGCCACTGTGGCGACATATGTGGCTTATACGCTAGTCATCTGCGGATATCGTGGCAAAACAGAGGGGTACCCTGAGCGTCAGATTTGGGTTCGATAACAACACGCGCAAGGGGTGTTTTGCCAGCTCTGCGAGAGCTCGACTAATTGTCGGCAATCCTGACAGCATAGAAGCCTAGTATGCCTTTCGAGTCTAGGACTTCCGTGAAAATACGGGCGGCTTTTCCTCCACTGGAACCAAGTGAGCTAGCTAAGGAAGCCGAAAAGTTCGAGTTCAACCCTTTGATCCCGCTAAAGAACTACATTGGTGCTTTGGATACTTTGTATCGTGAGGTACGTTTGGTGTGGCTACGCGATCTACCACCATGACGATACTCATATAACTACTATTTATAGGGAAGAAATTATTTGAACGAGCGCAACTTTGCCAAGGCGTACTTGCTTCTTTTTCGGTTCTCGATCCTCTACCTCGATAAAGTCTCCTCTCTCCCGGAAGCCCGAACACCAAGAGGACGTACGCTACTGAAGACAACGAAGAGGAGAATAAAGGATGTGCTGGTGGAACTAGAGAACATTAAGCCAGATCTGATTGAGGCGCGAAACCGATGGACTGCCGAACATCCTGAAGCTACTTTGAATCCAAATGCCCAATACGAAGGAGCAAATCAAGATTTTGCTGCGCGGGATGCCGCACTTTCGTGGAATATCAAGGCACAAGCCACCCTCCTCGATGCATCATGCCATCAGGACTTTGCAGTTGATCTTGCAACAGAGGAGCTGAGCCGAAGACAAGACACACGCCGCCATGGAGTTTCAAAAGAGGGGGATATCGGATGGGGAGCTGGGCGTGAGCTCGGTACTGGGCGTCCACTTACGGTGGCAGAAGAATCAACCGGCTATGGTTATGCTGATGAGAGAGAGATGCGATGTCAGATGGAGCAAGCGAGGCGCCGGTTGGATCGTCGCGAGGAGGGCGATATATTTTGGAAACAGTTGGTCGGTTTAGGAGATCGAAAAAATCAGCCTGTGCCAATGGCTTACCACTATCCATCGATTTCGAGGTCAGCCCCTCCGCATTATGACACGGGCCAATCAGCCAGAGACCAAAAGGAAACCGGCTCCCCTCCTGGCATGATTGGAGTGCGGCCTCAACTACCGCCAAATGAAGGTGCCTATGCCGTATCTCTGCTGGATCGATCCGCTCCACCTGTTCCGCCACGGAGGGAGTTGGCCCCATCATCCGGAGAGCTAGTTAGACATCGCCCTTTTTCACCAACCAGTGGTTACCCATCACCATACCCTCCGCGTCTACCACCAAAGGTAGATAGCATTGCATCACCCCCTGAAAAGGGGACAATCACTTTCCGGCCCGCTGCTTATTTGGAAGATGGAAAGCCTATACGACCGATATTTGTGCCCGAGGGTCTGCGCAAGGACTTCGTGCACATGGCAGCAGCAAACACACACAGAGGCATAGAGACGTGTGGCATTCTCTGTGGCACAAACATCAACAACGCGCTTTTTATTACGTGCCTGCTAGTCCCTGAGCAATATGGCACCCCAGACACGTGTGAGACCACGAACGAGGCAGCAACATTTGAGTTCTTTGACGAGGAAGACTTACTTCAAATAGGATGGATACATACACATCCAACACAAACTTGTTTTATGAGCTCGCGTGATCTACACACGCAAGCTGGCTACCAGATCATGATGGAAGAGAGCATCGCCATTGTGTGTTCACCCAGCCATGAGCCTTCGTGCGTATTATGGTCTCTTCAGTGCCACCCCTAATGCGACATATTTTTTCTAACATACCTAGCTGGGGTGTATTTCGCCTTACCAAGCCACCAGGATTGCAGCATCTTCTAGGCTGCGAGAAAACCGATACATTTCATCAGCATTCACTTCCGGCGGACGCCCTCTACGTAGATGCGAAGAATCCTCCAGGGCATGTTTTCGTCACATCGCGTATGAAGTATCGAATACATGACCTGCGCAAGGAAGCTTAGGCGATGTCTATAGATGCATGTCCACCAGTTGATGTCTCCTGTATGTATGCTTACAGGAACCCATTTAAGCTTTAGGCTTATGACCGGACAGTGTATGAAGCTCAAGTTCTTTAGGCCCATCATTTCAACTGTTTCACACATACACAGAAAGGCGAGGCAAAAATATAGCATGAGCCACCTTCATAAATTGCTGCGCGGCCTTTACGTCATTCTCGTCCTTCTAGGCTGTGTAGGAAGTGCTGCTAGTGTATATTACGGCCCATACATAGTCTCAAGTTGTGTATACCCCAGCCGGCTTCAATAGCTTCCGAGCCTCTGTTGGGGAAGCTTTTCGAAAGCAAAAAAAAAAAAGTATGGCTGTCTGTCTTGTTCGATCTAGTTTTCATGCCTTTCTGGCTATCTTATTTCAATAATTTATGAAGTAGAGTTCGACGTATATCCAAAGACGTCCTATGTGAGCACTCATATCTTGAAACATCTTGTGCTAAGATTGATATTAGTAGCCTAAACTGTACACCAACTGGTCGTGACCAGATCCAACAATACGGTACAAAACATCTGCTATACCAACGGCGTTTCTGATTTTTTGCCTTGAAACAAAAGCAATGCGAGCCGTTGTCAGCTTGCCTCTCTTGGATAAGCCGCACTGCAACCTTGTAATCCTAGTCCTTTGGAAGAGGCTTTATCAGCTACCAGTCTGTTTATAAGCAACATCTAGCTACAATATGCATATACATTGGCCAACTCCTTGACATCAGACCGGCACCAATATCAGCAACATCAACCGTGTCTATGGTCTATTTTGCCTCTGTGCTGCGTTTTTTCTTCATGTATACGGCATCTGTATTACAGGATCTATCTGGTTCTAACTCCCATAGTAGTGCTCCCATTCTTCCTGGTTTTGCGTTGGCGTATTCCCCTATCATTCCAGAAGCTTCCATATTGTTCGTTTATTTTTTGTGTTGGCATAATAGTGGTCCCCAGAAATACTCGTACGCATGGAAAAACACGTTTAGAGTGGGCAAGCAAACGACAACTGCCATTATCATATATTTGTCAATACCAAGTTTCCTCGGCTCGGCTCTGAATTTGCTCACCAGAATTCTCCAGATTTTTTGTCCGTCCTCATAAGTTATCATTCTGATAGCATCATTCTGATAAAAAAGCATCGCCGTTGTTTCGTCCGAGAACCGAAAAGCAGGCCAATCGAACCCCCAGAATCATGACATGACATCGACCTGTGAATACGATGGCGACGCCTCCTCATACAGCACATCGCCGCTCGGATCTGACTATGCATGCAACTCGTTTGGCAAACCGGTCGAGCGCGCATTTAGCATCCATATGCCTTGGATAATAGATAGCAAGGGCTTCCAATGACCACCGACATAAGAACCTAGGTTAATTATTTTTTCAGATTTGGTGTCTACGTAGTAAGACAAGGAGCAACCCGAATTCAGCTTGAACAGAAATTGCCTGAGACATGCCCACACGCCTCGCTGCCTGTAGCAAGGCAGATGTGGGGTTTCCCTTTAGGTGTGCGTACGGAGTATTGCTGTACAAATTTCAAGGTGCTGTACAAGAACTCGTGCTCCCAGTGGTCACAAACTGTAGCATACAACGACAGTCTAGATACATCATAGAGCAACTGAATGGGCCATCCATAAAACTCGACTGCTGAGGCTCATGATACTCTCACACCTCGTGATCCTATTTCCAAAGTTCAATACCCAAGTATAACTTATTGTCACAACTGATCGAGGTGGATGGGATATTATTCGGACTCGCCACAGGTGCACTCACCAGATCTGAATGGTGGCAAAATCTCGCTCGACTTTGGCAGCCTTACTTGACAGGGGCTTTCAGGCGTGCAATGGCGACCGTTTCCACCGTTAGAAGTACTGCTCGATTGTTTACAGTGGCAAAGATCTGAAGACGCGCCTGAAAATACCTGACAAGGGGCGCGAATAATACCCCATCCACCTCGATGCTAATGGCAGGGGATACGAAGCACTGTATGGGTCTGCTTACTGTGGCTGATGATATGCGTGATGTATTAGCTAGAAAGGAGTATATGGCGCGCCTTTACTGGTGCAGAGATTTCACTGGGGCTGCTCCCCATTTTTATCTATTCTGACCAATAATAGGCCGCTTTGCTAACATTAGTCAGAACGGTCACAGTGCGCTCTATTCCAGAGCTTCACACTTATCCATTCGATTCACTGTGCATACCGACCATTACAACAAGCTCTCACCGAGAGCACATCGCACAATAGAGCAGCCCGCACGAACAGTTTCATGTGCACCTAGGTCGACATCTGGCGCTAAGCTGGGGTTGACCTCCACGAGATCGACGGCAATAAGGCTGCCAGTCTCGTGTATGCATTCGCAAATGTAGTCACCCTCGCGTAACGTAAGGCCACCGCGCACAGGCGTACCAGTCGACGGTGCCCACATTGGGTCGAGAGCATCGACGTCAAACGAGAGATGAATGGGCGTGTCCGCGCCAATATGAGCGAGGGCCATCTCCATGACGCGGCCGATGCCGTAACGGTCAATATCGAACATGCTGAAGGCGCGGATGCTGTGTTCCCGCAGGATGCGTTTCTCAGGAGCATCAACATCGCGCAAGCCGATATACACCAACTTGCTGACATTAATGCGGTTCTCTGGCCTTAGCCAGCCAAAATAGTCGTCGTTTTTGTCCTCAGCTATCCCGGTCAAAAAAGCGACGGGCATGCCATGTATATTGCCACTGTCGCTGGATTCGGGGGTGTTGATGTCAGCATGGGCGTCGACCCAGATGACGGCGATCTCACGGCCCAGGCGCTCGCGGGTAGCCTTAGCAGTACCGCCCACGGTGCCTATAGCGATGCTATGGTCGCCACCGAGGGTTAGAGTCAATCGGCCTTGGCGGGAATGCTCGTAGACCTGGTCGGCGATACGGCGTGTGACTTCAGAGACAGCGCGTGGGTTTTTCATGCCACGGTAATCCGGGTCAGACTCCGGTACGAGATCTGAATAGAGGTGAACCGTGTCATCGCCGTGTAACTTATAGCCGAGCTCATCGCGCAGCTGGGTTAGGAGGCCTGACTCGATCAAGGCTGAGGGGGCGGCATCGACACCTGGCTTGCACTGCGCAATCATTAACAACACATTCAGTCAAATTGAACATAATCTTTTATGTCCGCTTACCTGGCCCCCAGAGAAGCCTACAGCGACGATGCCTAGGTTCTCCTGGTTGTTCAGGAATTTAGACTTCGCCATGGAAGTGGCCATGGTGTCCTGGGATATTTCTGAGTGAAGAAGTGTCAATATGGGCTTGGAAATGCCTCTGAAGCTCGAGAGAAAAAATCAAGCTCTTCCTCTTGGTCTTATGGTGTCGCGTAACACTCGTTGTGCTGAATGTGGTAGTGGATGACGTCGTTTGAGGGCAGGGATGGTCGAGCAACACGATAAATCCAAAAATAAACTAGACTTGTTCTCGATTTAGAGGCTACTGATGCAGTTCTTGTTCGAAACCGAACCTTCTCTCCGAAATTATTGCAAAACGCGGCCGAGTCATAGATGCAGGCAGGTTCTGGGTATTTATATCAATGCCATGCTCCTTCCTCTCTTCCCCTCAGGTTGTCCCGGCTTGTGTGGCCTAATCGAAATTCTTGATCTTCTGCCACCTGGCTTCTTATCAAAAAACCCTGCTATCACAGCTTGCTGTCTCACATTCGATTGGACAGTTTAGACCGCCATTAGGTAACAGACGCTGTTCCTCGTCGACACATGTGCCACGCCAGTCGCTGGAGCTAGACCCCTAAGTGAAGGTGCTCCTTGTGCTAAACCCCTAAGTGAAGTTGCTCCTTATGCTAGACCCCTAAGTGCAGGTGTACCCGATTGGGTTATGGCCTAATTATAACAATAGCATACTTTTCAGACCGCCTGACGTTTGCGACGTTTCTGTGGCTGATTAACTGCGAAAGTCAGAAAGCTAGGAGCCGAGGTTTCTTCCTAAACCGGTCTCTATCTCGGAAAGCCCCACAACCTAAGATACCTTCCACGGTGTGGTTTGGAAACCAGTGAAGAAAGAAACTATATTATCACTACTTCGCTACCCAAAGCGACAGTGCCCTCGACTATCGTCCAAACACAGATGCTTGGCATATGACAGCTCCCTCGTAACAGTACGTGCATCAGTTAACGAGTTTAGTGGCAAGGTACTCCGTACTATTAGGTATACTTGATGGCAGTGATATGCTAAGATAGCAATCGGATTTTTATCCATAAAAAACGCAAGGTGGATTTTACATATAGTACGGAGTAAGTTTGTCGATATGAGTTTATGCTAAATCAACGTAAAAAACGAACGCTTCTCCTTCCTAGAAAATTGATTACATGACCATAAAAACCGTCGAACGAATTCTCTTGTTTCGGCCGTTTACATATATAGATCGGCTGAGCCGGAAGGACAAGTATACTATGTAAAACCTGAGCCCAGAACATCGAACTGGGTCAAAGGGCAAACGAGTGTTTTTTCTAATAGTCAGGTTACAGTACATTTTATCCTTTCTGGGGCGAACTGAAGCCGGGCCGTGACAGTCTCCTGTCTGGTGCCTTAGGGGCCTTTATACTTAGCAATTGCAGGCAGTCGTAATGTACCGCAATGGTATTAAGGCGTCAACGCATTTTGTGCCATGCTATGTAGCCAACCTTGGCATATTACTAGCTGAACAAAACGCGACTTGAGAAAGTCCATTGTCGGGGGCTTAGCGTTGCGAAAAAATATACAATCCGCTTTTTTTCCCCCTTCTAACCAGAACTAGAGCTACGTTCAAATATCTTACCATAGTTATGCCAATCGCGCTCTGGACCGCTTCGAGACGGATTATTAGAATAAAATGTAGTCGATAAATGGAGTCTTCTGGAGCGGAGTTACCAAAATTAAGGTGATTGATTTGTTAGTGGTCCGTACTAATTAGACCACCACTGTACTCTCGTATTACATAGTGAGATCTCTACATAGTAACCTAAATCTGACAGCAATTAAGCGTGCTGTTAACTGTAAGGAGTAATAACGTGCTCCTCTACAAGTACTACAACAAAAAATAATAGGCAGACTGGCTGTAGGGTTGCTTCTAACTCTTATAGCACCTACAAGACGTTACGATCCGCCATCGTGATCTGCGGATTCGCTTGATACAGGCAAAGGCTATGATTCATACTAAGATGCTTTTGCTCCCCGATTGGTGCTAACCTGATCACCGCCGAGTTATATGATACTCCGGTAACAGTGGGCTCTACAAATTGCAACGTAAGTTACTCGGCTTATTTAGAGCTCGCCACCCTAATACTGCAATTGTACGAAATAGCGTTAAATTTATCATTCCCGTACTCCGTACACTTCAAGCAACCTAAATGCCATTTGTTTGTCTACGATACATCACTTACTACCACTCCTGCCACGAAGCCTGTCGTCGTTCGTCTTCATATATCTCCCAGCCCCGAGCAGTTTCTCTATCTTTGTCCGCCTCAGGCCACCAAGCATTTTCCAAAGCGTGTCGAGAACCGCCTTCTTTAGGCACACTGTTGTTCCCATCTCGCTTCACAAGGTCCACATCAAACTCATCTGTCCATATGGGCCCTGCCGACGAAACCGAATCTTCTTCATCTTCCATGCTTCCAAATTGATTGCTCTCAACCTGGAAGCCAGCACTATTCTCATGGTTCATTTCCTGGAGATCGATCAGATCGGGTTCGGTCGTTTCAGCTCCATTAGTGCAGTCGTCTCCCGCCGCACTTATATCAGGAGATTCCCAAGACTCCCAGCTGCTGCATCCCTCTACCTCCTCCTCCTCCCACCATTTCTTTTGTTCTTCACGTTTGTCTTCCTCACAGCTGGTATCTGTTTCATGGCGATCCCAGCAGCACCAGCCGTCCCATCCGCCCCAACTATCCGACTCAGCACTTTCTTCACCTCCGTGAAACTCTCGTGCTCGCCAAGCTTTGCAAAGAGCGTGTAGCTTTTCCTCTTTTTCAAGTTTGTTGGATATCAATTCCTTGGACTTGGTGATATGAGCTCTTAACAAAGCTGCAAATGTCTCCAGTTGTTGGCGAAGCTGCACCATCACACTTTGCAAACATTGCCGCTTTTCCAACAGCACGACTTTGCGCCCCTCTGCCCATGAACCACTTCCCGTTGTTGCCAGGTCATCGAGTTTACAGTAACCCGACCCCAGAAGCTTGTTTTTGTTTGAAAGAAACAAAATCTCGTCGTCCATTTGTTTTAGCGATTCCTCGGTCCCATGGATTTGCCTCCATACACCATCTATCCGAGCTACAAGATCTTTCGCGATCGCCTTTTCCCTGACTAGGGTGGTATCGTCCTCGTTGACTTGTCTGCGGATGTTTTGAATACCATGAGCTAGCAAGTCTACCATTGGCGGCGGCGAAGAAGGGCCGTCATGGTTCGAGCTTGATCGGCGTTCCCACTTCTCACTAATATTGAAGGAGTAGAACTTGTACCTAAATCTCTTCTTGTTTTTGGGGCTCTTAGTTCTGCACGATGGGCGTAGGTGGTTGTAATCGTAGTCTGCCCGGCTCTTGGCGTCTATCAAAACGGAGTATGCTTCGTGGAGCTGTACGCAGTTAGGTACGATTAGAAAGGAGAGTTAATAAAGTCTCGAAAAGAAAGAAGGGGAGAAGGGGGGGGGACCTTCTGAAATGCAGCAGTAGCCTGAGGATTTCCTGGGCTCTTGTCCGGGTGTCGTAGTCTTGCCAAGCGCCGGTAGCTCGCTGATATAGCCGAGCTATCTGCTGTTGTCGCGATTTCGAGAATGGCATAGAAGTCTTCGTCTGCTGAAAGACCATCCATTACTGAACGCCGAGCCGCAAGTACTTTGATTGTCGTTAGAAAGCGCGGTTACTATGATTAGGAACTGTTATAAGTGTAAACGCACCGCAGCCAAGAAAAGGATTTCGTCTGCCCGCGGCGGGGATTGAAAAATGAGGGTCACCTTCTAGGTAAAAGTTAAGAGACGACAACAATGGTGTCTGAATCAAACTGTGCCTGTTCAAGGCTGGCGGAAACAGCTTCGTCAAGTTTAGTACAACGTTGTCACTTGAAGTCAAATATACCTTACAAGAATGAATGACTTGGAAGTTGCAGTAGACTATGGGGATTCGTGATATGTTACTCAACCTGGTAGAGAAGTAGATTTATGTCTGTAAAAAGCCGACAAAGCCAGACAATGAAGCGCGGTTTTTTGAAAAACATCTTGTCTTCGGAATTTTTGTGGGTCGTGGAACCTGAAGTGCATTGGCACTTGACGACAATGAAGAAGTGCACTCCCTGAAATTTTAGTATTGATCTTTCCTTAAATAACAGAAGCCTACTCTTCACGATTCTTCGTTTGGATCAACAACAAAGACAATATCACTTACGCAAGAGGCCTTGTTTTAAAATCACAAGTTGTATCAGCCACTGGCGATTGAGACAGCACCGCGATTTAAAAGCATTGAAGAATTTTTTGGCCTGGAAGGCGGATACAGAGTACTTTATCGGGTTTGACACAACCAGCCTCCGCATTAGATGTTGCCACTTGTACTCCGTAGGATCCTCGAGGATTCATATGACAACCTGTCAATTATATGTGAGGTGCGAATTAATCTACCCCCGCCTAAGTTTGAAAAGTTGTCAGCTGGTCAAGCCTGCAAATTCATTTTATAAACACGATCGGCCTAACGCCGCATTCTCTCCGCCCCTACTTTATGTATGTAGTATGTCGTCAATGACAACATACTACACACATAACAACTTGTCATGTAGGATGTACATGTCTTGTAATACTCCGTAAATATACGTATCAATGCAGCCCTCTTGAGTTAAAGGAGCAATACATTACGGAGTACAAATAACACACTCGGGATTGGCGGGTACTTTGTACGAAGTAAGGTCTTACGAGGCTTTAGCAATCCACTCGTAGTTGGCTGCTAGGCGTTGAGATCAAACCCCGGGGAATTGAGTAGGATTCAGATGGATCTGGTGGCTTGCCCTACAGTGGCTGGCGTGCCGAGAATCATTCAATCCTGATTTATGTTATTGTCCCTTTACAGCTCAAAGCCTTAAGAGACGAAAGGAGAATGAACATGAGGAATGCGGCGAATTGGCGGGCAATGCCGACCAAGGTCTCAAAGCAATCAGGATACGAGGCATTATGTTCTAGCGGAAGCATGCGGGCTGTTGGTTTTCGGAGTTAGCGGAGTACTTGGTTGTAAGAACGACCGGCTACAAATTCGAACGGACTTGGTTTGCCGAGGTGGTAAGAGAAGCATACGCTGTAGGTGGTGTCTGCACCAAGAGGTGTAAAAGCCACTTGAGAATACTCTGCATTCAGTTGGTCTATGTAATACCTTTTATGAGCTCGATTGGAGGCGACGAAAAGCGTTCACGAGCACCGCAGAAAAACATCACATCTTATCTTCTGAAGGTGACTTAAAACCCCGATAACCAAGACAAGCCAAATAATATGAGATACTTACACGACGTACGGAGTACGGAGCCTGAGATACGTCGTATAATTAGACGGTAGCGTGTGCACTTTACCCCTGCATGATGTTGTCGTAGGAGACGACAGATAGTATATTTGTGCTCTGCACAAACGGCTCTCCTCGGATTACTTCAAACATCACCCTGAATCAAATTCAGTCTTTTTTCCTCACTAATAATCTCACCTTCCTGCCATACATACCTCTGTCCGCTCTAAGCTTTTGGACATCGCATTATGTAGTAGATTTGCGGGGAGCTGATGATTAAAGGTGCACAACGGCTGATGCGGCATGCAATGTTTAAGCAGATAAGGACTTGTGTTAGTACGCCTATTGTCGATCCAATTGTGCCTTCCAACGGGAGAGTGAATGCTAGCCAGGCTTGTGATAATATTTCCTAACACACCAACTATTGCAGGTTGGAGCTATTGGAAATGACCGAATAGGTCTCAAGGCCAACAACACGTGTGCCGCTTATAATTCAACGAGCGTCGGGGAGCTATGTCCTTCTGGTAAGATACGTTGTTCCTTCAATTTAGTAACATTGTCACTTCCCCTATATTTTGCTTTTAGCTTCCCACTTCTGTCGTTTCTGCCGGATTTGTCTGGGTTTTTTTTTTCAAGCTATACGTTTTCGGAACTCTGCTTTGAAGTCCCTGTCCCCTCTTTGATGGTTCGTCTGATAGCCTGTAGGACAAAAGGAGCCGAACCTCCACGATGACACGACAGCAGGTATAAATACAGGATGCATGTCTAGTGACACTTCCAAAGTTTATCTTGTACACGTGATTCTGTGAATACTCGCTACTAAGTATCCTCGTTTATGGTGCACAAGCTCCCCTGTACTCACAGTTTCTATGACAGGTTACCATTTTTGCCCTGCAGAAATCAGCATAACTCTTCGTACGGCATAAATTGCACAGCGTATTAACTCCCCCCCGGCCGAAAATCACGCCTGTCGATCAATCCATATCACACAATCGGCCCACTTCTACCCCGGTGATCAGGGGATGACCAAAACGTTGTTGGCGACGCCGTCTCCTTTGAGGATCGTCAATAAAGCTTACGATGAAGTGCCGTCAAAGAAAGATAGGGAAAATTGCGTGGAGCCCACTCACTACAGAGAATTATGATGAAATAACCTTTGTGAAGTTAGTGTTAGCCCTGATAGAGCCAGCAACTGAGAGAAAGCTATGTAATGCGTTTCAATGCCATATAAAGCTTCTCTGACCCTGCTTTTCTCGTCTTATATTTCATACTGCTCTACTTTCCTGCAAATCTTCTGTCCCGTCTTTTCTTTTATCCTCTACTCCTTTCCCCAACCACTCAATCTACAGTTTAAGAGGCCTATGCAACTTTGTACAACCCTCAATTGCATTCCACTTCGCTGCTGATTTTTGCTTCTTGAACGTCCCCTTTGCTTCATTTCCTCTCTGGTCCTTTCTACGTCGACACGAAAACGGTTCGACAAGGTAAAAATGGTGTTATTTAAAGCCAGCATGGCCGCGGTTGTCATCTCTGCGACCAGTGCCCACGCCAACTGTGTAAGTGGCAACTTTCTGTGTCAATGTCCATCACGACAGTTTCAACTGATACCATGGCAGGAAGGTAACAACTGCATTCGGGCTATGATCAACACGAAGCATGTTCCGAACCCGACGGCCTATTGCCGGTCCTACCTTGCCACTACTGTCACCTCCACAGGAACAGCTGCCTATCCTACGGACTGGGTCAACTGCCAGGGTGACCCTTTCCAGGTAAGCTATGCTTGCTCTTGTATTCTGAAGGTCGTCACAACAACGTCTTCTCGGCTATCCGCTACTGGCTCCCACAAGACCAGCACATCACCATGGGAAGAAACATCGACTCCGATCAGCTTGGCCCCTACCGGATGGACATCATTGAGTACATATTATACAGAGTATTCTATCCCAGTCGGCACGCATATGGGTTCCTTTGAATCGTCCTCGGCTTCTTACCAAGAATCCTTTACATCAGAGAGCCCGACTTCTATTAGCTCAACCTCTTGCGAGAAGTATAATACTACAAGCAGCTCCAGTGCGAGCACTTTACCGGGCAACTCGTCACCAGCTAGCTCGCCTGTCGTTAGCTTAACATCTTGCCAGGAGTTTTCTACTACGGTCTCAACTATTAGCACCCTACCAAAAAGCTTGCCATTAGCCAATTCAGCCTTTTCTAGCTCGATTCCGCTTGGCTCAACTTCTTGCGAGGAGTCTTCGGCTGTGGGTAAATCTACAGTCAGCACGTTGCCGATTAGCTTGCCTCCTGCCCTTTCTACCCATTGCGACGAACCCCCAACTACAACCAGCTCTTTTACAAGCTCCCCTACAAGATATGCTGCTAGCACTACATATTTTAGCTCGTCCTTACTTAGTACGCCCTGTAAGATATCATCTGTCTCTTCGAGCACACATATGAGCTCCTCTCCTTTTAGTTCTACTCCGGCTTCTTTCACCAACTTTACGTTGGTTTCCACCACAACTCCTTATGTGTCAGACAGCTCAGCGCCAGTACGTTCGGTGCCTAGTACTTCTCGCATACCTATATTCTCGTCTCGCTCGACTTCAATTTCGATGGCCACGACTTCTAAGACTGCGCCAATGGGCAGCTCGTATAAGACACGGTCAACAAACACGTTATATTTAACCACTGTGTACACCATCAGGTTGTGCGCTCCTACAGTGACTAATTGTCCCGGAGGAAGTCTTGTCACTACCGATACGATTGCTGTCACGACAACTTTCTGCCCAGGTTTTACTATGCCAACTACAGGCGCAACAGTCACTGGTACCGTGGCACATACCAACTCCTCGACCTCGACACCAAGTGGCATCCCAGCGACTCCTAGCACACCAAATACGGCCTCTACTATATCAACTTTTTACTCGACTCAGACATATACGGTGACCAAGTGTCCCACAATGGTGACGGACTGTCCAATTGGTCATGCCACTACCGAGACCTACGCTGCGACTACAACCGTTCACCCAGTGACTTCTTCGAATAGCACTCCAGCTCCAACAGCCATATTTGTCCCGACCACAAACAGCATAACTACCTCGACGATCTACGAGACAACGTCGTACACCATGGAAAAAGGTCAGACCCCTCACGTTTCAATACAGAGCTATGCTATCGCCACAACTGTCTACACAAATAGCGCCGCAACTCAATCGCCTATTGCAACTTTCTTAACTGAAAAATTATTTGTTACCACTCACAATGCTGGAATTCTCCCTCTCACAACCTCCTCAGCAACTGCAACCTTTGCAAAGACTTTACTCGCAGTAACTTCACCTATGACCGCCTCACAATTGGCACCCTATGCTGCAGCCGCATCTCCTACATACGTATATTCTGCCAGATCCTCTTTTATCGGAATTTCTCCCGCTGTTGCCCTTTCTGTTAGCATATCTGCTGCCAATATTGGCAGTGGCTCTCCTGCCAGCGGTAGCCTTGGCTCGTCTCCTGCTACAAGCTCGACTACTTCAGTAATTCTTGTGCTATGGAGTAGTATTACTTTCAATGCTACAACGCCTCTGACTGCTGAAAATTCCATCGCAACATCAAAAACAATAGGGGCTACAACGCCTGTTACGCCCTCATCCGCATCGGCTTCGATTCCCGATTCTGCAACGGGTTCGATCTCTGCTGTCACAGCGAGGGCAGGGCGTGTCGGGTCTTCACAATCAATGGTTGGGGTTGCAGCGGCCGTTGTGGCCATTGCTTTAATTTGATATCGCCAACTCTACAGAGTAAGCTCTCTTCCACGACAATGCTGTCCTTTTTCTCAGCTTGCTCCGGATTTCCTTTGCAAGGCTACCTTTTGCTTGTCATCATTTGGTCTTTGCCTTTCCTTGCAAGTGTATTTTTCAGGCCTATATCTTTCTCCGAAGGGTGCTTGAGCTTTCCGCCTCTGCTAGACGTAGAGGGTATGGAAAATCTACAAGTAAGGTACTTACGTTGTTTTTCGGTGGCTATCTTTCGAGATCTATCCGAATCCGTACGGAAAAATATAAAATACAATTAATGGTAAAGCTTGAGTGCAACTTGAAAACGTCAGACCTAAAAATGCGCATTTCTAGCGATTACTATGTCATAACTTACATTTTGCGCTGCTGCTGTCCTTTTAAGTAACTATACTACGATTTGCTATATGTATATTTAGAGCAGACTTGAATAACAAAATACATCATAGTCGCTCATTTCCGATAGTTTTATTCAACTATATTAATCACAGAACCGAATAGGAGTAATACTCCGTAGGAGGAGAATACAAAACTACCCCCACGGAGTCGTATCAGTAGTTATTTCTGTTAAAACTGCCGAATAAGGCACGTGGATGTTTATGAAATGTCAACACCTGATACCGACGGACCTATTATTATGGTTTGTCCGAATTCCCCTGGCTAAGCGCCAGTACAGTACTCCGTACTCCGTAGTAAAAAAAAATGCACCAGCTCCACGTTGACGGCTCTCGTGCAAACAGATGACAGGTGCTACAATAATACGTCGCAGTCTCGAATTTGCAATAATACAACACAGAAAATGATCATATTCAAGTAGATTGCTCTCTAGACTCCGTACCTTAGAAATACGTTTATTTGTTAGCCATTGTTTCTAACCCTCTTCGATCCGTCACCTTCAGCAACAGTAGGTCTGACTGCGAAAAGCTCAGAGAAAAAACGAAGCGCAACCTTGAGCTGTTATTACTCCGTAAGGCGTAAAATAGAGCCATTCCCATGCCTTGACTCTATGGCTTCGTCCTAGCACATTCAAACAAGCGTTGCAATTGTCCTCTAGCCTTCCAGAAAGATGCAAAATACGGAGTACTACTCCGTATTTACGACGTATGGAGTAAGACTAAGATTACTCCGTACGGTTGAATACAACGTCACCCTGACATTGGGATCGACAGCTGTGTCGCCCTTTTTCTTCTCTCCTTCCCCTTTACCACCCACATCTACTCCGTACGACGTAGCTGGTAGGTATGCCCCCGTTATCCCGATACGCCTTGCACCCACTCTTTCCTCATCCGCCTACGTATAAGGCTAGCAGCTTCAGTCTTTTGAAGAAAAGGCGACGCCCTCAGTATTGTATATTGTTTATTTCAGCGAAGAGCAAGAAACTGACCCTTTCTCAACTCCTGCTAAATATCCCTCAAGTTGCTCAATTTCTTGGCACAATTTGTACGGGTACATTCTTCGACCGTAATTGATTTTCTGGGTGTAATAGGTCCAACAGTAGCTCAACGACCTAGTTTTTAACATCTTCTGTTTTAGTTGTCGGTAACAAAGACGAATTTTTCGAGACAGTGGAAGACAGCTTCGACGACGATAGCATAATAATGAGGCGCCAAATCGGACGAGACGACCCAAAGCGGTATGAAAATAGTATGTTTTCTATCCCAGATAACTGTATCGCCATGCATTGTCCTACTGCTTCCTCTGTGTGGCAAGCATCTTCGGTGTCTAGCAGTGGCAGCGCTTCTATCTCATCACTGCTCAACTCGAATACAGGCAACTATTACGCCCATAATGCAACCTTTTTTTTGCCAACTTCCACTTCGACCTGTTCTCAAGCAATTCCATCCGCCCTCTTTCCGGTTCCCGCTACGGATCGCTGTAGTCCATACATGTCGGCGAATTCGTTTGGACGATCTGCTTCTTTAGGAGCGCGCGGGCTAAAAGCGCACAGTCCTCAAGAGCTATTGGGCTATTGTCCTGATCATAGCAGCAACGTATGCGATCAGGAGTCCGGTACCAGGATCATATCTTCACGAAAAAAAAGCAATACGTTTGAAGTAAACCACAGCAGCGAGAATATAAGTCATGCCTACAAGCAGCCCATATCGTTCCAAAACGACAAAAAGAATCAGGTGGACCGCTGTGAAGAACATCAATCATCGGCAGAAATTCCCGATTCGAATTTACAAGCTTCTACAGTTACATCACCTGTACAGCTGGTGTATCGGCAAACCTCGATTGATGAAATGCACTTCCAAATCGATCAGGCGGAGAGCGGCGATACGTTCAACGGCATTGGTAAATTGGATGATACGGTGTTGATTCAGACGACACTAGGGTGTCGAAGGAGCCAAGTAGGAGCTGAGCCAGCTGTCCAGCGTGAAAAGAACCGTATGGCCGCCACCAAATGCCGTGCCAGAACTAAAGCCGCCATCACGAAGCTAGAGGAGGTTGAAAGAGCTGTGTCTGATAGACGAGATAATCTTTCAGCTGAGAGGTCGGCGCTCCTAAATGAGGTACTATTATTACGACTGGAACTCATCAAGCACAGTGATTGTCGAATCGATTCGAATGTTCGAAACTACTTGCAAAACGCTGCGACTATGATCAGTCAGACTGGTGGCACGCATCGCATTTGGGGCCCGGACGGGAGTGGGAAACTATGGCCAGTAAATTACAGCCATCAAGACACTCGCACTTAGTGTTGAATCCAGGTCTATAAGTAGGGATGATTGAAGAAACTGGAGGTCTCCGGCAGTTGCCACTTTAGTATCGAGATCTCTTAGTATCTCATTATGCCGAATGCGGGGATGGGAAGGCTTACTTAGTTTGCAGGAGTTTCAAATGAGTTGCAACTTTGTTGCAACTTTTAACGCTATTTATTAACACCTACGGAGTACTCCGTACATATTAATTCTATGAGTGATTTAACAGACTGCGACATACGCTAGGTTTAATCGTGTCTAGTCATAGTCGTTCTGGGCAGTTTGATTTATACATATGGAGTAATACTCCGTAGTAATGAGCCTAAGGCAAAAACTTCTGTGATGATTATTAAGTGAGAATAGACCCACAATGGTCGGCTTAGCTTTTGTGGGAATGGTCGGGTTGTACTCCGTACTCCGTATGTAGACAACTCACTAGGTACGAAATGTGTTTTGCATATAAGGCATACTAATCTTACAATTTCTAGCCGCTTTACGTCGTAGGTATCGGTTATGCATGGCTCCACAGTGTACTGTACTGAAAAGCGTACTGAAAAACTCGGAATCAGAGCCTAAGCCAATCACGTAGGGTCGCTATTTAATAGCATGGTCCGCCACTCTAGTAATCTGTACGACGGAGTGGACCAAGCTTACCTAATCCTACAACGCTCGGGCCGCAAAGCAAAACGCCACGAGGTGAATGCTTGAGTGCCACACACGATTTCCAGGGCTTCGCCAACTAAGATACATTCATTCATCACTAGATGCCAGGCGAGGATCACCGGGAGCTGCTGCCAGAACACTAATGGCCAGCGTTTCTATCAAAGATGCGCGCAGGTGCCTTCTCATAGGTATGCCCTACCGTCTTGCGCTTCTCTTGCAGCAACCGCAATCTCGCCCCGCGTCAACAGCGTCCATTGTACATCGGCACTGGTTTTCAAATACCAGAAAAAACGGTCTATCCCCCCCGTCCGCTATCAGCTCGCCGAAGGTCACTTCTGTCCCGGCCCCCCTCCGCAAGCAACTGAAAGAAGAAGCCAGAGCTCGAAAAGCTTTCGGCCACACCGAGAAGCCAAATACTGGCCAGACCGTTCCTGGCTGGGAACTGACAGTCGGCATCGAGATCCATGCACAGTTAAATACGACAAAAAAAATGTTTTCGCCTGCTTTGACGTCGTTCAACGACACCCCGAACTCACACGTCGCCTACTTTGATTCGTCACTGCCAGGCGCACAGCCGGTCTTCCAGTCCGAGACACTGATCCCCGCTATCCGAGCAGCTCTTGCTCTAAACTGCACAATCCAACCATCCAGCCGCTTCGATCGGAAGCACTACTTCCACTGGGACCAGCCCTCGGGATACCAAATAACACAATACTATGAGCCTTTTGCCAAAAATGGCCATATTATTTTATATGCGCGGGATGGCATTGCGCCTGAGGATGGTGATCAGATTCGTATCGACATTCAACAAGTGCAGATGGAGCAAGATACGGCCAAGACGGTTGCTCAACCTGGCGGCGTTCACTGGCTAGATTTCAATCGAGTCGGTGCACCGCTTATCGAGATTATAACAGAGCCACAGATTCACCATCCGGCAACGGCAGCCGCGTTAGTGCGGAAGATTCAGCTGGTCCTTGGCGCCGTAGATGCGTGCACAGCTGGAATGGAAGAAGGTGGATTGCGCGCGGACGTCAACGTGTCTGTGCGGCCTGTTGACATGGTGGCATTTGGGAAGCTCGGCACACGTACAGAAATAAAAAACCTCAACAGCTTCCGGGCGGTTGAAGACGCCGTCATAGCCGAACGCAACCGACAGATTCGCGAGCTGGAACTCGGTAACAGTCATATGATCACAAGCGAGACGCGAGGTTGGACGCCCAGCAGCAGTGCGCACGGCAGCGGCCAAACACACAGACTACGCGGCAAAGAGGGCGAGGTGGACTACCGGTATATACCGGACCCAGATCTCGGACCCGTCCTGATTGACGACAAGCTGGTTGAATTTCTGCGTCTGACGAGCGGCACGCTACCAGATGCAGAACTCAATGACCTTGTGGACTACTATGGACTGTCAGAAAAGGATGCCAGAGCACTAATGCTCCTAGACGGCGGAGGGCGGGTACAGTACTTTTACGACGTCGTCGACGCTTTCGAGCGACGCCTGCCATTGGGTGGTGATGCCCTTGGAAATAACATAGCCCACCGGCCTTTCATTGCCAACTGGCTTCTTCACCAATTGGGACGGCTCACGTCTGAGCGCAACAATGCTTACGAAGTGGCAGCCATGATCAACGACCTCGAGATGACTCCGGAGGGCCGATGCCGCTTAGCCGTTAACACTCTGGCCGATGTTCTGGTGTACCGCTATGAGGGGCGGATCACGGCCAACGTTGCTAAAGACCTACTTTTTGCCGCCTTTCGAGGCGACATTGGCGGCGATGTGCCCTCTTGTGGTAGCGGACAGCACTACGCCGATGTGAAGGAAGCGATCGACCAAGGTAGTCTCTGGTTTGACGAGATCTCCGTGGAAGAATACCGAAAAATTGCCGAACGCGCTCTGGAGGGTGAGGAGAAGACACTGAAGCTGTTTGTAGAACCCAAGCGTTACCCATACGGAAAGTTACAGTATCTGGTGGGAAAACTGTTACAGCTGGGGCCCGAGGGGAGGATGGACCCGCTGCATGCTGAGAAGGCCTTAAAGTCAGCGGTCGAAGACTATGTGACAAAAAGATTTTAAGACAGGCCCGGATAAATAGAGACATGTGATTTTGTACATACTAATTTGACAGTATGTTAAAATGAAGAAAAAATTTCGACGAGAACAGGATTCGAACCTGTGCGACCGAAGCCATATGATTTCTAGTCATACCCATTAGACCACTCTGGCACCTCGTCCTCTTTATTACGGGCAAGCAATGACGCTCCTCATAGTCATCAGTAGCTGATTTCTCTGAAATTAACTAGATCGATGAACAGACGTATGATCCAAGGGTGTGTCGGTTCCAGTCCTCGAATAGCCACGATTACAGAAGATGGTAGGCATGATAGATATGTCAGCGCTGAGATACAACGGTAATGGGCGGTATGATTCGTCTACCCAATATGTCCAGCCGTGGCAATTCTTAAATATATCATTGCCCTTATTACTTATCTGAAAATAGACAGCCTGCAAGTCTCATGACAAAAAGCAGCGAGATCTAGAGACACAAGGTGCAAAGGCACATATCTGCTATTCTATGCCCGTCACGTGCCACAAGCGGTGTGCTTGTTAGGGGCGTGTTATCATATATGATACGTCGGATTAGCTCCGTCTCATCCAGCCAAGTCAAGGGCAGTGTGTACTCTCCTAGGGTTACCTGGTACGAGTACATCTGGATGGGCATGTGGTGATTTAACTAAGTGACAATTATTCGGGTGTGTCGCCTACTCCCGAGGCTGCGGTAAAGCGGCGCACCTTATGCGCAGTATACGCACATCACAATATCACACGCATCGTGGGCTTACGTTAGTGTCGAGGTCAACCAGACAAATCTATTGTCAGGAGAAGCGCCCTTAAACATCCGACGGCCTGTTTTATCATAATGAGACACCAAGTAAGGCCAAAAACGTCACTTTGAATAGCCTAATTGTGCATTACAGCTATGCTTCACCGCTAACAGCAACGCATACTTGTAAGCGAACCTATGATACCGGTATAAAGTGTGTAACCGTGAAAGTAGCCTAGAAGGTATATAATCAAATGCACTCTTATCCGTTACTTATAGCGGTCGGATTTAGTAGGGCTAAGGCGGTTTAAAGCAAAGATCTATTATTACCATGTACTCCGTATTTGTTACTATTGTAAAACATAGTCCTATTAGCATCTCCTAATATCTACACCTATCTCACAAAACTTTATTTCACAGGTATATATCTATTCTTAGCTGACGTTAATTTGAGTCAGCGAGACTCAATATGGGCTCACTATCAGAGCCTAGAGGCAGCTTACCATGGCTTTCAATCAATGCCAGCTTAGGATCATGCTTAGTAACGGAGCTGTTGTACAAAATTACAAAATGCAAAAAGTAAGTAATACAAATAACTCGCGCCCGTGAAAAACTCCTCTTAATTGTACAATATCCACACGCCCACCTTCGTACTACCGACTGCACATAGCAACTTGATCAGGGATTGCGTAACTAGGGTCAGCAGAAAGAAGAAAGTAGAGAGAGAAAGGGGACAAGAGACGAACAGTAAGAAGAACTTTCAGAAACAAGTCGCACATAACATGCCAAAGATCATCGAAGCTTTTTTTTCTTCGGCCGTCCCCGATGCGGGCGCTCCTTCATATGTTTGTCGTCAAACTCCTTATATAGAAACCCACTATTAGCTGCGCGTTCGGTATCTGTCAGAGTGCTAACTCGCCAGAACGCACCTTGAGCATCGCCAGTAGCCGCCGCATGGCGGCTTCTCCGCCCATTTCTGTCACACGACCGTTGCGCAGCCGCATCTCAACCAGGCGGGCCACAATACGCACATACTTGGGCGCACTCCACTCCATATCCTCGTTTGTGATGTGTGGATTGCGCATCTGAGCCGCAACGATCTGCAACCATCGCTCGATGCCCGTCCACTGTAGGATGTGGCCGCCCAGTGCCAGGGTGTGCTCGCTGCGCAGCCGAAACACGAAGTGCACCGTGCCTGAGTTGAAAAATACAGTCTGGCCCGGCTCTAGGACGAGGTAGCACCAGTGTCCGCCGGTGAAGCCATGCGGATCCGCCATCCAGCCTTCGCGCTCTTCTGGTGTCGGCCGCGATAACCAGCCGTACCCAAACAGACCCTCCTGCACCGTGATCCATGTCGCCAGCCCGTGACTGTCCGTGTGCGGCGATGTGTTGTGGCCGCCTTGCGACAATAGCACCCATTCGAGCACGTCGCGCCACTCATTCCACTGTGTGCGTGTGGCTGTGTCACGCTCCGCCCGGTCCGGGTTTAACACTTCATCGCGCAGCCGTGGTAGCAGCTGGCAGTTCTCGCATGTCAAAAATTGTGGAAGCACGGCCGCCGGGATGGGGCTGCGTAGGTCTAAAATGTTCCAGGGATCGTCCGTCTCGTTGCCATCGCCACTGCTGGTGCCGGTGCCACTGCATGCTACCCCGCCGAGAAACCGATCGCGAACCTGCTCCAAGCCCCGGCTTTCAAAAGAATCACCCATACAGTTCAGCGACGGAACCTGCACAGACACCCGCCGATCCAAATTCTCCATACGCCGGAATAGCTCCGCGATGGGCCGTCGCCGAGGTTGCCACCGGAACATCTGCTCCTTCTCCGTGACGACTGGCTCCATCGGCGAGCCCACGTCCAGCATAGCTCGGGCCTCCTCCCCTGTCAGAAAGTGAACATCCATAGGACCGTGATCCGGCGACGCGTTCGGCTGCTTCGCGACCGACAGCAGGTCAAACACGATGCGGTTAGTCACCTCCCCATGCGTGCGGAACTGCTGTTCACCTTCTCCCGTGGCGGCTCTCGCCAACCGTTCCTGAATCTCCCAAAGCACCTGCTTGCGATATTGGCTGTCCCGAATGACGTTGGGGACAGGACGCACGCTACTTCGACCGACTGCTTTAGGAATGCGAGCCGTGCGATGGAGGTCACCGGGCGTCCTCCTCTTCTTACGCGCCGGATGTTCTGTAGTCAGTGTAGGTACGTCTGGCGACCAGACATGCGAGGAAGCTTGTCGCATTACCGCAAGCGGCGGAGCCCCAGGTGGCGATAGAGCGGTCGTCTGTAGTCTGGCGATAGAAAGCACTGGCGTAGCAATCTGCGCCGCTTCTGGGCAGCTCAATGAGAGGCGATTGTGCGCCATGGAGTTCTTGAGGTGGCGGTACTTCTCCAAGTGCTTATCGCAAAGCTTGTCAACATGTCCTGAGTATTGCTCTACCATGCGTGGATCAAGCTTGTCACCGGTTCTGTCGAGAATCATGTGGAGGATACTTGGCACCTCCACGGGGCAGCACCGCAAAACTTTATCGATTCGGCCATTAGGATCGGACGGCCTGGGCATTGTTGGTCGTCTGCTGCTCTCCCCATTGGTTTTCTGCACTGCCTTAGGTCCGCGCTCACCGTCTGCAACTCGCACACTCTTGCGACTTGCCTTCCTAGTCATCCTTGAAGATATACCACTGCTTGCTAGGCCATCTATGGGGGTAGTCCGATAAGCCCCACCTTCGCCAGCAGCCGGCACCGAGGACGAATCTTCGTTTGACTCTATTTTTGGCTCAATCCCGTCGGCCAGCGGATCAGCTTCAGAGATATCTCGAAGAAGGCGCAAAATGTCATCGGAACATGTCTCCAAATTTTCTTTCCGCATATCTGGCTCAAAATTTGCATTCTGAGACACTAAAGCCGCCGCCGCCCTTAATTTCTCAAAAATTCCATCGTCGTTTCCGGGGTATATCGGTGGCGTTGCTGACGGTACCAGAGATGCCTGCCATGTCCAGTACGGCGACGTCGGATCATAGGCAACTCCCAGGGTCCCCCATGGAGTCTCCGGGTTATAAAGGTCGCAACCCGCAAGCAGAGTGGTGGTTCGGGCTTTCCGGCTAGCTTTACCTGGTGCCGTATCTGGCGCGCTTGCGCTGATGAGATCACCTGACTGCCAGCTATCTAAGCACCGCTTGCTCGGAAGGTAATGATTCGATTGTCGACGAGGCTGATTTGCAGCTCTCGTCTGCCAATTCTCGAGTGCTCCAGTTCTATCCGCGGCCGTAGACTGCGAATTGGTAGGTGCACCCGGCGAGAAGTAGCCGGATGCAGCCATCTGGTAGAAACGCGAAAAATCAGGCCGACTATACGCGCCGCAGCATGCAGTCAGAGCCCGCAGCCGCGTAATTTGCGGCAGACAAATCGCTATACCGTCAGCAAGGTAGCCGCTTCAGCTAGAAAAGGATAAAAGGAACACGGAGGGTGAGGCTCTCGTTGCGGGCATGCCACATGATCTTCGTCTCCTCTCTTAGAACCGAATTGGAAGCGCTGATGGAATGAAACGGCAATTGCCCGCGAAGCAGTCCTCTATCTTCTGCCTCTCCGTTGGTATGGGGAGTCTCCAGTCCGCGTTGTTCTTCGCTACATGGAGTGCGACATGGTGAGCATTGATATTGATGAGAGGATATAGAAACTGGTCACCGTTTGTTGGTTCGGCGCCAGGCGTTTGAGATTTGAAAGGTTGGATGGTTTGGCACGTGCACGCGTTCTCCAGAAATCGCCAGCCCCAGTTATTCCAAGCCACTGACCACCATATCATGCATACGTGGCGCAGCACAACCTTATCTTATCTGATCATGGTGCAGCCTCTTGGATTTTGTCCACGCTACTCCGTACTCCGTACTCTTGTACTGTTTCCTATAAATCGGCTGTTGTCGAACTGAGCGAATGGACTAGGAGGAATTTTTTTTCACAGAACGCTGGAAATCTAAGACAGCTGGAAGAGGGAAAGCCAACCCTGACTATGACAAGGCCATGGCCACCAGGCATAGACCTGCCGCTTTGCGTCTCCACCTATTTGCTCACCTTTTGGGCCAAGGCATATCGAATAGTGCCGTTTACAAGGCAACTTGTCGTCGAGGCTCCCTTATGCGCATTAGTGGTTTCGGTTCACATGTGCCTATGAATTGAGACAAATTTCAAACAAATGCATCTAATATACTCTTGTACTGCAGTGTAAACTTCCGCAAACCCCCAGCTTCGTTTTGTCTGTTGAAAACAAACGAGACGGGATGAAGGCTTCTGTTAGACAGGTGTATAGAGTACATATAGTATAAGCTGGATGCCAACCACAAATTATTAGAAAGGCGATAGACCACTTTGAGGGACTCACTATAACAAGGTCATTCAAAATTGTAAGAATGGGGGCTAAAATATATATACTTATTAAGTTTTCAGATATACCCATCTAGTGAATCTCTTTTCTTATAGACTAATTGCCTTTTTTTCTTCGAAACTTGTAATAGCTGTGAGCTTCTGTTTTTAATTTAGGTGATATGACTTGAATATTTCTGATTTATCTGTTTCCCATACTTGACTCAACTCTAGTTCGGAGCCCTGTATATTGACGTTCCAATTGTATGTCTAGGTGATGCAATTTATATAAATGGTTTATGTAGAATAAACATGTATGCATACCAAAGCTAGGGCATATTATGATCTTTGGGATAGCGAATATGTTATGTCCCTGGTGCTACGTTTATCAGGATATATAACTAAGACTTTCACGTACGAGCTATAGGCGTCTAGAGGATCAATGCTGTCGAAGCCTTTATGTGAGGTATGATTTGTGCTTTTATTTTCGCTCGTTTGGCATTAGTCGAAAAGGCTCATATATTCTCTATATATATTTTTATCAGTATAGTCGTGTTTCTCGTACAGTAGAGGCAACTGTTGACTAGAGGTTATGTCTTACAATACCGAAGCACTAGATAAGCACATGGCATATTGATAAGACACATAAAAGAAAATTAAATAGATAGGAAAGGTATGTATGCCTTCATCTCGAAAAAATATACCGAATACCTAGTTTATCATACTTCTCCTCAGAGTATAGCTGTGCTTATTTATGAATAGTTGTAGCACGAAGATACGTCATTTCGTAGTCTTAGATTCCGTATATTCTATTTTAGCTCTGACAATCTGCTCTAATACAAAAACCCTAGATGGCCATCAATATGTAGATGGTGAATTATGTTTACACCGATGGCCCTGTTGTGGGCAAGACTCTTGGAGGGATAGATTCAGAGACCGAAAACCAGTTGCAAGCAGAATAAAGATAAGAAATAATACGGAACCTGTTTACATGCTTGCAGGATAAGCGAACTATAATAAGAAACTATGTACGTCGTATGGCTTATCAACGCTAACACCATAGAAGCACACAGGTGGCAGCAACCTACGACATATCTAACGTACTCCGTGCAGAGTGAGGTCTTTGATAGCACTGCGTCGGGAGAACTAGCTCTGCATGCGCCTTCCAGTGTCTGTAGCCTATGTAACCGGGAATCTACGACGACGTATACGGAGTATTTCATTCGAGGCACTCACCATACGATCGAAATATAGTACAGGGATTTACAGTGTCGATTCATACGACGTACTCCGTAGACTACGCGTACAGGCCAGATGATCTCCACTCTATTGACAAGCCACTGCGGCGGTTTCTCGGGCGTTCAATAAGAAGTATCTTACTATACGAGGTAACTTACTCCGCACGGAGTGCATCTCAGAATTACAGAGAAAACTGTACGATTACTCCATGATGGGCGCCTAATAATTGTGGGGCGCAGGAGAGCTTACCGCAAGTAATTAGTACGTCGTACGTCGTACGTCGTAGAACCATACGGAGTAGCTGCCGAGATGTTAGGGGTACTGGCAACTGGGATGGCACCTGAATTACCATGCACACATTGACGTAGCTAACGGTTTTATAGGGATTAAATTCTATCCACCATGAAATATAGCCAATTACAGCTCGGTCTTACTAGAACAAGACTGGCAGTGGCAATGGCTAGCACTCTATAGCAATGCAGAGAGAACTGGCATAAGCAGAGACATGCAGCATTAGAAAGTGGAAGCTGTGATCTGGTCACGATGCAGGTAAAAAAGGATGCAATCCTAGAGGATTCAGCACATTAGGCGGTAGCTGCGAGCTAGTTTGCCCCGCCTGCGCGGGGGGGCCGATGCTTATGACAAGGACAGTACGGAGTACTCCGTAACACTATCTATCTTTACGAAAAGCAAGATACGAAGTAAGATACAAGTCCCAGTGACCGACCCGGGGTTTCAGAGCTCATGAGCTTGTTACGGGGTCTGATCAAGAAGATTTTGGAAAGAAAAGAAAGAGCATGGCGGAGTTTTAGTGGAGATACAGCCCAATGAGTGACCTGTTCTGGCTAGCTGTGCCGGTCTTCTTTCCTTGAAAGGTTAGTGTGCCTGACATTCCAGGGGATACGTCGCATACCTGTTCCGCAAGCAGTAAACAGGGAGCGCGTCACTTCTGATTACTGGGGTACGTAGAAGAAGAAGAAAAGTAAAGAGTATTTGTACCCCGTACGAAGAATGATAGCAAAGAAGAGAAACACTCCAAGGTGGCCGATACGGTGACATGGTTTGGACAAAGTACGAGTGCCGAAAGGGCCAGGGCATATTGTGGAATACGTCGTATACGGAAGGCTACAGCGTACGGAGTACGGAGTAGAAGCGGCTTGAACACCACAGGAAATATAGCGGCTCCTTAGCCCCCCACATCGCATGTAACAACTAGATTCCGTACGGAGTACATGGTAGCCACTGCAGGACGGGCCGATTGCTTTGAGTTTGCTGTGGAGCTACGAGATCATGTGCATGGGATAGTGTAATAAAAACGCCTGGATCTGGATCTTCTGCTCGTACATACGCAGGCTCGTCCGCGGAGCTTTCGCGTTGCGATGACGGGGTACCCCGTAATAGCGGAAGTGGTCACCGACTACTATGTAGGATGGGTTATGTATGCTTCGGCCGGCCAAATGGCAGACGGCTCGGCTACTGTAATTGACCAAGCCGCAAGAGCTATCGCCGGCAGTGCAACCTCGGTTGATACTACCCAGCGAGACAGCAAATCCTCTGTACGTCGTACTGTTCGCATATGCATCAGCAAGCGCTCGGCGCCTAGGCCAGACACCTCCGGCGCAATGTCGGCCAAGAAAACCTGGAGCGGCAGGCTGCTAGGCCTGGATTGCTCTGCATCCTTGTGTAAATGCGTGCATGACATATCATCTTCATTCCTTCGTTCTTCCCATCTGGCCGAGCAAGTCTAAGATATCTTAAAAGTACTACATAGCATGAAAGGCAGGTTCCGTTTGAGAAACTGGCAAGGGATGGGTATTACACAGATCAAGTGCTCTCCGTATACTTCGTAGAAACCCGATAGATATGCTGACCCTGCAAATTCGCGCTTATGAAATTTACGGCTATGCTGCAATTGGCAGGAAAGGTACGGAGTAATTCGTACTCGTAGAGACACAGCCACTTGAGCACGCAAACAGTGCAAGGACCAGGCTGACAGAGATTATGCGTCAGATTTCGGCACCGCCAAACGGCAAGGACAACGAAAGCAGGAGCAGCAGAGCCAATAAACGGCCCACACGCCGACCGCTGAAAGTCTATTTTGGCCAGTTGCACCAGTCCACCGGCGCGAGAAACCAGAGGCCTGACTACTACGTAGCGCCAGAAATACCACCGACAAATGCCCATTTGGCTGTATCTCCGAGGCGTGGCATGCAAGCTTCCCTGCTAAAGCGACACCCTCCCCACAGGTCACACGATACTGGAGAAAGGATGGGGAAAGGTTGGAGAGGGCAAGGGAGACCTAATTGACAGTTCTCTGCGGGGACTTTCTCCATTGTCCTCACAGCTCTCGCTTGTCGCCTCCCCCGTCATTGTTAGCCCCTCCTCCGCATCCAACGGCCCGGATTTTGTTGGCGGCCACTCCAAGCACACAGCTCCCACCCCGCAAGACTTTGTCCAATTCTATTGGCGCCAGACTGGCCAGCCGTGCTGACGAGGAAGAAACATGCTACCGGTGCTAACGCCCTCGCCTTGTGCGTTGCCGATTATGCCCGTTTCCAGACAAGTTACGGCCACGTCCGATTGATCGTACGGCGGATGCGCACGTTGGCCGACCTGGGCGGTGGTTTGCGAAATGCCCCTTCTCTATCTCTAGGGATGCATGTGCCCAGCGTCGGCAGGTATCATACACAAGTATACGGACAAGTCGGTTTCAGCGTCCCCTATTGGTGCTCGCAGATTATTGTGGCGCCCGGCCAAACAAAGGAGCGAGAGGGGCAAAATTTAAATAAAATAAATAAGGAGCTGAAAACAGATCCCATGACCACTGAAAGCGGAAGTTCTAGCTGACTGATGCGAATTATCTTATCTTACAAGCCACTTTCCACGCTGACCTCAAATACAAAATTGGCGACGCTGCTAATGTTTTATACCTAACCGAACCCGACTCGGCACAGGCGCGTGCTCTGTATGGCCCGTAAACTTTGGCCCATCTGAAATCGGCAGGTGCGATCTCTTGGCCACAATGATGCTCGGCGTATTGGAAGAGTCTGGCCGATTACTCCAGGAAAGGGAAATAATACGTTGAGGTGCTTCTTCGGCGGCAAACAAAGAATACGGGGCAGATGGGGAAGACGGAGTAAGTCCAGTACCCCATGGAACCAATGGAGCAAGCGCGGAGCAAAAGAAAGAAGCACATGCGTACGGAGTAGTACTCCGTACTCCGTACTTTTTTTTTTTGTCTTATTGCTTGGAAACACCGGCGGGTACGGCTTAGATCCCCCCACCCCCTGGCTCTTTCCGGAGACGAGCCTTTGAGTGGCCGCCCGGTCTCGGTGTTACAGGTCAAGGGGCGTGTACGGAGTGCATTGCAAGGAAGGTGCGTCTATGGCCCTTGCTGATTGCGGAGTGTACCTCGTGCCACCCCATCTCAGTCGTGAACGAGAGCAAGCTGGGGAGGCTAGAGCTGGCCGGAAAAGGGAGAGACACGATAATGCACGTATGTGTACCCGACGTAAGGATGGATTTTACCAGAGAAGAAACTCCAGATAGCAGGAAAAAAGTTATATATAACGGACGTGTCACCCTCCTTCATCAGCTCCTACTTCCTATTTACCTAGCATCTCAATCACTCTTCTGGTTTCTTCTCCAGCAATTCTCCATCAAATACTCCCTCTTCCTTTTCCTGCTGTCGTACATTACAGCACGTCAGTCTCATCATGTCTGGTCTTGAAGAAAAAGAGGCTTCGGCCGCTGAGCACCATCCCGATGTTTCCCAAGAAGTTGAAAAGGTCGAAGCACCTGTCACCTGGAAGGCCTACGCGATGTGTGCCTTCGCCTCCTTCGGTGGTATCCTGTTCGGTTACGATTCTGGTTATATCAACGGTATCAACGGTATCGCCAGATTCGTCCAGACCATCGAGGGTCCTAACGCCACCGCCCTGACGGACAGCCACGAGTCTCTGATCGTTTCTATCCTTTCCTGCGGGACCTTTTTCGGCTCACTAATTGCCGGTGATCTGGCCGACAACATTGGCCGCAAATGGACGGTCGTTATGGGTTGCCTGATCTACATTATCGGAGTGGTAATCCAGATGACCACGGGTGCCGGCAGCGACCATCTTGGCGAGATTGTAGCTGGCCGTCTGGTTGCCGGCTTTGGTGTCGGTTTCGTGTCTGCCGTTGTCATCCTGTACATGTCTGAAATCTGCCCCCGCAAGGTCCGTGGTGCCCTCGTCGCTGGCTACCAATTCTGCGTCACCATCGGTCTGCTACTTGCCTCCTGCGTCGTCTATGGCATCCAGGATCGCAAAGACAGTGGCTCTTACCGCATCGCCATCGGCCTCCAATTTGCCTGGGCCCTTATCCTCGGCGGTGGCCTGATGCTCCTGCCCGACTCGCCCCGCTACTTTGTGAAGAAGGGTGACCTGAACCGTGCTGCCGACGCGCTCTCGCGTCTCCGTGGTCAGGCCCGCGAGTCTGACTACATCCAGTTTGAGCTCAACGAGATTGTTGCGAACGAAGAGTTCGAGCGCGGCCTGATGCCTATCACCACCTGGGCACAGAGCTGGCTCAACTGCTTCAGCGGCAGCCTGTGGCACTCGAAGTCCAACTTGCGCCGTACTATTCTTGGCACGTCCCTGCAGATGATGCAACAATGGACTGGTATCAACTTCATCTTCTACTACTCCACACCCTTCCTCAAATCCACCGGCGCCATCAAAAACACCTTCCTGATGTCGCTCATCTTCACCCTCGTTAATGTCTGCTCGACCCCGCTGTCTTTCTGGACTGTCGAGCGCTTCGGCCGCCGCACCATTCTCATCTGGGGCGCATTGGGCATGCTGATCTGCGAGTTTATCGTCGCCATCGTCGGTGTCACCGTGGGCTTCAATCATACTCACATCGACCCGGCCGACATCACTAAGACTATAGCCGACAACATTCCGGCCGTCAATGCCCAAGTTGCCTTCATCGCTATCTACGTCTTCTGTTTCGCTTCCACCTGGGGCCCCGGTGCCTGGATCGTCATCGGCGAGATCTTCCCTCTGCCAGTCCGGTCGCGCGGTGTCGCCCTGTCCACCGCCTCCAATTGGCTGTGGAACACTATCATTGCCGTCATCACGCCTTACATGGTCGGTGAGAACAAGGGCAACCTAAAGTCCAGCGTCTTCTTCATCTGGGGTGGCCTCTGCAGCTGCGCCTTTGTGTATGCCTATTTCCTCATCCCAGAGACCAAGGGCCTCACTCTCGAACAGGTCGACCAAATGCTCGACGAGACATCCCCGCGTACTTCCAGCAAGTGGAAGCCCACCACAACCTTCCAGCAAGAGCATGGCGTCACGAAGAAGGTCGATGCCCTGCCAATTGACGCCGCCAACATTGCTTGAGCCGAACCGTGTTGGTGGTTTTGTGTACTGCGCGAGCGCTGTTGCTACCCTTAATAATGCACTGACCCGGAATTGTGGGATTGAAAGATGCTGGTGATGAAAATGCTTTGGCCAGCATGCCATCGAGCGAGCGGCGTCTTGGCATGTGTTTATTATTTTGCTTTTTGGAGTTGGCTTCTTTCTGGAAAACTATACCGGATTTGCGATGATTCAGATGTTTATGGTCATGTCTTGCGCTTTGTTGCTTTTTTAGTCGCCTGCATCTTTGTGGGCAAGGATGCAGCTGATTCGCATCTTGTACATCCCTTATAATTTAATTGCGAACAGTTATGGCATCTTTTAAGAAGACTGGTATGCCGCAACAAATGAAACTGCCTAGACTTACGGGTTATTATTTTATCTTACACAAATTTCTGCTTCTTTTTTATTTATTATTTTTGAAAGGGGGGGGGGGAGCGGGGCTGCCGAAGAAAGCATGGCTCTGGTTGACAAGCCTCTCCTTTTCGAATGCGCCTTGCCGTAATACCGTATTGCTTTCAAATTACTGGATAAATATTGTCTTACGAAGTACTCCGTACGGAGTAGTAAGATACATATTAGGAGCCCTTCAATTTCCCCACTTTTCAGAGCACTGTATCTTACGTATGGAGTACTATGTACGGATCACTGCTTCCTCATCTGTCCCCAACGTTCTGGCTGCTTTGTTTTTGTTTACCATTTTAACCCAGTCTCTCTTTGTTGTGTTTCTCAAGCCCACCTTTCCCCTGACGTCACCACTGCTGCGTGCCATCCTTTCGGGGCTGTAAGATACCTTATTTATCGCTCATTATCGTTCTTTACCACTGTTTCTCTGCTTCGGCTTTAACATACGCCGGCTAGCCGAGCTGCCCTCTCTCCTGACCTACGAGGCGTGTCATAATTAACGCTTTACTCATACGCACCACATCCTGCCGACACATACCTTTCAAGCAGAAGTTAAGCCTACACAGCACGGCGCAAAAATACGCACTCTAAGAATCTACCCGTACGACCATATCAGCATCACGGGATAATTAATAGGGTGCGTCTTTTTTTGCTGTCTGCTTACTCGCCATATTTCCCACATTTGACCTACCTTCGGTGTTATCCCACCGTCTCCCATGCGACACCGCTCCTTCTGTGTGCTGAGACCGCCTTCCATGCCCGAAGCTTATTGACCCCTCCTCCTGTCTACCTCTTCTACACTGTTGGGCCGTCTTCGCTGTCTGTTGCAACTCGTTCCCTTGAGCAAGAAGCGCTACCCAAGTCTCCACAGAGCACCCGACCCCTTCACTCGTCTATTATGCCTGTCTTAAAGCTTTTTTGAATTACTGTTTCTGCTTCTTTTTGGTACTACTAGGCTTGGCATTCAGTCTCAAGCGCCGCCCATATGAAAATACGGATTCCTCTGACCTCAAGCCCAAGCACAGCGATTGGATCATACACTGGTATTGTGCACCATATACGGAGTACTCGTCACAAACTCCTCCAAAGAAATGCAGGGGGGAGAACACTACTCGCTCCAAAACATGCTTCATATTTCCGCAGTCTGAGCTGTTTGTAACGATTTCAGCACAAAACATTCGGCTACACCAGGAAGAATCAAACGGATTTTGGTTAGATGTACATCAAAATTTCAATGGCGTCTATCTCAAGAATGGGTTTTCGCAACTTTAGCCTGGTTGTGCAGGTCCTGGTGGTCATCGCACCCTTGACTACCGCCAGTGAGAGTACTGCTACAAGCTCCACGCGCACGTCTCCGTCCAGCGCAAAAGCGGCCACTGATACGCTGAGCATAACTGGCACCACATTACCACGGATTGCCCAGCAGGCAGAGCCATGCGCATATCTCTGTTACGACGCCGCATGTATTGACTCGGGCTGTTCCGCCGGTGATTTTGATTGTGTTTGCGACAATCCCAATTCTCTCGTCGTCAAGATGGGCATATGCGTGGGGGATTACTGCGACGGCAGCGAATCGATTGGTTTGTCTTCACATCTTTGTCTTCACATCTTTGTCTCCGTTGCTGCCTAATGCTTGGAAGCTGATTTTAACATTGGTACCAGACGCCGGCGACTGGGTTGCCGACATGTGCAGTGCCTACAACAAGAGCCCAGCGAGCGCCGAAATCGCAACAGCTTCGGCCATCATCGTTTCTGAAATCGCAGCCGCATCTGCCACAGCCACAACCGATCCAGTTCCGTCCGGGACTATCTCGGTAGATTCTGGAGTGACGACCACAGATTCGTCGTCAAATCAAACATCTTCAGGTTCTTCGGCTGACGGCAGCGCGTCCTCTTTTCTGTCACCACTTCTCGCGGGATTTCTGGGAGGCGCAATTGCGATTGCTGCCATCAGTTTTTAGTCTTCATTCGCAATCACATCATGGCTCTCAACAGAGTAGGCCTTATACATACTAATACATATTCTGCATAATGTATCGATACTTGGACCCCGCGGCCCCTTTTGCATTACAGGGCGTTATTTTCATCAGAGATCACGGTGCATGCCGAGTCGCCTGTGCAAGTAGCTTTTCCGCTTCTTCACAGCGACGCAATCCATGTATGCTGAGAAGTACTTGTGATAAAAACAGTATACCTATTGCAACTTAGCTTGTGCGACTGCAGCCTGATTTGTTGCTCTGTCCTTCACATCTACAACGCTAATAACTATCGCATGTGCCCATTCTCGTATGCTACTACAATGCGTGCTGGCACATCATATACTATGGAAATTTAATCATCACTGCCGTGTAAAGTGGACTAATCCTCCAAAAAAAAAGGTTGATACCTGCGGCTTTTTGTCAAGGACAAACCTAGCAAAGGCTATATCTAATGCTAGCACGCACCGATAGGACTACTCTGTTGTTCGGTCAAATGTCAAGATTGATATCAATCGAGTGTTATCCCGTGCTTGTGCCCCTCGTAGGGTTTTCCCACTACACTTCATTACCAGTAGTCTTGTCTCTTAGAAATCTTTGCGGGAAAAATAACGAAACGCAGCAGCTCGGTATTGGCTACTAAATGACAACGGTTCTGATATAAGAATTCACATACTGCTCAAAGAGGTTGTTATATCATGAGATGCCCACCAGCTGGCCAATACTCGGAAAATCGTGACGCCGTCGTCATCCTTGTTAGGCCATCATCTGAATAATACAGACCTGTGGATGTCTGCGACAAAGCCCTCCAGCAGCCTACCGAAGACATATTTTGATTCATATTTTGTTCTTGTTTTCGCCCTTTTCGTTTCTTTTCTCTTTTCTGGTTTTTTTTGGGGGGGATTTTGTGTGTGTGACTCGTGTTACATCTAACATGTACTCGAGCACGAGTTAAATTAACTCGCTGATCCGTGAGTTGATCCGACAACACCAGTTATGACCCTCTCAACGCTTCAATGGCAGCATAAGGCAACAAGCATGCTGCCGTCTCGCAAAGCATATGCTCCAAATTCCACCGACGCTATCAAGCGTATTAACCCCTGGCCACGTCACAAGGATGGTCAAGAGCTCGGCCTCGCTTTGCAATATTGAACAAGAGCATTCGACGCCTGTCGGCCGCATAACCTCACATCCTTTTCATGAGTAAAGCCATTTCATCTTCCAAGTATCCCATAGTGCCGTCCCCGCCGATGCTAGGGTTTCCTTCTGCCCTTTTTGCACTGATGCTATGTCTCTCACATCAAGCCATGCTTCGTGCCAAGAGCTGTCTTCAAACGCCTTCAGAATGAGTCATGCCGGATCCCGCCATCTGAGTGGCAACGTAACAACGCCAAACTCCAAGTACCAATCTCTGTATGCCTTTGCCCTGCCTTTGCTTATGATGCAAAAGAAACGCGGAGCAAAGATGGCCAGCGCCGTCCCTATCATTTTGAACACAAAAAAACCATAGGGGACGTATATATCTCTCGGTAAAGTTCCAGAGTTGCATGCCAATTCACGGGGCCTGATAAATTATGCGGGAGAACCTCGCAGAAAGCATCAAGTAGGAACACAAGCCTCATTCTCCTTCTGTGCGGTGCTCTTGCTCCGTCCTTCGGCTCAAAGATGAGTGCGTACCAAAGTTTGAAATGCCGCGTAGTCGAATCGTTGAATAAAAGGGGGAAAATGTAATCAAAGTTGAGAAGAGCAAGATCAATGTGAGGTTTGCGAGGCGAAGATAGAATGTGTCAGGTGCTAGGAACAACAAAGATGGGTTATGGCCTGTGTAAATACGCAGTTTGAAAAGGCGTCGCAATGAAATGGTACCACACAAAACTCAACGGTTCGTTTGGCAGAGCAAGCTGTGAATAGCCGCCAAGTGTCGCCTACCCAGATGATGGGTATTTTTGCCACAGTGACAGTTCTCGGGAAGCCTGAAGCCATAGCAGAAAGGGGAAGAAATAACAACAAGCAAGTAAGCAGAGCGAGTATGTACAGGTAAAAAAACGAAATTGAAGCAAATTTGTCGTCACTGCAATCAGGGGTGCTTCGTTCAAACCGGCCACAGCAAAGGCACTTTAACAGCCTATGCTTGTTGAGCTGGTGGAGCTCCCTGTCCGCCACGGCCACCACGGCCACCATAGTGACCTCTGCCGCCGTGATAACCGTTACGGCCGCGACCACCTCTCGAGCCAGACGATTGGCCTCTTGCCTGATAACCTCCCCGTTGAGTACTGCCGCTGAATCCGCCTTGCTGCCAATCACCCTGTGCCTGGGGCAAAGTCGGCTGGGCTTGACTTGCCCTTGATTGCGAATTTGTCTGGAGTTGACCGACGGAGCCGGAACCAGATGCCGCCGGGAAAGACGCCGGTTTTGCCAGCGTTGCGATAGGCCGAGGAATACTCTCCGGATTCTCGTACACATAAAGGCTTTTGTCGATGGTGGCCGGGATAGGTTGGATCTCCGTCCCCAGGTCTCTCTCGATGTTGTAGAGGTTTAGGCGGTCGTCCCAATTGATCAGATTGATAGCCAATCCAAGATGGCCATAGCGACCGCTGCGACCAATGCGATGCAAGTAAGTCTCTGCATTTTTGGGAAAGTCGAAATTGATAACAACATTGACAGCTTGTATGTCGATACCTCGTGTGAGAAGGTCGGAGCAGACGAGGTTACGGCAAACTCCGTTGCGAAAATCGTGAAAAACACGGTTTCGTGCCTGCTGAGCCATTTTAGCGTGGCTATAGAAGCAAGAGTAGCCGAGCTCGGTAATTTTCTTCGCCAGCAATTCGACACGATTCGTGGAGTTGCAAAATATAATTGATTGGTTGATTTGAAGTTTCGAAAAAAGGGTGTTCAAGCAGTGGACTTTTTGGCGCTCCTCCACGAATGCATAGTACTGGGTTATGCCCCGGAGAGTGAGCTCGTCCATGAGGTTGATTTCGTAGGGGCTGACCATGTTTTTATCCGAGAAGTCTTTGACGGAGAGAGGGAAGGTTGCTGAGAATAGCATGACCTGGCGGTCTTTGGGATGGAACTGCAGCAGCTGTTCTATGACTGGTGTAAATTCCGCCGACAAAAGCTTATCCGCCTCGTCCATGATAAACATGGGGCACTCGCTGAGGTCAGCCACGTTCTTGCTTGCTAGATCAAGAATTCGGCCGGGGGTGCCGACCACGATATGGACGGCCTCCTGGAGCCGAACAATATCATCACGAAGCCCTGTTCCGCCTGTCGTTACCATAACGTTGATATTAAGATGCTTTCCTAGCGACTTGCAGACCTGTGAGGTCTGCATGGCAAGCTCCCGGGTAGGAACGAGAATCAGGCATTGGATCTTGGAGACCTTTGGGTTGATCTTTTCGAGGGCAGGGATAACGAAGGCGGCAGTTTTTCCCGTTCCATTCTTTGCTCGTGCAAGAATGTCACGGCCAGTCAGGGCAACGGGGATGCTCTCTTCTTGGATGGGTGATGGCTTCTCAAATCCAGCCTCAAAAATTCCCATAAGCAGGTCTCGCTTAAGACCGAATTCCTCGAATTCAAGGCCCTTTGTGTTTGTCACATCCTAGCACGAGACGGTCAATATTGCGCTTACAGGTTACCAGATCGACATCTAGTGTGGTATAACCCACGGAAAAGCTCACCTCGGTCTGTTGTCGGCTGTCTTTTGTGGGGATGTTGAGTGTACTCTTCCAGTCGTCTGATTTTCTGTCATCACTGCTTGCAATTATTCAGTTAGAAGATCTGCAACAAAGTTTGGTAGGTTTTCGAGCCGATAGGAAAATGGGCCATTAGAAGCTCACTTCAGCGTAGTCGACTTCAACTTTTCGACGAGACCATCCGCCATTGCAGTGTATGTGAGGCGTTTGCGTTCGAAACCACTTGTGCTTTCGAGATATATTTATTGAAATGCAGCTTTCTCTTTTGAACAGAGATGAGCTGCGAGATGTGTCGAAACTAAGCCGTCTGGGTGAGCTTGAGCTTGAGCTTCCTCTGCCTAGGGCAAGTGTCGATAAAAAGAGGGAGCGGGTAGGCAAGATGTAGCCGTTCTGGTGGGCGAGATAGCAGTAGTGGAGTAGAATCTGATTGCACGCAGCGCAATGGGCCAGGCGAATTGGGTGTAGATAGCTGAATCAAGCGCTGCAAGGAGCTGGTCTGGCCGGTCGATGAGAGGGGTATCTCGAATCCCTCGGTACAAGGCGGGCTGGGCACGGGTGTAACAATGTAGGAATGAGGTCGGACGTCGTGGCTGAGAGAAACTTGACTTCAAAAATATTTCTCCGATTGTTGTGGCAATACCTTTGGTGATAATGCGTTGAGCTTTTGGTTGGTAAGAAATCTCGCGGTGTGAAAAAAGTCAAACCGATAGAAGCGGAGGGTGGATTTGTGTGATTTGGATGGCAGACAGAGCCCAGTTGTGACGGCCAAGAGAAGACAATGCCACGTGATTTGTGGGGGCGGAAGCGAAGAACAAAGCCAGCGATGGGATCGGCCAACGTTGACTATTATGCAGGTAAAAAGTATGCATCTTGCTCTCCACGGTACGGAGTACGTACGGAGTACTAGCCAGGCCTGTTCTCCGTACGGTACATACAGTACTACAAAATAGACCAATCGTTATCTATAAGCCGGTTACATAGCGGGGCCGGAGGAAGCAGCTGGGACTGAGAACCCCACGCAGATGCCTTCCTTCCGTGTCGTCGATAGGAATTGCAGGCATGGTCCACACTCGTCCTTGTCACTGATCATGTTCGTTAGATTCACAGCTGCGCCGGCCTGCCCGTGCTGCAGCGTGCACTGCATCTTCTCGTCGTCCTTGTACTCCAGTGCCTCCGCACGACGGCCGCGATTTTATTTGGCTCCCCGGCCGCAGCGACAGCCTTTTGCAACAGCTGTTCGAGACGACGGCGTTGGCCATAACCAGCAGAGCAGCAGAAGCGCCCAAAGCAGACACAAGCACGGTCAAAGAGGCGGAAACGCTCTTTTCTGGCCAACATCAACGAATCCAACGCCGTACGAGATCTTCAATCAGGCCCGCGAAGCACCCTACCAGAAGGCACAGTTCTATCAGCTCGTGAAGCTCTACCATCCCGACCGACACCGCCACGTTGCTGGGCCCGGCTATAAGCATGGTCATGGTCAAGACCATGGCCACGGTTACGGTCTCTCGGCCTCAACAATGTTGGAACGTTATCGTCTCATCGTGGCCGCGAATGAAATACTGAGCAATCCGGCCAAAAGGCGAGCGTACGACCTCTACGGTGTCGGTTGGGCCGGCCACACAGCCGCACACACGTCCTATCGCAGCGCAGACCAGTCGTGGCGGAGCCGGCCGGGCAGTGCAGCCAATAATGCCACGTGGGAGGACTGGGAGCAATGGCATAATGAACGGAGTGGCAACAGTCGCGGCGAGAAGCAGGTGACTCAGTTCATGTCGAACGGAGGATTTGCCGTAATCGTCATATTTTTCATTGTGCTAGGAGGCATTGCACAGGTCACTCGGGCAGGTTCCACGTCTCTGACAATGCTGGAGATGCAGGACCAGCAACACGAGAAGATCAGCCGCAAGCTCTTGGACCAGGAGACAGGACATGCGCCACTTAGCCGAGAGGACAGAGTTTGGACCTTCTTGGAACGGCGGGAGGGTTGGTATAACTTGTCATCATCACCATCGTTGCCTCCCACAAGGCAGCCCGACGATAGCCGGAGTGGGAAATAAAGTACGGCGAAGGGTAGAACACAGTGACAGGACCGCTGTCGCGGGCTAAGGCAAGCAGATACTTTCTGGAACCTGGATCGTTCTATGCAAGCTTGCCTTTTGTCCCCTATTATATCGCTGAGAAGACTAGTCTTCATCTAGTTGGGCTTCACTTGCCGGAGCACATCAAGTCATCAAGTCCCATGGCTGAAATTCCGTGGTATAGAAAGGGCTGGTACTGATGCGAGTTGGTCGCGATCATTGCGATTTTGAGTGTTTTTTTTTTTTTTTGCGCAAATGCGCCTAGGTAATGATTGTCTTGAGATGCCGGTGCGGAACCCGGCCGGAGACACCGACATCTCAGCCTGCAAATTCTGGGTGGTCCTTTATTTATAGGCCGTCGCCCGTGTCTTCATCCCAATTGCGGTTGCAATTTCCATGACATCGTCACTCAGCCGGAAAAAACGGTGACGCCGACAGCAGCCCGGGAAGCCCCCAAGCTAGCGCTTGCCTCCAAGCTATTACTTAGTGGCGGCAAGTATCTGTTTGTCTCCATCGACCTCGACGCACCTTCCCATCGTTTCCTGTTCTTGGCCCGATTTTGCACGGCCTCCAATCGGATTCACAGCAAAAGCTAGCGCCATGTCTGCTGAGGGCGATGGCGACAGCGACACTTGGACACAGCTGGTCACAGACGTGGCCTCCATCGTGGCCTATACCCCGCCAAATCTGCCACCGCCAAGTGTGTCGCACCGATATGTGTTTGTGCTTTGGAGGCAGCCGGCCGTGCTAGATGCAACCAGGATTCACAAAGCGCTGGGCCTGGCTGAGACTATGGGTCGATGGGCGCGGATTCGTTGGGATGGGCACAATTTCGAGATAGTACGGAGTAATACTCCGTACTGGGCCTAGGACTAGCATTGGCGGCGAATCTTTTCTGTCGTCTAACTAGTGCAGAGAAGGACCAGGGCACAGTTGCAGCTACCCAAATGTTTCATGGCTACCTTACGACGTACATACAACACCCAACTGCGAGCAGAATTGTGCCACGTCGCCGGTCTTGCTTCGTACAAGTCATACGCCCGCTACTATGTGGCAAGGCTCGAGGGCGCAAGACGAAGTGAGGGGTCCAGTGCATACATAGACCGCTAGTCCTGGATAGGAAAAAGTAAACAAGCCACTGAAAACGAGAAGCGTGGAGAGGCCTAGGAGAGCCACTTTGCGGAGTACGGAGTACAGGGCTTCGTGATCAGGCATGAACGGGTGGATCGTGTGCATGTTTTGTTTACTCCGTACTTTCGCCTGTTGGGCCTCTGGCACGCGTTTTGACCCAATGGCACCGATCTGTCGAAGCTGGCCATACATAGTACGAGTACGGAGTACGGAGTACGCAGCAAGCTCTATGACCGACGCCATATGAAAAGCTAGGTCTACCAGGTCGAAAGCTCTCCATTTCTTATCCACCTCGACGCCCACAGCGACCACAACGACCGCGACCGTCGTCGACTGCCGTGCTCCCACACCGCTTTTTTTTTCGCCAGTCATGGCAGATCCCAGCGACCTCCCTATAGCTCTGAGACGGACACGTCGAAGCGTCACCAGGCTCTCGGCCCGATGTGCTACGGGAGCAGCAGACGTGTCCGTGTTAGGTAGAGACCAGACGCCAACCACACCTACACGGTCGCTGAGCCGGCATAGCGGCGGCACCAAGAAGCAGGTCCGCTTTTCAGACCCCGGGCCGGTCTTGTCTGCAGATGGCGATGCGGCAGACAGCGTGGTGGTAGCGGGAACGGGTCTGACGCCCATGATCCGACGCACATCGCTGGCGAGCAAGAGTGCAACGCCGTCGTCGACGTCTCGTCGGCGTCACTCCACCCCTGACCGTCTCAACTGGCCGTCGTCGCCGGCCTCGCGGGGCCGCGGTGTCAACATGGACGCGCCGTCCAGCCCATTCAGTGGCGACGTGACCTTTCTGCCGCTGCGCCAGGTGCTGGACGGCCGGGTGAAGCGAAGGCTCCGCCGCAACGGGCTCAGCGAAGAGATGAACACGATCCATGCAGAGAGGCGGCTGCAGGCGGCTGCAGCCCGAGCAGAGCTGCAGCAGCTACGATCAGATGTGGCCGAGAAGGATGCCGCCATCCAGCAGCTACAGCAGCAACAACAGAAGCTGCAGCAGCAGAGGACTGAAGGAGAGGCGGACACTTCTGGCAATGCTGCCGCCGATGCTTCCGACGACGACACCATTGTGCTGGACACGGACCGGATCATGGATCTGGAACGACAGGTGGCAGAGCTGCGTCGTGAGCTCGTGGTACGCGCGGATGCCCTGTCCCCATCGACACCTGAGGCAGGCCACCGCAGCTACAACTGGACCTTTGCTGCCCGCGACCCCTTTAGTTCGACGATACGGGATGAGGATAGCGGCTTTCCTGATATGTCTTCGCCTACCATTGAAGACGGTGAGGATGTGGTCTTTGGCGACATTACCATGGCCGAGTTGCAGAGCAGCACGCCCAGTCGGCCAGCCAGAGCAGGAGGACGCTTGACACGCCCCAGCTGCACGGCTGCAACGGGCAGCTTTCCGACACCGCCTCCAACCAGTCCTGCACCAGCGGCTGCAACTCCTGTCACGCCGATCGGACGGTACTTTGCAGCCGACACGATGCTGTCGGCATCGCCCGTGACCAGCATGTTGGTTTCCCCGCCGCAGGCCGACGCCGAGATGCAGGTATCATTGCCGGATGCGGAGAAGGAGCGGCTCCGGGCAGATCTCGTATCGCTGCAGGGCGAGATGGCCCAGCTCGAGACAGCCGTGGCGGCGCACCAGTCCCTGATGGCGCGACTGAACACGACGCTAGCTACGGGAGGTATCAGTGACGGGGCTGACAGGCTGGAGGAGCACGTGACCGGCCTATTGCGCAGCTTGTCCGACAAGACGGCCGCTCTGGCCGAGCTCTCAGCCGAGCTGCACGGGCTCGGCTTCACTGACGGAAGAACCGTCTGTGCAGACCCCAGTGGGGTGATCACGTTGCTGGCGGCTGCATTCCGCTCTGCCCGTCTGGAGCTCGAGTACCTGACGCCCGGTGAGATATCGCTGCCGCTGACAGCCACGGGCGCAGCCGTGCTAGATCTGCTGCTGGAGCGGCTGCGGACTCTAGCTCGCCGGGTCCACGCTGCGGACGCGCAGATGGACGAACATCACGAGCTGGAGCGCAGCCTGCGCCAGCAGCTGGGCGACCGTGTGTCCGCAATGGACAGCCTGTCTCACAAGGTGGCCGTGCGGGACGCGCAGATTGGCGAGTTAGAAGCAGCCGTGCAGAGCAAGGACGCAGATGCGGTGGCGACGGCTGCGGCCCACGACGAACGGGTGGCCGAACTGGAGGTGGGCCTAGACCGGCTGAAGGGCGCCATGGCGAACTATGCGCGCGACGTGACTGAGCTAGAGGCGCTGGTGCGGCGGCTAGAGGCGACGGTCGGTGAGAAGGAGGCTGCTCTGGGCGAGAAGGAGGCCGCAGTTGACGCACTGGAGGCCCGGCTGGCTGCGGCCATCAGTGAGGGTGAGACGCTGCGGGCCGATGCTGCGGCAGAACACGACCGCACCACAGCCTCGCTGCGTGGTGAGATCGACCAGGTCAACGCAGCGCTCCGGGCAGCCCAGGATGCGGCCCGCCAGCTGCGCCTCGACAATGCCGACCTCAGCGCCCAGCTGGGCGCCAACCACATCCGATCTCGGACGGCCGTGGCCACGCTGCAGGCGGAGCTGACTCGGATGGTCAGTCGGCTGGGCGAGGAACTGCTAGCTGGGGGGCCAGCCGAAACACCGCCCGTGGCTGTCTACACAGGGCCATTTGCGGAGTCAACGAAGCGTGCCAGCTGCGGCGACAGCGAGGATGCTAGGGCTGATGGCCGCTCGTCGCCGATGGCAGAGGAGACGACTAGCCGCAAACGTCGGCGATATGACGAGGAAGTCCATGGCTGAAAGAGGAGTGACGGCCTGTATTGATACGCCTTTGTAATGCCCTTTCCTTCAGTTGCCTTTGGCTCGTCAATCATGAACATTTGGAAATATTTGAACGGCGGCGCTGTACCTCTACCACCTGATCCTAGCCGCCTGCTATTGGCTGTTCTGGAAGGTGCGTTGGATTCCAAGATTTGCCTTTCAAGACTGCATCCCATGATGCCTCATATTGTCTCGCCCAGCATGCTACTTCTGTTCCTCTTGCGTACGGGACAACACGGCATGGCATGCCTATGGAGCGCCGGCAGAAAGGCGAGGGCGTCCATATCGACCTCAACACCAACATTCCCTCCATGTGGCTGGCTTCGCGGGAGTGGCACGAGATTAGCGCACCTTGGTTACATGTCTATTCTTGTGTTGGCTAGCGTCCGCGGTACCATGCCGGTGGGCAAGAGGGACAGCACGACTAACCGGGCCGCCAATATGGGCGAAGGTATGGAGATGTACAAACTGTGTCAGATATAGGCTGTCGATACTTCCAGAACACCCTATCTCTGTGCAGCTCAAGGCTGACATTAGGGTCGCGGCGACGGCCGGGTAATGGAAACCAAAAGAAGATTTAGACAATGGGCACAGCTTGATTGTGTGGACGAAACGATGCTTCAAAAAGTCTATATATTAGAGTGCCGCCCAATGTGGCAGCAATGCAAGTAGTATATCGTGTTGTATACCAAACATGAAAGGCCTGCTTGAGAGTGCGAGAAGAAAAGAGTGAAGGGAAAAGAGAGAGATAGCAGCAGTGGCATCGATCATGAGCACATGATTACAGTGCGTATGCAGCCAACGCTGCAACACCGCAGATGCCAATCAGAGCAAGTGTAGCGCGCGTGGCAGCAGGTGCGGCCGGGGCGGCAGCATTTCCGCTCGTCGACGAGGTTGCTGCAGCGGCGGTGGCAGTGAGGCTGAGAGCCGAGGTGATCTCCTGTGAGGCGCTGGCCAGAGCAGCCGATGCTGCTGTGGTAGCGACGGAGCAGATGTTGGAGAGGAGCGATTTCAACGCTAGAAGGGGGGTGAGCAATGAGACAAGAGCAGAAAGAGCGAGTCTGAGAAGCAAGACATACTGGCAGTGTCACTAGAGCTGCAAGACGACAGCAGAATGCAAGTGCCAAGCTGCGACTCAAGGGACGTAGATGTGGAGCTATTTGCAGCAGCACGGCAAAGACAGGCAATATCGGTGCTGGCGCAGCCCAGATTGGCGGCCGCTTCAGCGAAGCAGGACAGAGCGCACTGAGGGATCTCGGCGACGAGAGATGGCAGGGAGGGCGCAGTGGTCGAAGCAGTCGTCGCGATGGTGGTGGAGGCCGTGAAGGCCGTGGCGGCAGAGACGGGAGAGAGTGCATGTGCACCAAGCAAGGAGAGGCACAGCGGCAGCGACCGCGAGACAAGCATGATGGGGGCAGTCGGGTGGAACAAGGAATACAGAGAAGTCTGGGGAGAAAAGCAGCAGCAGCTGGCAGTGTTCCTGAACACGGGAAGCGAAGAAGATAAGACGACTGCAAGGATTGGAGAGAAGCGCCAGAAAAGAGAGCTGAAGCTCCTTCCGCAGACACAGCCTCGTCCTGTCCTATGTAGGGCACTGTTTGAGGCGGAGATGGGGGTGGGGACGGCCAAGCGTAATTATCTTTAGAAACAGCAGAACAGAAGACTAAGACGTAACAAGACTGCTACATAGTAGACACAAACTGCGACAGCAGGCAGGTGCCCGAAACAGAGAACAGATCATTGCATCCATGGAATACGAACGCAGAACCAAGGTGAAACGGGGGGAATTGCTGGGTAATCTTATCGTTATTAGGCTCTCTCGCGTCTATTGACTTCCAGCGGATGTCCGAGGACGGCTGGCCTGCACGTGCCCACGTGTCTGCTGCACAGGTGATCGAGAAAGGGGTTTCAACCGCTCCCGTGTGCTTAGTCATCGAGTTGGGATCGCAATCGCAACTGCAGCCGAGATCGGCTTGTCCGCTGCCAGCAGCGGCGTTGATCGGTAGCGGCCGGAGTGGGCCGATCGCCAGATAAGCACGGCTGAGTTCGTGGGTATAAGAAGAAGCACGGGCTGCTGGGCGCGCCGCAGCTGGCCGAGCATACAGTTTGAGCAGATCTTCCGTGTGCAGCACTCCGTACTGATCTCATGGCTCGCAGCATCACCGTCGCGGCGGCCCAGATGGGCCCGATTCCACACGAGGCCGAGCCGGGCGGCGAGGTTGTGCGACGGGCGGCACTCGACCGCATGCTGGTGCTGCTGGAGGACGCGGCCAGACAGGGTGCGCGCCTGGTGGTGTTTCCGGAGCTGGCGCTGACCACGTTCTTCCCACGGGCGCTGCTGACAGACGCGGCCGCCGTGGCAGCCGTGTTCGAGGCGGAGTCACCAGCGGCGAGCGTGACGTCGTCACCCCATCTGCAACCACTGTTTGCACGAGCTGTGGCGCTGGGCGTCGACGTCAGTCTCGGGTACGCCGAACGATGGACACCTGAAAACGGCAACGGCCCCTCGACCGACTTCAACACGGCCGTGTACTTCTCCGCGACCACGGGCGACGTCGTGGCCAAATACCGCAAGGTGCATCTGCCCGGCCGCACAACGTTGCTGCCGGCCGGCTCGGCCCAGCAGCTGGAGAAGCGGTACTTTGCACCCGGCGATCTCGGCTTCCAGGCCTTCCGTGTGCCCGGACTTGTGGCCGGAGCTCGAAAGGCCCAGGACGAGGACAGGTCCGATGCCGGCGACCCCATCATCGGCATGCTCATCTGCAACGACCGACGCTGGCCCGAAGCTTGGCGCTGCTATGGGCTGCAGGGCGTCGAGCTCGTGCTCTGTGGCTTCAACACGACCGACTACAAGCCACAGGAGGCGGCCGTGCTCGGCGACGCGGCCGCTCAAGAGGCCCTGGCCCTGCTGCACCACCACATCAGCTGCCAGGGCGGCAGCTACGCCAATGCTTGCTTCAGCATTCACGTGGCCAAGGCCGGCGTCGAGGCTGACGGCCCTGGTGGCGGCCTTATTGCCGGCACCGTCATCTACGATCCGCTGGGCCGCAAGGTCGCCGAGTCCACCACCAAGGGCGATGAGCTGCTGGTTGCCACCCTCGACCTCGACCTGTGTCGTCGCCAGAAGGAGACCATCTTCAACTTTGCAAGCCACCGTCGGGTCGAGCATTACCGCCGCCTCGTCGATCAGGTCGGCGTTGTCGAGCCGCCGTTGCTGAGCCGTGAAGCTTACTTTGGTTGAGGGACGTTGCACAGGGCATGCCAGGACAGAAAGACTACAAAAACATATTCAATCCATCAGAACATCAGAACATCAAAACATGCGGGTAGTCAGCATTCATAACACGTCCCAGTAGCCTGAACCAAATCGTCCCGTCATCGTCCCATTGCCTCTTGTCCATGACGTGATACCACCAGCCCTTAAGCCCCTCCCCTCTCGTGTGTTCACGGCGGCGTCGCCAGTTGGCTGATCTGCGGGACTGCTGGCCGTGCAGGCGTCTGGACGCCGACCGGGCCTGGCCGTACCGGCAGCCGGGTGATGTAGTCGCGGTTCTCAATCGTCACGCTCTTCGTCATGTGGTTGACCTTGTAGACGCCGACCAGCCGGGCAGCCAGCTCAAACATGTTGTTGCGCAGCGAGATGACAATGAACTGGGCGTTCTTGGTCCGCTCCTTGATGTAGTTGGCCACGATGGAGACCTGATGGAAGAGTTAGAAGAAGGGAAGAAAGAAAGTAAAAAGAAAGAAGAAAGAAGAAAGAAAGAAAGAAGAAAGAAGAAAGAAGAAAGAAGAAAGAAAGAAAGAAGAAAGAAGAAAGAAGAAAGAAGAAATGGAAAAAAATACTCACATTTCGAAAGTCTAGGGCCGCATCGATCTCGTCCATCACGTACAGCGGCGTCGGCTTGTAGTGGTGCAGCGCAAACACCAGCGCCAGGCTGCTCAGCGTCTTCTCGCCACCCGACAGGTTGCTGATATTCTTCCACGACTTCTTCGGTGGCATCACGCTGAACAGGATGCCCTCCGAGAACGGGTCCAGCGAGTCGACCAGTTCCAGCTCCGCGTTGCCGCCCATCGTGATCATCTGGTACATTTCCTTGAGTCGCAGTGAGATCACCCCGAAGCCTTCCATGAAGCCCTCGAGCCGGAGTCGTCGGAGGTCGTCGCATCGTCGTTTCGCCGTATCTCGCTGGCCTACCGCCGACGCCAGGTCCGACGACCGCGCCGCGTGCTCCTCCACCCGCCGTCGGTATTCGGCCAACACGCCCAGGTCCACGCTCGCGTTCTGCGTCTTCTCCTCCAGCGCCGCAATCTCCCCCTGCAGCACCTGCTTCTGCATGCCTGCCAGCTCGTCTGGGCTGTACCGTGTGAGTTCCAGTGGTGGTGTTCCCGCACTGTCACCTGTCCCTTCGCTCTTGATCGGCTGGTCCTTGTCAGCTGGCTCGCTCGCCACCTCCCCCGCTCCCTCATCCCCTCCCTCTCCTCCCTCCACCTTCACCTTGGCTCGCTCCAGGTCGTGGATGTCCTGCAGTCGCAGCTTCGACAGCTTGTTCTCCCAGTACCGCAGCTGCTTCTCGTTCTCCACCAGCACCTTCTGGTTCTCCTCCAGCTTGTTGCGCATGTCGATCTCCATTCCGCGCGTCGTGTTCAGCTCTGCCATCTTCTCGTCCAGCTCCGCCTTCACCTCGGCCAACACCTGCTTCTTCACCACCAGGCTCTCCCTCGCCGCCTCCGCCGCCGTCTGTAGCGACTCCGCCTTGTCGCCCTGATTTTGGATCTCCGCTTCCAGTTGTTCCAGCTCTTGCTGCGCTGCCTCCAGCTCTCTGCCTGCCTTTGCCCGGTCTTTCTCCAGCTTTGCCATCTGCTTCTCCGCCTTCGCCCGTCGTACCTCCGCGTTCGACGTCTCCTCGTTGTGGCTCGCCAGCTCTTCCTTGAGTGCCTCGATCATCGTCCGCTGTGCCCTCAACTTCTCGCCGCCCACCTCCATGATCTTGTCCTGCAGCCGCTGAATCTCCGCCTCCACACTCGCCATCTCGCCGTGCAGCTGCTCTGACTCCGCCCCCAGCCGCCCGACCTCCTTCTCCAGCGCCAGCGCCCGCTTGCTGTCATGTCCCGCCGACGATGGCTGCTGCTCCCGCCCGAGCTCCTTCATTCGCCGCTGCGCGTCCGCCAGGTTCCGTGCCGCGCTGTCCAGCTCCAGGCTGAGCTTCTGCATCGTCGTCTCCATCTGCGGAATTTGCTCCCCCAGAAATCGCAGCCGGCCCTCCAGCTCCCGTTGCCGCTCCTGGAACTCCGCGAACCGCTGCTCTAGTCCGTCCCGGTCCACCTCCAGCCGCGCCACCTGCTCCTTCGACGTGTCCGCCACCAGCTTCGAAGACATCAGACCCTTCTTCGTCGTCGTCCCGCCGCCGGACATCGTGCCCGACTTGTCGATCAACTCGCCGTCCAGCGTCACCACCCGCCACCGCTTGGCCCCGTACGCTATCCGGTTGGCCTGCGCCAGGTCCTTGGCCACCAGCGTGTCCTGCAGCGCGTGGTAGAACGCCGGCCGGAATCGCTCGTCTTTCGCTCGGATCAGGTCGAACAGCCGCGGCGCCTTCTCCGGTGTCTGCATCGCCGCCATGTCCCGCACCCGCAGCTTGTCCAGGCAGATGAAGTTGCCCCGGCCCAGATTCGTCTTGCGCAGATACTCGATGCACTGCTGGCCCGCCTCCACCGTGTCCGTCACAAAGTTGTCCAGCGCCGGGCACGCCGTCGAGATCGCCACGTCGTATTGCTGGTCGATCGTCCCCAGGTTGCCCAGCCGCCCGTGGAAGCCGTCGATCCGGCCGGACTCCCGCATCCGCATGAGCGCCGTCAGCACGTTGCCCTGCGTCTGCGTCTGCGACAGGCTCGAACGCGCCTCGTCCGCCTTCTGCCGCGCATTCGACAGCTGTGCTCGCATCTTGGGCTCCTGCTGCGCCAGACTTGCCAGTTCTGCCTCCACCTTCTTTGCCTCCTTCTCCAGACGCCCCTTTTCCAACTGGCAGTCCTGCAGCTCCGCCGCTTTTGCCGCCCGTCCCTTTTCGATGCTGCCGATCTTCGCCTGCATTTCCTCCAGCGCCGTCGCCCCGGCCGTCGCCTTCTCCTGCAAGATCGCCAGCTCGCTCTCCGCCACCGCAATCGCCGACTGCTTTTGGTTGATCTTGTCTTTCCACGGCTCCAGCGACTTCTGCTTCGCTGCAATCTGGTCCGAAAATGCCTGCGTCTTGCCCTTCAGGCTGTCACGGATGCTCGTCAGCTCCGCCTCCTCCTCCTTGATTTGCTTTTCCAGCTGTGCCATCTCTTCGGCACGCGTCCCAATCTCCTCCGTACACTGCTCGACCGTCTCGGCTGCCGTAGCCGCAGAGTTCTCCGCAGTCGCAATGGCCTTCTCAAGCTTCTTGCGCTTGTCGCCCAGGAACTTGCGCTTCTCTTCGTACTTTACACGTTCCTGGTCGAATTTAGCCATGTCCTTAAGCAGCTGTTGTGTTTCCTTCTCTTGGGCATCGCACTGTCTGCTGCCCTTGCTGTATGCCTTTTCCAACTGCTTGATCTCCTGCTCGCTGCCGTGATGTTTTTCGAGCTCGGCGTCCAGTTCCGCCTGCATCTGCGAGATCGCTTCTTTCGTAACAGCCACATTGTCTGTGCACTCGCCAATATAGATTTGGTAGAGAGCCGACTGCTTCATCGCCAGTTCGTTCTCGTCCCGGACATAGGCAATCGCCTTGTCCTTCTTGTCTTCGAGGCTATGCTTCTCTTTCTCGACGTGCTGCACCCGCCCGCTCTTCTCCATGCAAATGTCGTTGAGTGTTTCGACCTCGTTGGCTGCCTCTTCAATTGGCGTCTTATACTTGGATGTGCCGATAATGTCCTCGAGATATTCCAGGAGCCCATCCTCATGCTCGTTGCCCGCCTTGGGCTTCATCTGTGCGATGGATTCCACTTCGCCTTGCAGAATCAGGAACCGCTTGTGGTCCAGGTCGACACCGCGGTCCCGGAGCAATGTCGTGACCGTGGTAAAGTTCGACGACTTGCCGTCGATGTAGTACGTGCTCGAGTTGTTGCGGAAGGCCTTGCGGGAGATAACCAAGTCCGAACTGGGAATAGCCTCGGAGCCACCACCAGGCTACACAGACATCAGCAACAGGTCTGTGGCCCGGAAAGAGAAGAACATATACGCTAGAGCAACTTACAAGATCCATCACTTCGCGGAAGTGAACAGCAACCTCGCAGTAGTCGAGATTCGGGTATTGCGCCGAGTTGTGAATCAGGGCAGACAGCTTACCCTGGCGCATTTTGCTTGCGCGGAAGCCGAACACAAACAGAAGCGAGTCGATGACGTTGGACTTTCCCGATCCGTTCGGACCAACAACTGACGAGAAGGACGCATGAAATGGGCCGACCTCCTGCCGACCGGCATAGCTCTTGAAGTTAGTCAGGATGAGGTACGCAATGACAATGCGCGGCTTGGGCGCAGCAGGCTCGTCCGATGGTATATTAGTCATGGTGCGCGACTTGAGAACAATGTCCATGGGCTTCTCAAGAAGCGCATCCATAGCACGGATCGGCTTCATAGCAGCCACGGCCTCGTCTGTGGTTGCCGTCGCCGGCCGCTGCTGACCGTTGGCGACTGTTGCCGTGATGTCAACCAAGGGTGCCGAGGTGGTAGTCACGTCGCTGGCTGCAGTCGTGTCCATTGTGGATGCATCCATGGTCGTAGCGTCTGCAGGCTCGACAGAGGCAGTCTTTCGACGACGTGGGACAGACACCGGCGCCTCCGACAGCTCCGACAGCTCAGGCAGTCCAGACGTCTCAGACTTGACCGCCACCGACTTGGACGAGGAAGCCACGCTCTTCCGCTTCCGCGTCACGGTCTTCTTTGGTGCTAGATCGGGGGCGTCGGAAGACGCCATTGACGCCACCGTCCGATCGGGGTCGATAAGCTCACTCTGTTCAGTGCTGGCACTTGCTGATGCGCGAGCCTTTCTTGGCCGGCCAGGCTTCTTGGGTGCTGAAGCAGACTCCTCAGTGGCAATGGTCTTCCGCCGACTGGTAGTTGCACGTCTGGGGCTGCGCGGAGGCGCTGGCGTAAATGCTTCCTCATCATCGTTTTGGGCACTACTGTGAACACTTGTGTCGGCAATCTCATCGTCCGACTCGATGATGGCGGTGCGGCGCGATGCGGCGCGTCGCGTTGGACGTGTCGACATGGCGATGCGGCTTCTATTGCGTATCTTCGGATGGAGATGTGAAGAAACGTGGGTCAGAATTGAGTCCTGGCGATAACCACCGTCCGAGAAGCGCGACGCAATGTGTTCGGGCAGAAAATGAGGCACAATCGCACTTTGTGGCAGTGTTGCCCCGCTCTTTGTTGATTTGCGATTTCCTTTTTCAGCCGTAAACAAACATGATTTTATCGAGCTTTCCCCGCCATTTCAGTCACGTGCTTTCGTGTAAACCGGTTGCAAGCAACTCGCTTTAAATGCATGTAGGCAAACAAGGGCACACAGCTGAGATTGAACTGTGCTCATCGTCGTCCCTCCTGCCGACTGACAGCTACGGCGAAAAGAAAAAGAAACATGACTGGGCGGCTGGACTACAGAAGCTTCCACGATGTCTTCGGAGTTGAGGGAAAGCTACCGTACGACCAGTACATCAACCGGGACATCGAGTCGAAGCGTAAAAGTCTCGGTGGCGTCCTCTTTGTCGACCGCGTTCTTACAGCTCTAGGTGTCAGCAAAGGTAGGAAGGAGTAGACTTTGGCTCTACTGGCGCTTTTTATGATCTACGTTGTCCTGACACATGAACTCTGCAGTGAAAATATACCCGCCACGCGAGGGTCGCGCGCTCCACGAGCTCTACCAGCAGATCCTCTCTTCCAAGATGTCGACCCATCACAAGCTGTCGGCGCTATACTACCTTCTGCTAGACCACGACGATGCCATAGGCCCGCGGATGAAGCTGACGGAGAAGTTTGCGCTTCAGACAGGCATGCCCAAGCGCTACCAGATATTCATGAGGGGGCTGTGGCACATGGACCGTCTTCAATTCCAAGTTGCCCTAGAGTTCTTAGCACATCCATCGCTGCTCCCCGAGTTCGCTGATAACATCGTCACCGTGCTCGTCCGTCACGCCGAAGCCGGTGACTACAGCCTAGCTTTGGCATACTACTACGCCGTCCAGCCGGTGCTAAAGACGCAGGAGGCTTTGGAACTGCTGTTTGGCGCCATCGCGCACACCGACGTGACAGAAGGCCTAATGTTCACGCGCAAACTGCCGAACCCGGCACGGAAACAATTGTTTGAACAGCTGGTAACTTTCGCTCTCAAGGGCAGCTCAAGCAGCACGGGTAACCTGGATGTGGCCGACCGGGCGACAGAGCTGGTCAGCTTGCCACTGCGCAACGTCGAGGAGGCCTGGTTGCGGGAATTTCTGGTGACCGGCGAGGGCCGGAAGCTGAAAAAAGCCAAAGACACTATGGTGATGCGGAAGATCGTGTCGGGCGACCTGGGCCTCGGCGAAGGCAAGAGCCTAGGCGGGCCCTGGGGCATGGTGTTACAGGGCTTTCGTCACGGGACGGGCGGCCATGTAGAGCAGTAGGATGCCTGCAGAGGCGCCATTCACCGAGGCGTTCTTTTTCAGGGCCCAACACAGGATACTTCCTTGCCGCCGGACGCGATGCTAGAATCGTTTGTCTGCGCGTATCGCGAAGACACATTGATCGAGTTATAAGCTTGACACGTTCGAGCTTTGCACTTTCAACAGGACGGGCTGAGGCGTTTGGATTTGGGGCCGGTTACGGCATTCTTTGTGGACATATGTGTTTTTCTTGTATTTGATTGTCCTCATAAAGGCGTTGCCAATCGCTTGTTCATCTTAAACCAAATGCACTAATAGGAACTTCTATTTATCTATACGGTGCTCTCCCGAACTCCAGTCCACTAGGATGTCTCGTATCATGATATAAGATACGTTTTGTTCAAACCTGCAGGGGTCGGTCTCGCAGCACACATCAACCTCCGGGATCAGTCGAGCCCCGTTTAGTTTCTTTGCAGTATTAGGGGGACCCTCTTGGTGGCAGCAGATATGCAGGCACTGTGCTGTCAGTCGCGTATCTTACACCGAACATCTGAATCGTGTATGACATACGTGGGTACCGTTAGGTGGTCGAATGCCACCGGTTGCAATACAGCTCATTGATAGTGCACGTTTAGAATAATAGACGTAATGTGATCCAGTCGGTGTTCGTAAGATATTTGAGAAGAACCCATCGACCAGGTTGCGTCCACGGCTCTGCAAAAATGGCCTTCGACGCAATTACGTCTCCCGACGATGTACTTAGGGTGCAATCTCTTCAGCGAACCGCGCCTGCAAAAATTGGCACGTTCCATCCAAATTTAGTGAGACATATCGCTGCCCATAGTCAACAAAGAAAGTATTGCACCTTCTTGGCTGCGTGGCATCCTGCCGCACTAGGACAAGGATATCAAAAGCATCTATACTATTACGGAGATACAGGTGCCGCTGATCTTACCATCAAGAGTGTTTTCGGATACTACTTATAGCAAGCAGTACTTCTCCCGGTTCATGAAAACATTGGGGTTTCCTAAAGTAGAATTATCTAAGGCAAAGCCCATAATATTTAACTCGTTCTCGGCCAAAGATACCGTCCGGCATGAGGTATTTTGGAGTATCATTGCCCAAATATGGCATAAAGATGAAGAGCTAGCGGAGATTACTTTCCTGCTTACTCCGTAGTTGTGCATGTTTTTTCAAGGTAGAAAACAAAATGTAACTTGATCGATGTCGCAGTCTCTACTTAGTACCGGTATCCTTTGCAAGTTTCGTCAGAAAAGCCATCTTCTCCGTGTCTATCTTTCTTTTATGGGCAACTCGAGCGTCACTTCATAGTAAGCAGTTGAAACCGCTGTCCAGTTCGAGATACTTCGCAACCGTCCCACATCGCTCCTTTCCGCCGCCGTTATATGTAAGTATGCGCTATGGTGAATAGAATACAGATTTTAACGTTCACGAACTTGGTCGATAACTTATCCATATCCCCTTTCACAAATCTACTTTGCCGGCAATGCATTAAGCATGCCTTGACAGTGTTTATCCCATATCCAGTCATATGCCTCCCGAACATATGGTGTATGGTGGGTGTACTTAGCACAAAACACATACACTATTCTTCTTTTGCTTTTCCTTACCAGACTCGTATTTTTGGAAAGCATGGGTTTCGTGGGGACCTCCATACGATAGGCTTCTGGGCGACCTGCAAAAAAAAAGAAGAAGAAAAAAGCAAATGGCGGGACCCCTATGCAGCCTCCTTCGCCTATCTTGTACGGAGTACTTCGTACTTATCTCCTCCTGTCTGCGTGTAAACGACGAGAAGTTGCTTCTGTTATTTCCCCTCCCCCCTTTCTTCCCTTCCCATATGCTAACTCAATCCAGGATATTGTGCTAGGCAGTTTGCGGGCTAACCTTGGCAACCCGTCGTGCAGCCTGTCAAAAGGGCTGGAAACGGGGCTGCGAGTGAACAAAAGTGACAAGAAGAACGATACAACCAGTACGGTAATAAGAGCGAAGGTTTTTTAGTGCTAGCCACGGGCATTGATATGACCCCATTTTTAATTGCAGCGCGGCTACGAAAGTCAGCTGAAAAAGAAACTGCTGTCGGGCTCAAGAGTCTGAAACTAGAGTCAACACTTCACACAGCGGTAAGCTTCATGGATGTGCATACACATTGTCGATCCGAGCTTACAACTACACGGATAAACGTTACCTCTTTAAAGATCCAATGATACCGTTGAAAAAAGGTGGACAGCTCAGAAAATACGCGGCAACGCTCCTGTAGGTCCCTCGGCACTGCTGCCGTGGACGTCGCTTGGCGATCACAATGAGAATGCTAGTTACGGGCAAGTAGGTGGGGAAGGATACGTTCATCCCGTATACGGAGTACCGGTCAAAGTGAATCAGGAGAAGCATCCCAGGAGAGGTGCGTGGTGGCTAACCGGCTACGTGGATGAAACTGATGTTCTTATCTCGAGCATAAGCACTGTACAGATGAAGGAAAGAAACAGGACAGAACAAGCTTTGCGGACCATGACAGAAGCTACGGAGTATGAAGCTCGGGGCCCAGCCTATCCTTTCCAAAAAATGATGCGTCCGGGGCGATCCCAGCTGTTTGAAGCCCAGCTTGTGCTAGCACATCGCTGTGAATACAGGAAGCACACAGTAGTGGATACTCTTCAGGACAGCTTCCGTTGTATCTTGAGTTTCCCTGTCTAGGACAGGGGTTGCGGTCAGCTGAAAATGATACTGTTACGAGGAGGGGATGGTCTTTATGGGGCCATGGGAGCGGATCGGTGAGAGTACAGGATGCGGAGAGCATACAGCATAACGCGATGTTGGTGGTTACATGGCTCCTGCGCGTCGTGACAGGATCAGGAGGCTTTCTTTTCTTTTGTCTTCCTATTCGTGGAGCTCAAGCCGGCTTCTTGGTATATATAGCAAGGCCCGAGGAGTGCTCTCTCGTCTTTCTACCCTCTTCTCTCTTCAGACTTCACTCTCGCCAACTCCCGGTCCTGTCGCCCTCGACCTGCCTTTCTTTCGTATTTTTGTGCTCTCTACACTCGCTTACACCCCTCCCCCGTTCGTTTCTACCCTATATTCATTCGTTACCAAGACAGTTCCAACTCTCGCTTATATAGTGTATCGCATATTGTTGGCCCTTCACATCCGTTCTGTCCATCAAGAGCCTTACATCTGATATGGCACATCCACGAGGCTCACACCGAGCAGGTGTGCTTTTCACTCTGACTACGGCTCTGGCCGCTGTCTTGGTGTCGTCTTCGCCGGTCCTGTCTCCAGTGTTTCCACACCGGGGTCTGCAACATATACCAGGGCATTCCTTGCCCGTCAAGTCTACACAGTTAATTTCCTCGCCGTCAACGAGCACAGAGACCATGGCTTCTGGGCCTACTTCTGGGTCGATGTGTCCTGCATCGACCACTGTGACGACTACCATTACGGTTTCCACGTCTCCCACGCCATCTGCCGGAACCCCATCTGCTGTGACTTCGGCTGCCACAGCTTCGTCTGTCGGAACACCATCGGTTGCACCTCCGTCCACAGCTGTGTTGCCTACTACTGCGACCGCTTCGTTGTCTACACCAACAGAGTCCTCGCCAGTGTCTACTTCATCGGTATCTGTCTCACTGGTGTCTATTCTGCCAGTATCTGGCTCGACTGCCTCTGCTTCATCGCCACTGACAGCCTCGCTGGCATCTTCCACAACTGTACCCACAACCGTAGCTACATCTACGGTGTCTATCCCAGCAAAGTCTGCATCGTCGCTGTTTGCTCCGAATTCTGTGACTCCAATTGCCAACACGACATATCCCGTATCGTCTTCAACTGAATCTTCGCTGCAGCCGTCCACAACACTGTCTGCTGCCCCGGCTTCGAACCAGACCTCCTGCAACACCGCAACTGACAGACAGTGCTGGACATCGGGTTTCGATATTGATACCGACTATGAAGCCAGCACTCCTGTGACTGGAGTGACCCGAACAGTATGTCCTGTTTTGTAATCCGCTTTCATCAGGATGAGTACGAGCTAACGTCATCTAGTACACTCTTGTTCTTTCCGAGGTTGACAACTACGTCAGCGGCGACGGCCAGGTCAAGACAAAGGCAATGCTAGTCAATGGTACGCGTCCAATTACAATTTAAATTAACATGCGATGAGTCTAATATGAAACTAACAAAATCACAGGAAGCTTCCCAGGTAAGCTCGGTAGCATCAATATTGCCTATTTGTTGTAGCTAACGAATATCTGCTTCAAGGTCCAACCGTTACAGCCAGTAAGTATTCAACTCGCTCAGACTATGGGTAGAGATAATTAAAGGCACCGGCTAATGCATCAGACTGGGGCGATCTTATCAATGTGACGGTCATCAACAACCTCGTGACTAACGGGCAAGTAGCTGGTTTTTCCAATCCCAGCGATTCTTTATTCTGACCCCAAGCAGCACTTCTATTCACTGGCACGGTATTCGTCAGCTCAATACCAATAACGAAGACGGTACCAACGGTGTCACAGAGTGCCCTATGCCTCCAGCCGGTGGAAGCAAGACATACTCGTTTAAGGCAACGCAATACGGTTCATCCTGGTAAGTTCAATAAGACGACTTGGGCCATTCCGCGAACATTTCATTCTGACAAGCCAAGGTACCATTCCCACTTCTCAGATCAGTATGCCAACGGTGTTGTCGGTCCCATCGTCATTCACGGACCGGCGTCGGCGAACTACGACATTGATCTTGGCCCATTGATGATCTCTGACTGGTACTATGGTGCGGCTGACCAGATCCTGGAGCGTGTCAGCAGCCTCAACAACTCGTACATTCCTGGGCTTCCTGGTGCGGCTCCTACCAGTGACAATGTCCTGTTCAACGGCCTGAATGTGAACGTCAACGGCACCGGCGGCGAGTATGAGAGCCTGACGCTGACACCAGGCAAAAAGCATCTGCTTCGCTTGATCAACCCATCTGTTGAGAACACTTTCACCGTCTCTCTCGTCGGGCACTCATTCACCATTGTCGCAACCGACTTTGTGCCTATCGAGCCGGTCAATGTGACCAGTGTGTATATGGCTGTGGGTCAACGCTACGATGTCGTCATTGAGGCAAATCAGGCCACGAGAAGCTACTGGTTCAACGCGACACTCCCCAGCGGACCGTGTGGCCAGAGCTACAACTCATACCCGGCGGCCATCCTATCTTACGCTGGAGCAAACTCGACCACTCCCACCAGCACCGGCTCTGCGCCCCCTGATCCTAGCTGTGCAGACAGTCTTGCGCTGTATACGCCTGTGGTTTCCCGCTCCGCAACCGTTTCGGACTTCTCGCCGGACACGGATGACACGCTGACGACCAACATTGCTTACGAAAGCAACGGCGTGGCACGCGTCTTCTGGCCCGTCAATGGATCGCCCATCAATGTGTCCTGGAATGACCCGACGCTTGCTTACGTTCGCGATAACAGGACGTCCCAGCTTCCTACCGACGAGAACGTCATTTCGGTGCCCAAGGCGAATGTCGTACGTTTACAAGAGCTAAACACTTGTGCTGGTGTTTTTTACTGACGATTGGGCAGACTACCTTTTGGTTGCTCGAGAATAACTCGTCTATCCCGGTAAGCTTTCTCACCCTCTTGCCGTTGAGTCCTACAGTGGCTAACACACGCAGCATCCGGTCCATCTTCATGTACGCTTTGGTCCATTTTTTGTGGCGAAGAAACTGGTGGGGGGAATTCAGCTAACCAACCAGGGACACGATGTCATCATTCTCGGCGCCTCAACACCACTGGCCGACCCGTTGTCAGGCAATCACACTTTGCGCTCATACAACCCGTCGACTGATGCTGCCAAGCTTAATGGCAACAATCCTACGCGTCGTGATACCACGATGCTGCCGGCATGGGGCTGGTTGGTTGTGGCTTTTAAGACGAACAATCCAGGCTCGTGGCTGTTTCATTGCCATCTTGCATGGCATGTGTCTCAAGGATTTGCTGTTCAGTTCCTCGAGCAGCTCAATGCGATCCCACAGTCTGTAGACCTTTCGGGCCTAGCGGACCAATGCCAAAACTGGAACAATTACTACCCGGCGGAGGACCCGTTCCTGAAGACTGATTCTGGTTTATAAAGAGGGTGGCAGAGCAAGGGTGGTAGAGCAAGGGAGTTTAAGAGGCCTATAAAGTAAGTACAGTCTCGCATCACTGTATTTGCGGGACATATACATGTGTTTCTTTCTCGGTGTGTTTGAATTACAAAGCTATTTTTACTTCATACCTTTTTGATAGAGGCTTGCTTCTAGAGTGGCACAACACTCTAGCAGCTAATTCGAATACAACTTTCAGACCTGGGCTGTGTTTGCAACTGGGTCGTTATTTACGTGGCTTCTTTGAAACACAATGGCAGGAGTTTGATACGTAGATTGTCATCACCTTTGCAGAATGGCAGTGCAATACTTTGGCCAGTATAATATCACGATATCCATTACATGATCTGCAAATTACAGATCTTCAAGCGCAATTGCTGTTTTCAGTGTGACACGTGAGGATGACAGACGAACTCGATCAATGGCAGAGATTTGACGTCATTAGAAGTGATACGCCAATTTCGACTGATCATTATGTATACTACTACATTTGGTCGATTTATTCCTTAAAACACATTGCATCAGATTACAATTTCCAGACAGCGCAGACAACCCAGACAACCCAGACAACCCAAAGGTGCTTGGCAATATCTATCGCGCATAAACCTTCCGCAAGTGTTTGGCTGGCTGCTTCTTGAGCGACCGTGTGTGTATCTCTCGCGTCTTTGGCCATGGTGCTGATAGAAATTCATTTTGGTCACCCTCCTCCTCTGTCTGCACTGCCGTCATCGGAAAGGACGGCTGTAACCGCTTTCTCTCCGCCAGCCGCAAATCATGCGCCTCTGCCTTTGCGTCAGCCCTCACTTGTTGCTTGATGCGCAGTGCCTCTTTGATGGCTCGTTTCTGCTCCTCTCTATTCTTCAAACGCTGAGCTTGGCCCTCCCGTTCGGCAGCCTCTATTGCCGCCAGCTCAGCTATTTCTTTTCCCTCGCGTCGGTTCTCGATCTGCTGTCGGACACGCTTCTCCCCAACAGTCAGTTTTCCCATGGCGTGAAGTGCCTTTGCCTCCTTCATGCGGTCGCGAGCGTGCCGAGCTCGCGTCGCACCCGACGATGGCAAGCCAAGAAGATCAATCGCACATTCAGACCTGTCGCGTAGCGTGAGTACTTGCGCGGAAGGCTCATCTTGAAAGAAGAAGCGGGATATGGCAGCCATCCCTGCCGGCGTTGTAGGTGACGATATGAACGTAGTCCACGGCGACATTAGGATCATTTCGGCGTGCTGGCGCCGCTGCCGGCGGGCTGCACGGTTATAACTCTCTTGCTTCTTCTCAGCACTAGACTCCATTATCAAACGCCTCGGGTTGCTCTTGATTTCGTTTCGCAGATGCACGAGGAAGTTGGTGGTGAAATTACGCTCGCACTCCTTGAGGTCTTCATCGCTGCTGATCGCTATGGGATTGATCTCCTTGCCCGTCTTGAGCCATAATACTGCCTTTTTCGGCAGTCTCCTATGGCCTGACATATGGGGGATCAATTCGAATGTTGTTCCTTCAATCGCCTTCACCTCGTATGATAACACCACAGCCAGACTAAACGACAGCAGTCGTGGTAGCCGGTGTAGCTGCCCAAAGACGTCGGCACTGCAGGGCAGGACTCGGTGACCAATCTCAATGGTTCGTAGGCCAACGCATTTTGATATGGTCTGAAATACCGAGTCACTATCGACTTCGGCGTAATCGGAGTAATAGGTTTTGTCGGCGCCTAGCATGTCGTCCAAGATGCAGACGTGCTGCAACATGCAACGATACATAGGCCGTAATTTACGTCCGACATCTTCGACAAACTGAGACGCCGGGGCGAAGAGGAAAGTGTTCTGGGCCCAGAATATCTCCACAGCTTCATTGTGGATTTGGCGATTCACCAGTAATAGAGATACTCCTTTGCGTAGAGTACAGCCGCAGCGGTCCTCTTTGGTAGAAAAGTTGCCGTCTTCTCCGATGAACGGTGGGCGCTCCAGGCACATGGCCTGTATTCCGCTAACGTTAGGAAGTCTAACAGCTGGCAGAAGTCGACAATCGCGGGTTTACTTACACGAGATGCAAGGTCGCATGTAGCCTTGTGCCGCCTTTTCCATTTTGGTGTTTCAACAAGTATGTAGGTGAATATCCGTACGCGGAGCTCAGCTGGAAGAGCGAGAAGTCCATGAGGGTATGCTGACTTTGGCGTCGTGCGTAAAATGATACACTTCAGCTCCATCGTGGCAGGTAATATCGAGCAAGGGTATCAGAACAGGCAAATAATATAACAGGTAGCAAGAAGCTTGTCGAGAACCAGAAAGCCCAGCACAGCCGCTCGAGAATAACGCAAACGCTTAAAAGCTGCTAACAAGAATAAAGATTTGGTGAGGACTAAAGACGCCAGTGAAATGCTTCAGCTATTTTTATAGCAATCTAGATGCTATTCATGTTACGCTTGCTTTCATTTTCCGGATGACAATGGCTTAATTTAAGCCCCGGTGACTCACCACTAGACCAACAACCGGTGGCTCAGCCAAAACATACAGACGGACTGATTTGCTCCTTCGAGTTCAATATACGGACAGTTGCAACTTCACGGACAATGGCTGGCAGCCGCAACCAGTTAAGTCAAGTGGGGACGCTGCAAGGCGTTTTTGTCCCTCTTTAGTAGCAAAGCCACCGCCGGGTGTAGGTGACCCTGCCGGACATGGTAGGCTTCAGTTCTTTCAAGCCTTTCTTCCGAATACTTTTCCTTCAGAACCTAATCATGAAAGGGGTGCCTCTGATTGAGGAATGCCCCAGCTCTACACGATGATATGAATTGGAGAGCATCTCGAGGCAGAACCGCTTAATCAGCAGGGTTATCGGAAGCTTGGGCCACACCCTTTTGCCCCGCTTCTGCGTAAAACGCACACGCGCTCTTTCCCAAATTGTGCTGGCGACGCGACTCCCCGCGATCTGTGACTTCCAATAACATGTACGGAGTACTAAACTGTGTCCAAAGGCGCCCCACGCTACCAATCACCTCAGCAAGTCTTTGTTCTTCTTTGCCGGCAAGTTGACTTTTGCTGGCCTCGCTCCTGTGATTATCATGGCTCCTAAAGCAGCTCTGCTCAGATCGGCACTGGTCGACGCGGCTCACGAAATATTCCGCGCCAACCCCGATGAACTTACAGTCAATGCCGTGCGGAGCCATGCCGAGGATTTATTGGACCTGGAGGCTGGATTTTTCAAATCAGGCGCTTGGAAGGTAAAAAGCAAGGAGCTAATAACTACCACAGCCGTATGTTCACCCCTTTTGTCTACAAGTCATTTTTCATTGCAAGGGTGCTAAGAGTGTGCCACCCTGCAGAACAAGCTGCTGGAAGCTGCCGAAGGTGGGGGAGAAGAGGCTGCCGAAGTAAGCAAAGAGGACCAACGAAACAACAGGGCAGACAAGAAGACAAAGAAGACAAAGAAGCAAGAACCAGCTCCAAAAGCCTCGGTCACCGGACAAGACGCATTGGGCATTGACGACAGCAGTGTGAGTCCGGAAACAAAACAACCGCCCCAAAAACGAAAGCTGGCCGAGAGAAGCATCACAGTACCGAGCCGAGAGATACAAGGAGGGCAGGACAGCGACAATGTAAAGGAAACTGCAAAAGAATGTGCAGATAGCGGCAATGGCAGGCCGGCCGACAATGACGAGCGTAAACCTTCTACCAGGCGCAATAATGCCAAAGTCGGCGAGGAAGCGTTGAAGCCTGGCACATCGTCACCCCTCAGCGAGGTCGATAGTGGCAATGATGTCCCAGGAATAAAACCGAAATCAAAACAGGCTGCCACAGATTTGGTCGTTGATGCCGGCGATGTTTCCGACGGCTCAAGCACGTCCGTGCTCGACGACACTCCTCCCCCGAAGAAAAAAATCAAGCCTTTAAAGCAGGTGCCAGCCAAGCAAGTGGCACACAAAGCCACTACAGCAACCAACTCACCAGACGAAGTCGAGGTAAAAAAGCTACAGAGTCAGTTAGCTAAATGTGGCGTGCGCAAAATCTGGGGCATTGAGCTGAAGCGTTTTGGTGATGACGCGAAGGCCAAGATTCGCCAGCTCAAAAGTATGCTGCACGATTTAGGCATGGATGGACGTTTCTCTGAAGCGAAAGCTCGTGAAATTAAGGAGCGTCGCGAGCTCATGGCAGATCTAGAGGAGGTGCAGGAGATGAACCGCAATTGGGGCGTCAACGGCAGCGGCCGTGCATCGCGGAGCCGTATGGTCAAGACACCTAAGGAGGAAAGCTCAGACGAAGCAGAAGAGAGGGAAGAAGGTGGCGAAGCCGAAGACAGTGACGCGGGGATGGTGGTGAGCGGCGACATCAAAAGTAGAACGGCCGGACATGGCGATAGCAAAGAAGACGACACGGACGGGGACGGTGACGACGGGCCCAAGGTGAAGGCAAGAGGTCGCCAGTCGGCGAGACAGGCTGACCTAGCGTTTTTGGGGTCTGACAGCGAAAGCGACTGATAATTAGCCAGCTGGCTGGCAGTAAGGTGACGGCAAACAGAAGGCGTTTGGTGGTGATCTTGTTACTTTCCCCAGGTGATAGCCCAAACTTTTATATCCCGCTTGTATGTTAACGTGGCATGCAATCATCTGTCCCAACCAAGCATTGAATTCCTTGGTCTATATGAATGAATGAGCCAGCAACTGTCCCTTACACTTGTCACTTTGCTGCATTCATCTTTTGGGCGAACAGACTGAAGACAGCCACAGAGCCCATAAATAGGACTGCGTTATAGAACTAAATGCGGTCAGTTTCCATTGTCCATGTGCACAGCGCGATATCTACTGACAGCTTTTCTCGATATTTCTCTCTCTTCGTCGTCACTTCGAGCTTCGATGAAAAGGCGGCGAAGGTTGGGGAAGCTAGCCTGAGCAGACATGGAAGCATGAGCATTTACTCACTCATGGTCATAAACGGCCAGAATACGTACCATTAATGCGTCGTTTACAACTTGGCAAGAACACAGCCGGTTCGATGTATAAATTGTCTCTTTAGGAGAGTAGACTCAGCTCGCTTTCTCCAATCTAATGCTTCGAGAAAATGTGGGACAGCTCCCACGTGACTGTGCTCCATCTGAAGGAAATGTGGCTGGAGCTAGATCGAGGGGCTACCTGCTACAAAACGGCCCTGAAGCGAGTAGCACTCAATCCCACCTCAAGCAAAGGAATCTCGCGCCCCTGTCGACGCTTTCGCTTTCGCCAACGCAGATTTTAGCTTATCGATGTGGATGCATTGTGTCGACCGTCCACTGGGCTGAACGGCAGTTGACGATCTCTTCTGTCCCTCTGCACCCCCCCTTTCCTTCCTTCATCTCCTCTTTCGCGATCCTTAGAACGGTTTCTGAGCGCCAAGCTGTCCTCGCCAAGCCATTCTTTCCACTATTACCCGGACCACCAGCACCGTGTCTTCGGCGCACAAACGATGCAGGCGGTAAACCGTATACGCGGCGCGTTCGCCGTACCCCGAAAGGGCGAGACGTTCGAGCTGCGTGCCGGTCTGGTTTCACAGTATGCATACGAGCGGAAGGAAGCCATCCAGAAGACGATCATGGCCATGACTCTCGGCAAGGACGTGTCGGCGCTGTTCCCAGACGTGCTGAAGAATATTGCGACGGCCGACCTGGACCAGAAGAAGCTGGTGTATCTGTACCTGATGTATGTGCCCTTTTCATGCTTTTGCCCTGCATTTGTGACAAACTGTCTACTTCATCGCTGACGACTGACCGACAGGAATTATGCCAAGTCTCACCCCGACCTTTGCATTCTCGCCGTCAATACGTTTGTGCAGGACTCTGAAGACCCCAACCCACTGATCCGCGCTCTTGCCATCCGCACCATGGGCTGCATCCGAGTTGACAAGATGGTGGACTATATGGAGGAGCCTCTGCGCAAGACGCTGCGTGACGAGTCGCCATACGTACGCAAGACGGCCGCTATCTGTGTGGCTAAGCTTTTCGACCTCAACCCCTCGATGTGCATCGATAACGGCTTCCTCGAAACGCTACAGGAGCTGATCGGCGACCCAAACCCCATGGTCGTGGCAAACTCTGTCCAGGCTCTCTCCGAGATCAACGAGACCGCCCCCGAGACCCGCGCGCTTGTAATCACGCCCAACACGCTCAAGAAGCTGTTGATGGCGCTCAACGAATGCACTGAGTGGGGCCGTGTCACCATCCTCAGCACTCTGGCCGATTACCCTCCCGTGGACATTAAGGAGTCGGAGCATATCTGCGAGCGTGTCGTGCCCCAATTCCAGCACGTCAACCCGAGCGTAGTTTTAGCCGCCGTCAAAGTTGTCTTCATCCACATGAAGGCAGTTAACCACGAGTTGGTGCGGCAGTATCTTAAGAAGATGGCACCACCACTAGGTAAGGATATGCATAATATCTACTCTCTTACCGCAATTTATCCCGTCCGTCGACTAAATATGGCAGTTACTCTTGTGGCCTCGGCACCTGAGGTGCAGTATGTCGCCCTCCGCAACATCGACCTTCTCCTTCAGGCAAAACCCGACATTCTCAGCAAAGAGATGCGCGTCTTCTTTTGCAAGTACAATGACCCGCCCTACGTCAAGCTACAGAAGCTCGAAATTATGGTACGGATAGCCAACGACCGGAACTTTGAGCAACTGTTGGCCGAGCTGAAGGAATACGCTCTCGAGGTAGACATGGATTTTGTGCGCCGTGCCATTAAGGCTATCGGCCAGGTGGCCATCAAAATCGAGAACGCCAGCGAGAAGTGCGTCAACACGCTCGTCGATCTCTTGGCCACCAAGGTCAACTACGTCGTGCAGGAGGTGGTCGTCGTGATCAAGGACATTCTGCGCAAGTACCCGGGCTACGAAGGCGTGATCCGAACGGTCGTGGAGCATATCGATGAACTGGATGAGCCCGACGCGCGCGGCTCGTTGATATGGATTGTCGGCGAGTATGCCGAGAAGATCAGCAACGCCGACGAGATTCTTTCCAGCTTTGTCGATGGCTTCATGGAAGAATTCACACAGACACAGCTTCAAATTCTCACGGCTGTTGTGAAGCTGTTCCTCAAAAAGCCCAGCAACAATCAGGGTCTAGTACAGAAGGTGCTGCAAATGGCTACAGTTGAGAACGACAACGCAGACATCCGCGACCGTGCGTACGTGTACTGGCGTTTGTTGTCTGGCAACTTGGAAGATGCAAAGGTATGTGTCCGCCGTCTTCATTAATCCCCTTGTCATCTTACCAGACGATTCTAGCTTGTTGCGCCGTGTTTGCTTTCTAACGAGCTAGAATATTGTCCTGTCGCAAAAACCGGCGATCACCACGACCATGACGTCGCTGCCGCCGGCACTGTTGGAACAGCTACTGGCAGAGTTGTCGACTTTGGCATCCGTTTACCACAAGCCGCCCGAGTCGTTTGTCGGCAAGGGTCGCTTCGGTGCCGACGAGATCCAGCGCGCTGCCATCCAGGAGCAGCGGCAGGACGCTGCTGATAACCCCATTGCAGCTTCGGTTGCAGCAGCCACTGCTGCTGCAAATGGTGGCACTGCGCCTCCGCAGAACAATATGGAGAACTTGCTGGACATTGACTTTGACGGAGCTGCTCCGGCATCGGCTGAACAGAATTCGGCAGGTCTTAACACGCCGGAGCGCGGCAGCAGTCCAGCGACAGCGCTGGGTGGAATCGGTGGTGGCGCGCCACCAGCCGCTGCTGTGCCTGCTGGCGGCATCGCTGATATGATGGGGCTATTTGACGCTCCAGCGGCAGGCCAGAACGGCTTCGGCGCCTCTTCCGCAATATCGCCACCACCGGGCGCGAATGCCTTTGGGGGTGTCAACGACATTATGGGTGGCTTTGGCGGGCTGGACCTGAGTGGTGGCAGTGGTGCTGCACCTTCACAAGCAACGGGAGGCCAGACTTCTAGTGGTGGCAACGAGGATTTGTTTGGTCTTCTGTGATGAGATACAGAGCGCAGGACGTTATGCAATGGCGCAGGACAGAGAATTGCATGTTTGCCGGACATTTGTCTAAGATGTGCGTGTGGTTTTGTCATTTACATAGTAGTAGCATGCACAAACGATGGGGGAAAGAATTGGTAGAGCTTGAGCAGTTGCACAAACGAAGAAAGCAAGCTGCATCGGATTTTCTTGTGACCTCTGCGTGGTGATGGAACCGAATCCAATTCCCGAGAATTCAGTCTCATGTTATGCTTATGTTGTGTGTTCATGCCATCATTATTTCTGTCATGCTCTCGCCACCGGTCGACCATTTATCGGCCCTTCCAGGTCTCCTTCCAGCCGCCCTTTTCAAACAGCCAGACCGCCTCAATGGCGTATGCCCGACTGCCCTGGTGCCCACGACCCTCCTCGACGCCCGCAGCCTCGCGCAGCGTGTCCATCACCCGCCCCTCTTTAACAGACCGCCAGATGCCCTGCGCCACGGCCGACCGGGGGTCCTTGTCAATGTCGGCTGCTGACTCCCCCCACTCACCCCGCCCCAACCGGAACAGAATGCGGCCGAGTGTCTGAAAAGCCACGCACCGCTGTGCTGGAACCGCACTGCGTGCTAGCCGTGCTAACTCTCCCACAGTGTAGCCGGCGGCCTCAGGCGCCTCGCCGTGGTGATGCAGCCCCTTGGACACGGGGATGTCGCGCGAGACGCGCGGTGGGATAAGCTGTCCGCGGAAGTCAAAGCGTAATTGGGCCACGGCTACAGTGGCCTGGCCCGGATAGTAAGGAGATTCACGGTCGGCCACTGAATCGGCCGTAGGTATGGGGGCCATCCAGGCTAGGCGGGCTGGGTCGGCCGGCAGGTTGGGAAAGTACTTGGAATGGAGATTTTCGAGGAAGTTGGGATCGGCTGGGTCTAGGTCAGGCACCGACGGCTTGTGGGGGAAATGCATGGAGGTGGAAGAGTCCGAATGAACGTGGTGGTCGTGTTCAGCGGCGCCCGTAGAAGCGATAGCAGCCTCTGGAGTCGAGATGGGAAAGAGGTCCGCTTGGGAGTGAGCATCCTCAAGTATTGCGTCGTTATCCTTCGTGCTGACGTCGCGATCTTTGCTCTCTGGTTCTGCAAAGGAGACCGACTTTTTCGGTAACGTCCTCGTCTCCTCCAAGGCTGCATTCTTCTGATGCGGTGTCTGGCTCACGGGTCCTATTCGTATAGGCGGGATAGGAGATACAGGGGCCGGTTTCGGTGTCTGGTCATGCTCGGTCGGAAGTGATTCGTTTCCCTCGTCGAGATTAGCGCGACGCAGGAGGATCTGCAGAAGAGCCGGGTCGAGGTTGCTCAGCAGTTCCTCCCGAGCCTCTGCTATTTCGCTGGCGCCCATGTCCCGCAGGCGCTCACGGTTCTCGCGATCGATCCTGACCCGGTCATCAGACGTATTCACGAAGGATGACTGATTTGTTGTCGTGGCCTGTGCAGCCGGGGCCGCAGCTGTCTCGCGTTGCTGCTTGAGCTTCGAGCTGAAGCGGCTCCGTTTCTTAGGCTGTGGGAAGCCTGACGCAGAAGTCTGGGCCGTTGGAAAGCTGGGTGGCTGCGGTGCACCTGCCTCCCTCTCTTGAACATCGAGAACGCGAAGCGGGCTAGCCATGATTATGTGCAGGAGGAACTGCGTTTTCAATCCGTCGGAAGGAGAGAGACACGGGCTCACGATTTGGCGGGGCGGCTGAGATATATTTTCAAGCTCCATCATAATTAAGGTTGTGGCTGAGGAGTGTTGAGCCACAGCTGCTTATGCATTAGCGCCGATCCGTCGCCCCGATTATCCGCCACCCAGTTGAACGAGTTTCCCTGTCGTCCTAATTCGGGGAACTGCTGGGACCAATCAGCGGCTGAGCTGAGCTGAGTTTCGTTTCGGCTCGGGTGACAGCGTATGATCCTGCTGGGTGCAAGATTTCTCTCTCGCCCTTGTAGGATGCGCGAATATAAGAGGTGATTATGAGAGCAGCTACTTTCAACATCGCTCTGATGGAATAAAACCCGGTTCTGATGCGACGACGTGCATATACCTTTCGAAAGAGATAGAGATTTCATGGTGTCATCCGTGAGTATTTGTGCCATGTCTTTATACAATTGTTCGTGCTCCTTGCCGGTGTCATCCAGAACTTCCTGCAATTCCTGCCATACCCGTTCTCTTGTTGCCGAAAAGGCAGAGGCAAGCAGACCAACGTGCAGGGCACAAAGGCAATAGCTAGTCGTTCCCACCGTACGGAGTAGGGCGTAAAGGAAGCACACAGAGAAGCCAATCCGAACACACCCCTGTCCGCGCCTGCCGCACGCTTGCACAGACGCGGTTGGCACGGGCCCACACGACGGGTAAGGGATGCCTGCACTGCTCTGTAACATGTACCCCTCGCGCTGCATGCTCGTAGTCGCACACAAGGTACCTTACGCCTTCCCCACGCCGGCTGCTCGCCTGGAAGCATCCGTTGGAAAGAGGGCGAAGGCAAAACGAGGGCGCAGCACGCCCTGGAGCAAGCTGTGCGCCTGCTCCTTCTTGGTTATTTGACCTGGCTTTATTCCCGTTGGTTTTATTTTAATCTTTCCCCATTACCGGCTGGCCCTTCCTGTCACCGTCCATACCTGCACCCCCTCCTTTTTCGGCTCGCTACCCCCTTCCAACAACAACTGTTCTCCGTACGAGTAATACTTCGTAGCTCTTGCTTTTCTGCGCTCTCGCTCTGATCTGTTCTCCGCGGCCTCTGTCTCGATGTCCCTTGCCGTCTGTCGTATGGTCGGTCGGGTCGTATGAAGCTCGCTCGCTCGCCGCCAGCCTGTACTTACCTTGCCGCCGTGGCTTGCTCGTTCGCTCGCCTGATACCATTGTGCATCCCGCGTGTTGCTCCTGTGGTCCTTTGACGCCCCGATTTTCCGCCTGCCATGTTCACCTTTCCCCTTCGTCCCTTTTGCCCTCTTTTGCCCTCTCGCCGTCGTAGTTTGTCTCTTTCCCATTCCCGTGCACGCCATCTGCCGTCTTTCCTCTCTCCTTCTATTCCCTTCTCCCCTGGCCCTTTCCTTTTTCTACACCGTGCTCCGACTCTCCTTTCGCTCCGCTTGTCTCCTGCTAAAGCCATTCTGTGTCTCCTACTCGAAAACGAAGCTGTCCCCACGTTTCCATCCCTAAGACCCCTTTCCGCTTCTTCTTTTAATTTCCCTTTCCCTTCTCTTTCTTTCTCTACAACCACCATCGCCGAATCCCCTCCAAACACCACCCAAATTCACAACAACCGTCATTTGCTGCCATTACTGCCATCAAATCGCACCCTTTTTGTCATCGCCAGCATCGCAAAAATACCGCCATTCGAATTCCGGGCTTCTCTTGTTTCTTCTTCTTTTGCCGGAGAGGCGTTATCCTCAGCCGCCACTCTGTCATTTCGCTTTCGTTCCGGGACCATTTCAGCCGAAAGAGCGTATGCGTCTCCCAATAGCTGGTAGATTTGAGGCTTTTCCACCCGACCTCAGCGCCGAACGATTGCAAAAATTCGCCCACATATCGGTAATTCGCAACTTAACACCCCTCTTTCAGATCACGTTACACGTCTATTGCCTCCCGCAATTTACCACAAATAAAATTAACGGCGCCCAAAATTGAAACGAAGCAAAAGCGTAGCATCGGGAAAACAAATAGCGCAATTTGATTGGCCGAATTGCCACATTTCTATTATCACCATCTCTTCTTATTTGCGACTTGCGTCACTACCGACGCCCTCGCTATCAGTCGACAAGGACATCTGCATTGTAGAATGCTAATGCTCGGCTCTGTTTAAATTACTTTTTGGAACTTTCCCTGTTCGTCTTTTCTTGTCTTTCAGAGTCTCGGCTCAGTGTTATTCTGCTGTTTGGGACATGGTTGCATCCGGTGTTTATTCGTTCCTCACTCCGACAGAACTCGACTCATAATATCTCGTCTGCTTTCTGCACGGAGTCGTATTTCTCTTTACCCTTCAGTGGGCCAACACTATCATGGCTACCACTGACCGAGACGTTGAAATGGCCAGCTATCACTACAGCTCCTCGCCAGAACTTTCCTCACTGCCTTCCGACTCTCCCTCCGATCCAGGATCCCCTTCCCGACTGGAACAGCAACGTGCCGGCCTCAGCCAAAGAAACGAAATTGTTGTCGACGCCACTTCCACCACGAGATTCCCGCCAACACAATCCCAACAAGCTGTGCAACTGCAACCATTCTCGGCAGAGGGTGTACGCCTCACAAAAGATGGCATACCACGGAAAAAGCCAGGTCGCAAGCCAGGCACAACCGTGAAGAAGGCGGGCGACGTCACGGCGCCTTCCGCCGGCGCTGCTGCTGCTGCTGCTGTTGGTGCTGGGTCTGTCGTTGACGCAGCTAAGCCACGACGAGTGCGGAAACTCCAAAACTCCAATGCACCGCCAGTTTCAAGGAAGAAGCGCGCGCAGCCCTCCTCGGCACCTGTTTCGGAAGCTGGTGCGCCGCGATCACTCTCGGCTCTCCCCTTTCCTCCAAAAATCGAGTTGACATCTATGCGCATGGATATCGACTCTCGATCACCCCCAGCACCTATGGCAATCCCGATCCCATCGTCAGTGCCCCAACAGCCTCGGCAGCCGCCATTGGCTGTGGTTGGCAAACTGCCCAAACGCGATGCCATACCGAACTCGATGCAGAGCATTCTCAACTCCGACTCGCCCCCGCGTGTGTCGCCGCCCGCAGCTCCGACAGCCACGACTCCTCTGCGCTCCCGCTACGATCCAGTGCGCTCCTCATATGATCCCGTTCGCGGGACTGTGGTGCCCCATCATACCTACGGCACAGGCCCGTTGGGCTCGCCGCATGGCCCAACACAGGGGCCTAATCGAGCAAGCGCATCGCCTTCGATTGCAAGCCTCGTTGACCCTAATCCCGAACCGCATACGCGCTCTTCAGCCGCGACTTCACTGTCCCGCCATCATTCACCGCCCAGCTACAACACGTCCGCCACAACCTCGAGTACCAACGCCCAACCTCCGTGCCGCGACAGTATCTCTTCTCTACCTCCATCGCCGTCTGCTTCGCCTGGCATTCTCAACTCTCTGGCATCTACCTCTTCTCAATCTCAGCCTACATCGACAAAAGCAAAGACGGCAGCGCTAATGGCAACAAATTCCATGCCAGCATCGACATCTTTAACGGCAACGGCGACAGCAACAGCGCCGGCGCCTATCTACAAGTCGTCATCGTCTACGTCCACGAAAGCCGCTCTGAAGAGCGAATCTAACGGAAAACCTCATGGTCGACCGCCACCGCCACCGCCAATCCCTGCAGCTGCCAAGTCGACCTCCAAATCTGCGTCAACCAAAACAGCCGCTCAGAAGACATCCACCTCCAAGGCATCTGCTGCTGCTGCTACTGCTACTGAAAACGGAACGGCAAAGTTATCTGGCTCTGTGACTACATCTATTCGAGATGTTACCATGACAGGCCTGAGCTCAACGACGGCTGCCCAGTCTACTTCGTTAGCGCCGACGATCAAAAAGTTCTCTCCTATATTGCAGCAGGACCGGGGCAGCAAGCAAAACAAAGCAGCGGGCACTGCATTATCACCAAAAATGACAGGAGTTAAGGATGATGCAACACTACAACCAGTTGCTCCAGATGCTATGTCTTCGCCTGATAGCGGCAATGCCAGTACGAACAATGAACCGGAACGCTCGATTCTAGACTTTGGCAAAGCCCGACCTGGCGAAGAGATGCAAGCCCCCTCCATCGTCCTCCACATTCCGCTTACCAGCGGCGAGAACAACAAGTACGTAAACTTTATGCGGATGGCTGAAGACCATTATGGCTGGGATGCTCTGCATCCCCGGTTAGCCGCACACCGCGATCGGAAGGCACGTATCGCTGCAGCTTCAGCTGCCTTGGAAAGAAACGGATCTGGCCGAGAGTCGGGCGACGAAATGACCGACGACATGCAATCCGGCGATGAAGGGAGCAACGACGACAATGGTTTGATTGGGGAAAACTCGATTATTAGCATCGGGGGTGGGGGGGCTGAAGATGCCCCTGCTAAACCGGTCCGCAAGAAGCGCATGTTCAAGGAGGACGAGTACGACAAAGACGATGACTTTGTCGACGACTCGGAGATGTTATGGGAGGAGCAGGCGGCCGCCAGCCGCGACGGTTTCTTTGTATATTCGGGTCCGTTGGTGCCTGAAGAAGAGAAGCCAGACGAAGGGTACGTTTTTTTCATGGTCAGCTCACTTGCACGTTTTTCAATACTGACGTCTGCTTGCAGATCTGCGCCTCCCACCAAACGGGGACGCGGTGGACGTGGTAGCCGAGGTGGGGCTGGTCGAACGACAGCTGCACGATCCGCAGGTACTCGGAGCAATGGTACATCTGGCGCCCGCAGCTCAGCGCCCGCACGCAAACCCAGGGCCACCAAACAGGAGAAAGAGCAGCGCGAGCGCGAAAAGGCAGACAACGACAAGGCAACTCATTTGGCGGCTTCAAAGGCGGCCGCAAACAACTCCATCGACCTCCGTCTATCTCTTCCGTCTGTCATGGCTGTAGACGCATAGAGTGTTGCTGGCTTAGCATTTCGACGGCCATGATAGAACAGCGAGGCTGGAGCTGCAACATATTGCTTCACTTTCGGAGCTACGATATTATTGTAACTGGGTTGGTGGTTTTTTGGCTTCAGATGTCGGGACGATGTCAATTCCTGCTGGGTGCATGGGCGCATGCAACCCCCACTTTCCTTTGTACCTCTGTCTACTATTATCTTTTGTCGTGATTTCCTTACCCGGATGCTCAGAAACCCTCGATTGGTGTGGCTAACAGGCGTATGGTATGGTTGTACCGTTTTATTTCAGAGCCAGACATGGTGGCGGCGGCGACGGCAGCGACGGCGGCGTCTTGGATGTTTTACTTTTTTTTGTTGCTGCACTTGTTGATTTGCGCTGAACTCGGCCGCGGTCTAGCACGAAGGGGGCCAAGGAAAGAGGGCATGGTACGTGGACATAGACTTCGGTACTGTTTTTGCATGGCATTTGGTGCTCTGGTTGTAGTTGCTTCAGCTTGTTTTTAACAATTGATACATTAAGGCTACTTTCTAAAGTGGTTCCTTGTCAGCACAAACCTTGCATGGGCTAACAACAAATTGTTGCCACCTTCCGGTGTGAATACAGAGAGTGAGGTCATCGCTAATTAGCGGGGTTTACGATGCGCGATATTGATTAAATAATAGAGTATTGTGGTGTACGTTTCCTTGATTCAATTCCGAGATGCGGCTGCATCGTAAATACCATACGAGCCGTCCTCCCAATCCCGCGAGACGATCGTTTCCAAATGCAGCATCTGTCTTTCGGTTGCGAAGACGACGTACTCCGTACATTGTCTCACCTCTCATCTGAAATTCCCAAACCAACCAGAACAGGCCAAATATGACTTGGTGGGGTTCGTCTGGATGCAAGGGGTGTGTGGGTTGCACCAATGGCCAGAAGGACATAACGTCATCAATTCGGAGACGGAAATAGTTGCGCAGCATGCCTCGGCCAAAGGCAGGAGTACTGAAGACAATCTTTGGCTGCATCGTTCAGCTGCTACTGGAACACGGCCAAGAGTAATCCTTCTCATGCCCAACGCTCAAGACTCGAGAGACGTCATTGCGCAGTGGCAGCAGCTTTTCCGCTCATGTGTACTCCGTACCCCGTAGTTTTTTTTTTTTTTTTAAAAAAAAAAAAATTTCTTACCAGCTGCACGCCCGTCTTCAGCAGTTCGTACCCCGCTCAATCGCAATTAGCAGTCGTCGGAATCTAAGAGGAAGGGAAAAAGAAAACCTGGTATCATTATCTCTGCTCTATCTGACAAAGGAAAAGGACGCAAGATTGGACGATTTTAAGCCGTTCTGCCGATCTCCCTCTGGCGCAGCCTCCTCTAGTTCATGATCCGCCACTGCCATTCCTGTCTCCTCACCTCGCCAGCCCGGGGTCCCGTTTTGCCCTTTGTGTTCGGAACGGGGTTTTAAATGTCTTCTTTGCATCGCTTTTTAATCCACCGGGTTGCATAACGGCGCATCAACAAACCATCTGGATTTTGAACGTCCCACTTTGAACTGCCATCTGGTGACACTCATTCCGTCGTCAATTTACAATTTACCTGACCTCACTTTCTCAGACCTGGCCAGAGGCCATGCCAATTTAGACCAGTTGTCCCCGCTCTCATACCCCTTCCTGCCATCGTCTATTTTGTCGCCTTTGCGTGCCAATGGCATCCGCATCGGTCAAGTCGCCGTTGATTACGGCCTCACCCGCCGCCGCGCACGGCCACAACGCCGTGGTTAGCAGTCGAAGCAACAACAACATCGGCAGCTACTTGTCCTCTCAATACGCCAGCGACTACACTTCGCAAAATGTCGGCGGAGAGCGCACACTGCTCAACACAATCGCCAACTCCCACGTCCCTCCGAATGCTCGTGTCGCCGGTGCAGCTGCGATACCAGCAAAGCCACACACCTCCACGCCCTACACGTACGCTGACAACAACGAGCTGGGTGCAAAAGGCAACAGCAACGTTCACAACACCCACGATCCCGAGCGTGATCGGGATCCGATGCCATACATAACTGCTGGTCAGCGCCCGGGTGCGTCCACATCTGTGACAGTTGCACCTGGTGGTGGTCGCTTCACCGAGGACTGGGATGCGGCCCAACGAGGAAGCTCACTTGTGGAAATTGCGCCCTCGGCAGGCGGTGGTGGCGGTGGAAGCGGCAGCGGCAGCGGGAGCATCGACGGCGGCAGCACGCTGCCGCCGACACGGACTAACACGCTCAAGAAGAAGTCGTCCGTACGCCGGAGCGTCAGTTTGCACCGCAGTAGCAGCCGTCGGAGTATTTTGGCTGGCAGCGTGCGCAGCTTGGCGCTGCAGAGCCACAGCGATCTCGATGAGTCTCGCAGTGCCTTCTTCTGCCCTGTCCCCACTAAAGGCAACCCGACAGACACGCTGGCGAACCGGTTTCAAGGTGAGCTTGTCCAGCACCCGATCATGCTGCCCCCATATTCTCGCTCGCGTTGCTAACCTCGAACAGCTTGGAGAAAAATCCTCAAAGACCTCATCTCCTACCACCGCGAGATCCACAACCATTACGAACAGCGCGCAAAATCAGTCCAGAAGTTGTCAGTCTCGCTAAACGCCGCAGCGCTACCGCCCGGGTTTATCGTCAGCGGTGGCCTGGACGATGCCACCCAGGTACTGCGCAACTTTCACAAGCAGGCTGTAGTGGAAGCTACAAAAGCGCGTGAGATCGAAGACGACGTCATTTTAGCACTAACAGGTCTGCGAAGCGATCTCAACCAAAAGATCAAAGAGATTAAAAACATCTCGGGCGACTTCCGCAATTCCGTCAACAAAGAGATGGACGCCACCAAGAAGGCCGTCAAGAATCTGCAGGATGTCATAGGGCAAGCGGAGCTAGACTCCTCACTGACTACTGGCCGCCAAGATCCGTATCTCCTACGCTTAGCCGTTGACCGCCAGCTCGAGCGCCAGTTGCAGGAAGAAAACTACCTCCATCAGGCGTTTTTGAACCTCGAGAAATCTGGGCGTGAGCTAGAGGCCATTGTCGTCGGCGAGATTCAAAAGTCCTACAACGCTTATGCGGGTATCCTGAAACGGGAGGCCGGTGCCGCATGGGCGACAGTTGATGAGCTGCGATCAGGGCCCGTGGCGATGCCAAAGGACCAGGAGTGGATGTCATTTATCCGCGGCAACGACGAATTTGTGGATCCAGAAACACCCATACGGTCGATCCAGCAAATTTATTACCCCGGTCAAAACCACGATTCCTGTCAAGAGATCCGGGCCGGCCTGCTTGAGCGCAAGAGCAAGTACCTCAAGAGCTATACGGCGGGGTGGTATGTTCTCTCGCCGACACACCTTCACGAGTTCAAGTCGGCAGATAAAATGCAGGCGCCGGTGATGTCTTTGTACCTACCAGAACAAAAGCTCGGATCACACTCGGTTGAGGCCGCCAAATCCAGCAAGTTTGTGCTTAAAGGGCGACAGACCGGATCCATGCACCGTGGTCACACGTGGGTTTTCCGCGCTGAGAGTTACGATACCATGATGGCCTGGTATGAAGATATCAAGGCCCTGACCGAGAAGACACCTCAGGAACGCAACGAGTATGCCCATGCACGTGGACTGCAACATTCGAGAAGTGTTAGCCGTGCATCACAATACACATACAGCAGCGACGGCTATGTCAATGAGGATGACGACGATGACGAGCCGTTTGCTAACGGCTCGCGGGCTGCCGTGACAGGCGCCTCTCTCCGAGATAATGTCGAGGATGTCTCTTCCGGCTTCACCGCTGCAGGCCCTCAGGCTTATGCTACCGGCGCCTTTCAACAAGATCAACAAATGCAGCGCCTTCCGCCGCCATCCGGACGCCGACCGTCTCCCGGTGGAAGATTTCCCTCTGACTTGCAAGTAAACGCACAACGAGGCTTGGAGCTTCAGGCCTCTGGGGTCATACCACTCTCGCCTACCAGCGCCACCGGATCCGGAATCTCGGGCTCAGGGTCAGAGCACGTGGCTATTACTGCCGCGGGCCAACTGCCACGCAAAAATCAACAGCAGTATGTTCCATGTGAAAGTGTAAACAGTCAGACGATGTCAAATGGTATCGCCCAACGACGGCCGGAGGACACCTATCAAGTGAACGGCTATGGTGCAGCTGATCCCCAATTTCATCACGGACCGTCATCCCCATCCAGACCCGTCACAGCTGTTATGGGTTCCTCCGTCAACGGCGCAACTATTCCTAGCTATGCATCTGGAAGCATGTTTACCACTAGCAGTCCATATACCGGCCCAGAGGCGGGCATCCACAGTTATTTTGGACAGCCATCGATGTCACAGAGCCGTGAAGATGTACAGCTGCTGCCTTCCGGGGTTCAAGATGCGGAGACAATGTCAAGCCGACGGCAGCCTACGGCTGCTGTGTCAGACAATATTGAGACAGCAACAACTACCACTAACTCGGGAGTCTCTATTGGACAGGTCACTGGTGGCAACGACACTAAGAAACCAAGCGTACTGTCACGCCAGGAGAGTGAGGCTGGGACCATTTCTAATTTCCATATTCCTGGAGGATATCCACGGGCATCGACGACGGGATCCAATTAGGATACTTATGTTTCTGAAAACCCGGCATTGGTTTGAGCTGTCGTCAGTTATACTTTCTCGTTTGTGTTATGTCAAATGTTGATGCTTGTGGGCTTTGAAGTGTGTCGATGAGGCGAATAAGTTGTACACAAAGGATCGTAGGAGGGATTATATCTAAACAGCGGGGCGTATACGAATATAACTCGATGAATAACGTTGACGAGGAATTGTGCTGTCAGGATTAGTATAAAGTCATACGAATTAGCGTACGTATGCGTATACCACCATAAACAGGGTCGAGAACAGCCACAGTAAATGCCCACATACCATTTTTCTCTGGGCTTCCATCCGAGGACAGATGCATCAGAAGAACCTGTCAGATTTGCTTGCAGTGCATAGCAAGGATGATATCGCCAATGCGGGATCCATGCCACAGACAGGACATAACAAGATGAAGGGGACCGGAAATAAGTTCGGTAACCCGAAGCTACAACTTTCAGAAAGATCGGCAACAACATGGTACATATGCATATACGGAGTTCATCTTACTATCTTACTATGTTCAGAGTACTCCGTACGGCGTTATGTATCGTCATAGGACAGAGCAACTAGATCAGCCAATCAGAATTAGGTGTGTGGTAAAACAAACAAATCAGAAAAATTGTAGAAAGACAGGCATCCCCGTCGGCCCTTCGCCGCCGCTCTGAAAAGAGCGAGTCAAAGTGAAAAAAATAACGGGAGAACGCCATGCCTGTTGTGAGAAACACTGGCTTGTTATTCGCCTATCTTGCCAATTTTGAGTGCTGATTGTTTGCAGCAGATCAGGATCTTCGCAAGACACCCCAAAATAGAACAGACCATATTACCAAATAAGGAAACAGTGATACCTCACGTGGCGGAGTTGGGCGCAGTTTGAAGTTGGGGATGTCCGTAGCACCCTCTCAAAGCAATCGTCATACATTTGAGGAAGGAGCCTTGGAGACACCCCCACCCAAACATAGCCTCTTCCCGAATATCTCGTAGTAAGCCGTTAATTATCCGTACTGAGCCTTTAAGTGATGCCAAGTTGGCGCGAAGTGAACAAGACATCTGACCGAGACATAAGCCCAATAAAACGGCATCTACGTCGTTTCATACCAGCCGTTATACGGAAGTGTTCACATGTACTCCGTACACATTGAAACCCGTGAGATTGCACACCCCTCGGCGGGCTCGAAAATTTTCAATACCGGGCAGCAGTCTAACAGGTCGGAGCGTTGGTGCTTTCTCCAATCGGAAAGACACATGCACGTGCAATTGGGAGGGCTTTGCTTGGTCAATATACGGCCACTACTGTCAAGTACGTCGCTTCTGCAGAAAGAATTTCCGAACCAGAGGGGGAGGGTTTGTCTATCTGTCTCTACCTCTAGAGTTATTCCATTCTGAGAACTCTATTATGCCTATTTTATTGTCCCTCTTCACTCACAAACTTATTTCGATACTATCTTCTGACAGCAGCCAGCCCTTAATGATGCATTGCGCCCCTGCACACCCTTCTCGCAAAGCGCCCCCTTTGGAAGCCACTGATCACACCTTTCTTTGACATCATTCCTGCCAACAGCAAAATACACCCTCTACTCCCCTCTGAACAAGCTCTCCCTCACATGTCACACAGCATAGCTCCACCGAGGACAATGAAAGGGTGGGTGGGTACTAGACATGCGAAGGTAATGATGCCTACTGCTTCTCGGGGGTCTGAGCTTTCCACAGTTTCACTTTGAACACGACCCGAATGCTTTTCGGGTATAATGGTTGGCTGCACAACGGTGCTACCGCTTCTTTGCTGCTTATTCGGTTTCCTGCTTCACGATCCTTTCCAAATAGAAGATCGTCCTGTACTGTTCGCAGGAGGCTGTGGCTTCTTTCTCGCCTGCTGCCCACGTTGTGTGGCAACAGAGCCGCGTTGGATCGGTCATAGTTGTGGTACTCAAGATCCTTCGTATACCACCACGCCCTTGTCGTCGAACGCTTCTGCCGATTTAGACCACCAAGCCGCCGAGCCATCCACGCCTGCAGGCTGCAAGCTATTGGCCGACATGGGATGCCAACACACGATGAACTAAAAGAAGAACCGAGTCAGCGTCCTTCCGATTCTTACACTTCTCGGCCTCGTGTTCAGCTTCACCCTTCCGCATCTGAGAGACGAGTTCGACATGGGATACACCACACAGAAAAGGCCAAGCACGACTCCATCCCACTCTACCAACCAGCTACAGAGCTGGTTGGTAGGAGATGCCGCATTGTGCATGAGCGGCATGATCCTGGTATGGATTTGTGTTGACTAGTCCTTTTTCTTTTTCTTTTTCCGTCCCTTCCCACACCCCCTATGTCGTCTGTCTTCTAACTCTATGTCGACCTTCGCCACACACACCTCGTCTACACCGACCTGCGGGCGAGGAGAACGCTCCACATCGGTTTCTTTTTTGGGCATGTTAATCGTTCCGCCATGCGCTTCCTCCTCAGCCGTGGCGTCCATTTGTGTGACGCCGTATTACCGCTAGCATAGACATATCTAGCACATATTCCAGTCCTCTCGGTCCCTGTCCGTGCCATCCAAAGTCAGGCACACCGCTCCTCAAGGCTTACCATTTTTGCCCTATATCAATCAGCTCATGGGCCTCTGATGGCTAGCCTGCTTTTGAAAGCGCCACTCACTTCATTACCAGTCATTTAACAAATTCAGACCAGCTTGAATAGCTGCCAGCCACCCAATTTGTTTTGTCAAGTCTGCATCCTGACTCTTAAAAAAAATCATGGCCACGCATGAGAGGAGGCGGTCAACGCCGTTGCCGGGTAGCCAGCGTACTGAATCGGAATTTCGTCTTGCTACCGAGGCAATGCAAAGGGCAGCTGATGCTATGATCGCCGCTACGGAGTCTTTCCGAGCCCAGCGGGAAACATCTATGGCTGTCAACAGCGATTCCATGGGTTCCGGGAACAAAGGCTCTAAAATCAGTGCCAGTGGGGGCAGCAGCAGCAGCAACAGCAACAGTGATGGGCGTCCACTTCCAAAAAGTTTACCGAAGCGCCGGCCTGTGTCATATCAACCCTATCGTTTCTCCGACGAAGGGACTGCCCCGCGTCCGAGGTCAACGGCAAGCTCTATGCGAAACACGGGAGGAACGGATGACGTGCCACCGGGAAAGAAGGCGTCACTGGGACCGGCTCAACGAAGAGACAACGCCGTGGTAACGACCCGAAATCCTTATATGGTATACCGAGCGGCGAGGGCCAACTCCATCTCTCCACCCTCCACCCCAATACCGGCTCACATACCGTTGGCGGATTTCTTGCCGAAGCTGCATGATCCTAGCCGAAACGATGCCCCAAGTCTTACAACCAGCACATTACCCGGCTACGAGACCAGTCCTTTGGATCCAGGACCACCAGTGCTGCCACCTGTAGCCATGCAGCTACAGCAACGAAGCAGTGATGTGGCCAACCAGAACCCTTTATCATTGCGCCCTTCGCCCCTGCAGACGTCATGGGCAACTGGTCCAAAGGCTCCAAGAACCGCTGATGCACAGATCATGACAAAGTTGTCTTCTCTGGCCCAAGATGCCCTTCCTCGCCCTCCTACGAGTAGTACTCGTCGACCGTCCATCTCTTCTCACATCGATCTCGTCGAGGCTGCTGCGAGACTTAAACGAACGCACTCGTACCAAGGCATGGTGCACGCCGTCGAATCATTGCACGGGGACGCAGTAGAAACACCAGGCACCGCTGGAGGATTGGCTGATGACGAAATCACACAAGTTGGCGAGCTCGAGCCAGAGCCCGTATTGCAGATTGGGCACTACACCTACATACGATCAGATTCCGACGATTTCCGCATCTCCCTGATTCGAAATGACGGTACCTGCTACTATACAGCAACTCCAGTGGCTCGTATGGGTAGTCGCCGTTTCAAAAAACACGAGCCGAGACCACCGGCAAAGAGCATAGGCCCGTACGGCTTTTCGCGGGTGCATGAGGCCTTGTTCGTGTTGGTGATCTGTTTGTCACAAGTCTTGATGCTAGTGGGAATTGCCCAAGCTTTGGTTCCAGCTAAAATCATGGGCCAGTCGTTCCTAAACACCCGTCCCGGTGATATTGCTTGGTACTCGGCCGCGTACGGACTGACCTCTGGCACATTCGTACTTCCCGCAGGAAGACTCGGCGATATTTTTGGCCATAGCCGCCTTTTCATCATCGGGTTCGTCTGGTTCGCCGCCTGGAGCCTCATAGCCGGGTTTTCAGAGGCTGTGCAGCGGGCAGGCGGCGCCGGAACTATCTTCTTCGTCGTCAGCCGCGCTTTTCAAGGAATCGGACCGGCCATTCTTGTACCCAACGGGCAGGCTATGTTGGGTCGCGCTTATGCTCCCGGGACTCGCAAAAACGTGGTAATGTGCCTCTTTGGAGCTGCTGCGCCTTTTGGATTTGTTCTTGGCGCGGTTATGTCGTCTCTCTTTGCCGAGCGTGCTTCGTGGCCGTGGGCTTTCTGGACGATGGCTGCAGTTTGTGTCGCACTCGCTGCTGTAAGCGCGGGAATTCTGCCGGCCGATGCACCCCGAGATGGCGACCAGATGGTCTTGGCCGATGAGGACGGCGAGGACAATGATGATGTTGTCACATCCAAGGCAAAGAACAGGAGAGAGTCTCTGTGGGTGCGGATGGATGCTGCCGGCATGATCTTGGGCGTCTCGGGCCTTGTTCTCATCAACTTCGCCTTCAGCCAGGCACCCATTGTCGGCTGGACGACCGCTTACACCTATTTTCTATTAATCATCGGCCTACTGGCCATGTGTGCTTTTGCCTATGTGGAGACGTTCCAGGCGACCCATCCGCTTGTGCCGTTCGCAGCCATGTCCGCGTCAACGAACTTCGTGCTTGGATGTACGGCCACAGGATGGGGCTGCTTCTCCGTCTGGGTTTACTACGCCGTATCCACCATGGAAAACATACGCGGCTGGTCGCCGCTGCTGACGAGCGCGGCCTTTGCGCCTGCACCCTTGAGTGGGCTGGCAGCCAGTCTATTGACCGGCGTACTTTTCAGTCATCATGTGAAGCCGCACTGGGTCATGCTGATCAGCATGTGCGCCTTTTTTATTGGAAGCCTATTATTTGCCACAGGTCCGCCGGGACAGCTGTACTGGTACAACTCCTTTTTCGCCATTTTAATCATGCCTTTTGGCATGGACATGAGCAACCCAGCGGCCACCATTATGCTTAGTAATAGCGTCGGCAAAACAAACCAGGGCATCGCGGCCAGCCTTGTTGTGACGGTAGTCAACTATTCGATCTCGCTTGCGCTGGGTATTTCCGGGACCGTTGAGGCAAGCGTGCTTGATACCAACAATTTGCTCCGTGGCTACAGGGCGGCGCAGTACTTTGGTCTCGGCCTTGGAGGTCTAGGAATCCTGCTTGCAACCGCCTTCTTGTGCCAGAATCGTTTGCGCGCATCGAGGGCTTCACAAACGCCACGGGCAGAAAAGTCCACGCGCTAAGGCTCCCCTTCTGTCTCTTGTAAGGAGTTGTTGGGGGAGGGGAGAGAGGGGAGGGGGTAAATCTAGACGTGCCGAAGGTGTCGGAGTATTGAAAGCAATTAGTAGATAATATCAAGTTTGTGAGGTCCTCTTTGTCTGGAATGGTGGGAGGATATCTCTGTGAAAGATGATGGGCGTTGCAGTCTAGTAGCATAGCAGGTAGCCCGGAAAAAAACGTAGCAGATAATATAGCAAAAAAATAATGAAAGCTCTCGCCGTCTTAAGCGAAGAGGGACGAAATACAGAAAAACTCCCATAATATACCCAACCAGCCCAAAACGCCCAACAGCTCTGGTTCCTGTGTTTCTTCGTCTTTATATTTGACTTTTGGCTTTTCCCCTCTGCCGAATATCGTACCATACACCACCACCGCCTCCTCACGATGCCTTTGCAACATGAAGCGATATCATAAACCCAAATCGAGCCGATAGCCAATTTTCAAAGTATATCTGTCAAAAGCATCGCTCGAAAACATTGAGAAGAACAGGGCGAAGCAGCTCGGAGTGTGGAGGAAGTTCTGCGTGTTGAGTTTAGTAGCCGCCACGGAAGCTGCCCCGACCACCGCGGCCTCCACCACCGCCACGGCCACCAGAGAATCCCCGACCACCGCCGGGACCGCCACGACTGCCTCCCCGGAAGCCACCACCGCTGCCGCCACGGCTGCCTCCCCGAAAGCCTCCCGGGCCTCCACGACCACGCGGTGCACCCCGGCCCCGGCCGCCGCTGAAGCCACCACGGCCACCTGCAGCAAAGCCCGGCTTCCGAACCTTCTTGACCTCGGTACCCGGTGGGGGCTTGGGCTTCGGCATGAAGCGCTCAAAAGGCAGAAGCTTGTCGCTGGACAGATAGAAACGGTCGCCAGACTTGAAGCTGGTGGCCTGGATACCCTCAGAAGGCTTGATGGTGAAGTAGACCTGGTTGATAGGACCGAGAATCTCGTCCACCTTGCCGATGTTTGTCTTGTTTTCGAGGAAGACAAAGGCGTTGAACTGGGGGATCTTGGCAGCGTTGACGCTCTTGCAGACCATCTCACCCTCGCAGGCGTGCATGAAAGAGCCCATCTCGACGACGGACGCTGGCGGACCCATGTCGCGCGGGGCAAAGCCACCACGACCTAGGGAAGAGGAGCGTCAGCGATATTCTGGGCCTCCAGCCTCAAAAGCTGTATGGGAAGAGGCCGAAGTCTCAAGTCCCGAACTTAGGAAGAAACCTACCGCCTCGGCCACCGAAACCACCACCGAAACCGCCACGCCCACGCGGGGGACCACCACGGAATGACATTTTATGCAAGTTTCTTTAACAGGGTGTCGACTGTTTTTATCTATGCGCAATTGACCGACCAGACAGATAGTTCGGTCGGAGTGGGATCCAAATACGTCGGGAAGAAATAATCGATGGATTGTGTCAAAATGTTGAAGCTTTTTTTGGGAGGACGACTTTTTCCTTAATTTTTTTTTCTCGCCGAGCATTTTCGTTGGTCCGATTTTGAAAATTGTGGACCAAGCTAATTGTCTTATCTTATCGTTTATTGTGGGTATTCTTACTCAGCGGTTCTGCTTATTCTTACATAATCAATTGCTTGATTTGGCGGGAGTGAAAATTACGCACAAAACTGTGATATCTTACGTACGGAGAACATTCTGTACTGTTCCAGTAAAGCTTTGAGAGTATCGACACAACCTACCACACAGTTTCGATTGTTGTCCGCCGACCCTATTGCCATGCAAGCAAAAGGCTGCTCGGGCTGTATCTGTTGTGTGTCAATCGCGTGATATGGCCGCACCATGCGAGCTTTGAGCTTATCTTTCTGCTACATACTCCGTACTCCGTACTTGTAATTGCAACCCTGCATGTAAAATATCGGCTGTTGTCGAAGTCGGAGAGACTGTGCATAGTCCTCGCCATATTACATATAATACAATGTCACTTGATCGGTGAGAGTCTCCGATCGCCTTGCGTTGATTTCTTTTGACGCCAATTCCGTGTTTCGGTTTGCTTGTATGTAGAACTACTACGTTTAGTATGCTGCGAGTACATGGCCTTGTCGCATGATTGCGTCGCAGAACCAATCCTCCGAGGGCTAGCGTCCCATGATCGGTGCTTCCGCCCGTTCTTACTAGAATCGTTTACAGACAAGTATACTTCGTAGTGCACTTCGGTATCTTACTTGCCTATCTTCTATTCTTCGTTCGTAACCCTTTTGGGACTAATTTTAAGAGGCACAATCCGCATCTGGGCAACGACACTAATGTACTCCGTATTGCATTCAAATTGTATAAAATTAAGAGTCCTCGCTGATGTTTCCATGTAACTTCAATGGAGGCTATGCTTACTTATCCCAACCAATACTGCTTGTGTTGCCCAAAGTACAGCTGCCTGCCATGACGACATTCACTACGGAAGGGGCTGTCAAGGTCCCGGTCCTGGCGGACAAGGCCGGCGGGACGATCGTAGAGCGACCACTGACGGTGGCAGAACTCGGTGTTTCTGAAAAGCGCATGATTCGCAAGATCGACTTTGCCCTGATCCCGCTGGTTATGGGGCTGTACATGTTCAGTTTCTTGGACCGGTAGGTCGCTCTAGACACATTATGAACAAATCCCAGACCAAGACGGCTGACCTTCCCACAGCGTTAATATTGGCAATGCACGCCTCTACAGCCTGGAAGAAGACCTTGGCATGCACGGCCATCAATACCAGACCGCCGTCTCGATTCTCTTCGTCACCTACATTACCTTTGAAATTCCTAGCAACCTCGTCCTTAAGAAGTTCACCCCCAGTCGCTGGATTGGATTCATTACCACTGCCTGGGGCATCATCGCCACCCTGACTGGCCTTGTCCATTCATACGGCGGCCTGGTAGCCTGTCGTGTGCTGCTAGGTACTGTCGAGGCCGGTCTGTTCCCGGGCCTGAACATTTACCTGACGCTCTTTTATACGCGCCGTGAGCTGGCAGTCCGCGTTGGCTTCTTGTTTGTGTCGGCCGCTATTGCAGGCGCGCTGGGAGGTCTGCTTGCGTATGGTATCGGTCACATGGACGGCCTAGACGGAAGACATGGCTGGAGTGTATGTGGATAAACTTTTCGGCAAGGCGGTCATTGCGGACTACGAACCATTGAATGCTGCTAACATTTACATTCTTCCGTCTAGTGGATCCTGATTATAGAAGGCATTCCTAGTTTCGTCCTCGGCATCGCCTGCTTTTTTCTCTTGCCTAATTCGCCAGAGTCAGCCTATTTCTTCACTGAGACCGAGAAGAAAGCCGTTGCATTGCGCTGGGCTGGCGAGTATGGCCGCACCGAAAGTGCCCAAGAGTTTAGCAAGAAGGATATGTACAAGGCATTCACGGACTGGAAGGTCTGGGTCTTTTGTGCTGGCCAGTTCGGCGCTGACACCATGCTTTACGGTATGTAGGTGGAAAAGGTTGGAGAGGCGAAGACAACGAGAGCTAACGTCACAGGCTTCTCAACCTTTCTACCCACCATCATCAACGGCCTGGGCAAGTGGACTACAGCCCAGGTGCAACTGCTAACCATCCCCGTTTACTTCCTTGGCGCCGCCACCTACATGACCATGGCCGTGCTGTCTGACCGCATACAGCAGCGCGCTATCTTTTGTATAATATTTGGTGCCATAAGCGTGGTTGGCTATGGAGTGTTGATCTCGGATTCGTCGGCAGGCGTGCACTATTTTGGGTATATCCAGATTTTCTCTACCATTTTGCCCCGGCTCGTGCTGACAGTACTGCTAGTTGCTTCCTGATTGCCATGGGACTGTATGTTCTCGTGGGAATTCCTCTCGCATGGGTACGTCTTGGCACCGAGCCCTTATTTTGGTCTCTAGAAATTGTCTGACCTTTCTCTCCTCTTCTCCCAGCTGCCCGTCAACTGCCCCCGATACGGCAAGCGGACAACTGCGAGCGGCATGCAATTGACCTTTGGAAACGCTGCTGGCATCATGGCGCCTTTCATATAGTAGGTGATCTCGCGCCAAAGCCCACTGCTTTCGCATCGACTGACTGTTCTTCAGTGCTACGAAGGACAAGCCTCGTTACATCCGGGGCCATGCTATTACCCTGTCCCTGGTGGGTTTGTCAACTTGCATTTATGTCTTTGTCTGGTGGAGCCTATCCAAAGCGAATCGCGCCAGAGATGCTGCAGAGCGCGAAGCCGAGGAACAGGGCCGGCCGTTACAGTTGCCTGAAGAACTGGAGGAGCTGGGCGACGAGAGCCCGCACTTCCGGTTCCTGACGTAAGCGCAGAAACGGGAAGGTGCGAAGTATAGTTGGTGATTTCCCCTTTGCCCGATCCGGTAGTAGAGAGTCAAAGACTGAAAGATGTGTTTATGAGCGAGGGCGATAAACGTTAACGAGCATTTATGCACTTCGTACTATCGTTACTCTTTAAAAACTACGCCCCCCGGCCGTTAATTGAAAAGGCCCACTTTTAGCGTGTAGCGCGCCCTCGACGCGACCTGCTCTCCCTCTTACGTGATGTAAAAAGCTGTCGACGACATACAACAATATTCTGTAATTACAATCACAAATCTTGCAATCAAGCCGTCCATCGATTACAGGGAAAATCGCCATAATGGGTATCAAACAACTGTTTCAGATTGTCAAAGAAGAGGCCCCGGATTCTGTCAAAGAAGGCGAGATAAAAAATCAGTTCGGCCGTAAAGTTGCCATTGTGAGTTTACGCAACGTCGCGATGCTCCCCCGGCGATAAGATGGGACACATTCGGTAACTTCGAGTGCTTGCTAATTTACTCCCAGGATGCGTATGAGTTTCCCTTTAGCTTCTTCGTTGGTTCTTCTCCTGCCTTTCTCATATCCCGAGACGACAACCCGGTTTCCTGGTTGCGAACAGTGCTGATTTCAGTTTACGCATTTCCAGGTCGATGAGCATCTACTCGTTCCTGATCGCGGTGCGATCGGAAGGCCAGATGCTAACGAGCGACGCCGGCGAGACGACATCGCATCTTATGGGCATGTTTTACCGCACGCTTCGCATGGTGGACAACGGCATCAAGCCGCTTTATGTGTTCGATGGTGCGCCACCAAAACTTAAGTCTGGCGAGCTCGCGCGACGATACATGCGCAAGCAGGAGGCGACAGAAGGTCTGGAGGAAGCCAAAGAAACGGGCACGGCTGAGGATATTGAGAAGTTCTCGCGGCGGACAGTGCGCGTGACGCGAGAGCACAACACAGAGTGTCAGCGGCTGCTCAAACTCATGGGTATTCCTTTCATAGTCGCCCCGACCGAGGCCGAAGCGCAGTGCGCTGAGCTGGCGCGTGCCGGCAAGGTGTATGCGGCTGCCAGCGAGGACATGGATACGCTCTGTTTTAACACACCTATCTTGCTGAGACACCTGACTTTCAGCGAGCAGCGGAAGGAGCCTATCCAGGAGATTCACCTGGACAAGTTGCTGCTGGGACTGAACATGGAGCGGGAACAGGTAGTTTTCCCTCTTTCCATTGCCTACTGCCCTAACTTTCCCGATGCTGACTTTCCCCCCAGTTTGTCGACCTCTGCATCCTTCTGGGCTGCGACTACCTTGATCCCATTCCCAAGGTCGGCCCCAATACAGCGCTAAAGCTGATCCGCGAACATGGCTCACTCGAAAAGGTTGTCGAGTTCATGAAAACCGACAAAAAGCAAAAGTTTGTCATACCCGACGACTGGCCCTACGAAGATGCGCGCGAGCTCTTCTTCAAACCCGATGTGCGCTCTGCCAGCGACCCAGAATGCGACTTCAAATGGGAAAAGCCCGACGTCCCGGGCCTCGTTCAGTTTCTCGTAAACGAGAAGGGCTTTTCTGAGGACCGCGTACGCTCGGCTGCCGCCCGCTTAGAAAAGCATCTTAAGGGCACACAGCAACAGCGCTTGGAAGGATTCTTCAAGCCAGTGCCCAAGACAGAGGAAGAGCAAAAGGCGCACAAGCGCAAGCTCGAGGAGAAGAACGAGGAAAAGAAGAAGCGGGTTAAGGAGGAGAAGAAGAAGGCTAAGGCCAAGGGGAAGCCGCGGGGTGCGGTCTGAGAAGCGGCAGGGGGTGAGTGATAGGCTGGCCCGCACGATGCGGACGCTTTCTGCTGGTTTCTTTCCGGGGCTGGGCGTTCAAGGATTGTTTCTGTGGCATCACATGGTAAGGAGAAGTAGGGGCAAATGTGGATAAAAGCATATCTTATTATTCTGGTTGCTAGCGGTTGGAGTTACTCCAACGCAAGCCGGAGAAATGGCGGGGAATGGGGAGCTGGACCTCGGCATCTTTGGCTGGTGCCCTGTTTCCGGGGCGCGTTTACCAATGACATAAAAGACAATACATGATCACAAATAGAAAATGGAGAATCCACAGACTACTCCATACTCCGTAAGCTTTGCGCCTTCACATGCTAAGACTCCATTCCAGCGTCCCCAAGTCTTCATTGCATAAGGACTTCTGCAAGCGTCGTCGCACTGTATAAACTCAGCGATTATGGTTATAGCTTTACCTCGGCCAATCGTTGGCGGCTAATTATGCCTTACCCCACGCTGGACCGGCCGCTCGAACTGTGGAGAAGCTGGCAACTTCTACACCCTGACACTGTGCGATTATAGGTGACCGGAAACAGCTTGAGTATGGACGTGTGACAGCTCTCGCATTATTCTTCTGCATGTGATTTTGTGCCCAGTTGGCCGACTGGCGTTGGTAATAAAGACAATTACATATTTTGCCTCGCTTGGGCAACGTGCTTTCTTACCTTCTCTTCCAATCCATCTCTCCCTCATCTTCTCATTTTCTTACGCCTGTTCCCCATTGCTTATTCTGGCCCTATTCCCGCATCTCTACGCCTCCCTATCCTCCATCATGTCCAAAACATTCACACAGAGTGACATTGCGTCACACAACAAGCCCGACTCGCTGTGGATTGTTGTCGATGGCGATGTTTACGACTTGACAAAGTTTCAGGATGATCACCCTGGCGGCAAGAAGATCCTTGCACGTGTTGCCGGCAAGGACGCGTCAAAGCAGTTTTGGAAATACCACAATGAAGGTATTTTGAAGAAGTACAAGGGCCAGCTACAGATTGGCTCCTTAGATACAAAGCCAAAGGCCGAGTCAGCGCCTGCGCCCAAGCCTGCGCCCGAGCCTGCTGCCAAGCCTGCTGCCAAGCCTGCAGTTGCACTGGCAAAGAAAGAGGAGAAGAAGGAGGTAGAGCCTCTTGAGCCATTTGGTGCAGCCATCCCGTTTGCCGACCCGGGCTGGTACCAGAGCGTGAGATTCATCCCTTTCACCGTGATTTAGGATCCCCCAATACTGACTCATTACCCCCCTCGTTGCAGTACCGTTCTCCCTACTTCAACGAGACACACGTCGCATTGCGTGCCGAGGTTCGCGAGTGGATTGAGAATGAAATCGAGCCGCACGTCACTGAGTGGGATGAGGCCCGTCTGGTCCCCCCCGAGATATACAAGGAAATGGGTCGTCGTGGTTATTTGGCCGGGCTGCTCGGCACGGAGTACCAGACCGCTTACACAGAGAACCGCGTGCAATCGGTGCCACCTGAGAAGTGGGATCTCTTCCACGAGTTGCTGTTGACAGACGAGATCTCACGTGCCGCATCTGGCGGCTTTGTGTGGAACCTCGTCGGCGGTTTCGGTATCGGTTGCCCGCCATTGGTTAAGTTCGGCCGCAAGAGTCTCAAGGACCGTATTCTGCCAGGTATCCTCAACGGCGACAAGCGGATCTGCCTTGCCATCACGGAGCCCGATGCCGGTTCCGACGTGGCCAACCTGACTTGCGAGGCTAAGTTGAGTGAGGATGGCAAGCACTACATTGTCAATGGCGAGAAGAAGTGGATCACAAACGGCATATGGTCTGACTATTTCACCACGGCTGTACGCACTGGAGGGCCCGGTATGAACGGTGTCAGTCTGTTGTTGATCGAGCGCTCCTTTGGCGGCGTCAGCACGCGCAAAATGGACTGCCAGGGAGTTTGGTCCAGCGGCACAACGTACATCACCTTTGAGGATGTCAAGGTGCCCGTGGAGAACCTACTGGGCAAGGAGAACCAGGGCTTCCGCGTCATCATGACCAACTTCAACCACGAGCGCATCGGCATCATCATTCAGTGCTTGCGCTTTAGCCGCGTGTGCTACGAGGAGGCCGTGCGTTACGCACACAAGCGCCGCACCTTTGGCAAGAGTCTCATCGAGCACGACGTCATCCGCCTCAAGCTGGCCCACATGGCTCGCCAGATCGAGGCCAGCTACAACTGGCTCGAGAATGTCATCTACCAGTGCGAGACTATGACTGAGACCGAGGCTATGCTGCGCCTCGGCGGTGCCATTGCCGGCCTCAAAGCCCAGAGCACCATCACCTTTGAGTACTGCGCCCGCGAGGCTAGTCAGATCTTTGGCGGCCTGTCGTACTCGCGCGGTGGCCAGGGCGGCAAGGTCGAACGGCTGTACCGTGACGTGCGTGCCTATGCCATTCCTGGTGGCTCCGAGGAGATCATGCTAGACCTGAGCATACGCCAAAGTCTACGCGTAGGCAAGGCTACAGGGATGAAGCTGTAAAATGGTTTCGAGTGATGGAAGAAACAGGTGGCTAAAATCATAGTCACAATATATACGTCTCGTTGTATCTTATTATCACCTTGTTGTATTTCGAACTTCCCATTCATGCCTGGCTATAACAATACGTTGGATCCGGCAAACAGCTCGGTTATAGACATATAAATAGGGCCATTATCACCACAATAAGCTCTCAACCGGTGCTATCATTTTTCGAGAGAGTCATTGACGTCCAGTGGGGTTTTAAGTATTTTCGTACGCAGAGATGCTTCGGATTTTGTCTCAATTCCTTAACCTGCTTTTATTTTTATCTTTTATGTACGTGTTCTGCTTCAACATACGGCTGACCTTTGTCCTTTCACCAAACCTTCCACCACTGTTTTGCCCGCTCGGCCGCTTCACGCTCTTCCCGTTCTCGCTGTTCTTTCTGCTGTCGCCGCTTCTTCTCTTCTTCCCGGTGTCGGAGCTCTGCCTGCTTCCGGTCATACACTTCCACAACACGCTGCATCTTAGCCCGCTCGGCCCGCCGAAAGGCCTGGCATACCTCGAAGGAGACGATACCACCGAGGGCGAACATGCCAACTGCCCAGTTTGTCGCCTTGGGGATGTTTGCTGAAAGCAGGGAGAGGTGAAGTCAACAAGGAGCACACGATAGTGAGGCCCAGTATGTGGTATGGCCAGAGTCTTACCTCCCAAAATATACCGCAGCATTCCAACAACCGCACCGCCACCTATCCCCGTCATGAAGCCCTGCCGCGCGCATGGATATTGGTACACTTGCAGAAAGTCTGCTGGCTTGATCGTCTTGACGGCTTCTGAGACAGAGATAGCTATCTGTTCCTGCTGGTTTTGTTCACTCGGTGCCTTTGGCGTCGTCTGTGTCTGTGTTCCCGATGCGCCTGTATTCTGCAGCGCTCGCAACTCTTGGGCTGTTGGCGCCCGGTCAAAATGCTGACTGCCCCAGGTAGCCGTGGCACCCGTTGTCATTGGCGCCGCCGGTGGCGGCGGTTGTGATATTGACTCTTCGCGGCCCATCTCGTCTAGAACTATGATTCCGTTTCCATGCCAGGTCAAGGTCCTGTCTGTAGCCGTCTGTTCAATTGAGAGGAACTCGGTTGTCGAAAAAACGACTCTGGTGATCCGATGTTAGAGTTGGACCCACTTTTGTCCGGTACGTCAGATTCTGCGCAGAACCTTTCTAGAGGGATGTGGTCTGTGCGCGCACACCACTTTGTCCTGCTCCAGCGGGCCGCGGCCAACACGTCCCACTGTCCGTTTCCAATTAGCACCTAGAACACGTTGAAACGCGCTTTGAGTGCAACGCTCTTTCTAGAGACGCGTCGTACCCGCAAACTAGGAAGGCACCCACCAATCCCTTCACCCACAACGGGGGAAAGAAGGGTACTGTGTTTCTCCCCTTCCTGCTTTGGCTTGATTGAAGGCAACCTTGATTGTATCCATAACTGTCACCATTCCAACCGAGCACACACACCCATGTTTTGAACATTGAGTGTACCGCAAGTACCATATCCTGACTCGATTTCTCAGAACATCTACCGAACGTCTTTTCTCCTGATGCACCCCAGCGGCCGTTGCTAGGGGAGCAGGGCAGAGACCAAACTGCCAATTCTGTCGTTCTCTCGGCTCCCTTTGCTTGACCACCTCTGTAACATACAATACAATGGCCAACACAAGTTTACGGCGGCAGCCGCAAAAGGGCTTCCGTCAAGGCGGCAAGAAGGCTTACCATGGCTCTCGACCAGCACAGCGAACATTTGCTGCCGCGTCCGGCGGCCGTGCCGAGGGAACCTCAGCCGACGAGAAGTGGGAACGCACCCACCTGGCCCACAGCATTGACGAGAAGATGGGTTTTGCCCGCTTTGAAGCCGGGCGCCGGCGCGAAGGTTGGCTCGTCAACGTGCAGCCTACGTCGATCGAAGACGATCGGATAGAAGGCGGGGGCGGCCGAGCCGCCGTCGATCTATACTTCATAGATTCGGGGACTGACGGCAGCGATGAAGATACTACATTCAAAGCGACTGTCGAATACGAGCCATACTTTCTTGTAGCTGTCCGCAAAGGCCACGAGACTGAGGTGGAGGAGTGGTGCAAGCGTGTGCCAGGCGGCGGCGGCCTCGTGAAGCGCATAAAACGCATCGAGAAAGAGGATTTACAGATGCCAAACCATCTCTTGGGCTTCCGACGCTCCTTTCTAGAGTTACGCTTCGACAATGTGCAGAATCTGTTGGCAGTGCGCCGTGATATTCTGCCAATTGCGGACAAGAACAAAAAGGGCATGAACGCCATGGACACCTATGCAGAAATGGCAGCGTACGTCCTTGGATTACTGATCTGCTCTTCTTTGTGGCATCTCTCGGCTTGGGCTAATCCTTCCTGTCAGGTCGACTAATGCCTTTGACCTGTTTGACGACGCACGCGATGACGAAACGCGGCTGCCGACTTCTGTTGCAGATGCTAGCGAGTTTGTTGTCGATATCCGAGAATACGATGTCCCGTACCATGTGCGAGTCTTGATTGATATGGGTGAGTCCACAATCCATATTTTCACTCTACTTCACCGTTGCCATGCGACTAACGGCTGCCCAGACATACGAGTGGGAAAATGGTACTTCGTTGAGGCGAAACATGGCACCCTCTCTGTTACCATCAACGAGAAACGTTTGGCCATGGCAGATCCGGTGGTCATGGCCTACGATATTGAGACCACCAAGCTCCCACTCAAGTTTCCTGATGCCGCCATCGACCAGGTCATGATGATATCGTACATGATTGACGGGCAGGGATTTTTGATCACCAACCGCGAAATTGTCTCCGAGGACATTTCCGACTTTGAGTATACGCCACGTCCAGAATACCAAGGCCCCTTTATGATCTTCAACGAGCCTGATGAGAAAGCTGTTCTCGAACGATTCTTCCTGCATATCAAGGAGGCCCGGCCTACAGTCATTGCTACCTACAACGGTGACTTTTTCGATTGGCCCTTTGTCGAAGCTCGTGCTAGTGCCAACGGCATCGACATGTACCATGAGATCGGCTGGCGCCGCGACACTGACGACCAGTACAAGTGCAACTATTCCGTCCACATGGATTGCTTCCATTGGGTCAATCGAGACAGCTACCTGCCCCAGGGAAGCCGTGGTCTCAAGGCCGTGACTGTAGCCAAGCTGGGCTACGACCCAGATGAGCTGGACCCAGAACTCATGACACCCTACGCTTCAGAACGGCCACAGACACTGGCCGAGTACTCCGTGTCCGATGCCGTTGCCACATATTATCTCTATATGAAATACGTTCACCCTTTCATCTTCTCGCTCTGCACAATCTTGCCGCTTGGTCCCGATGACGTCTTGCGGAAAGGTACTGGTACTCTGTGCGAGATGCTGCTCATGGTTCAAGCATATATCCATGAGATCGTTCTGCCCAACAAGCATGTATCACCCAAAGAGGCCTTTTGGGAGGGACACCTGCTGGACGCCGAGACATATGTCGGCGGCCACGTTGAAAGTATTGAGGCTGGCGTGTTTCGAGCGGACATTCCTGTCAATTTCGCCGTTGATCCGAAAGCGTGCGATGAGCTGCTACGGGACCTCGATGCTGCTCTCAAGTTCAGCATCACCATAGAGGAGAAAAAATCCATGGACGACGTCACCAACTACGATGAGGTGAAAGAGCAGATTGCCGCATGTCTGACAACACTCAGAGACACCCCAAACCGCCTCGAACGCCCGCTTATCTACCATCTGGATGTTGCCTCCATGTACCCCAATATCATGACAACGAATCGATTACAGCCGGACTCGATGATCAATGAGTCGGATTGCGCCACATGTGACTTCAATCGACCCGGAAAAACATGCGACAGACGCCTTCCTTGGGCTTGGCGTGGAGAGTATATTCCCGCCAAACGAGACGAGTACAACATGATCCGACATGCCATTGAAAACGAGAAGTTTCCAGGAAAGTATCGCAACGCGCCAACGCGCACATTCCAGGAACTGCCGGCAGACGAGCAGGCGGCGCTCATCCGCAAACGCCTACAGCTCTACTCGCAGAAAATCTATCACAAGATTCACGACTCAACCACTATCGTCCGCGAGGCTGTTATCTGCCAACGAGAGAACCCGTTTTATATTGACACTGTTCGCGACTTCCGTGATCGTCGTTACGATTACAAAGGGAAAGCAAAAGTGTGGAAGGGGAAAACGGAGGCTCTCAAGTCGTCTGGTGCTTCTGCTGCTGAGGTCGACAATGCCAAGAAGATGATCATTTTGTTCGACTCGCTGCAGCTGGCTCATAAGGTCATTTTGAATTCGTTTTATGGCTACGTCATGCGAAAAGGCTCACGCTGGTATTCTTTGGAGATGGCCGGCGTAACCTGTCTGACTGGTGCCACAATCATTCAGATGGCCCGGGAGCTGGTTGAACGTCTGGGCCGTCCGCTCGAGCTTGACACTGATGGTATTTGGTGCATGCTGCCATCATCATTTCCGGAAAACTTTGCTTTCAAGCTGAAGAACGGCAAGAAATTGACCATCTCGTATCCTTGTGTAATGCTTAATCATCTGGTGCACGCCCGATTCACGAACCATCAGTACCAGACCCTGGTCGATCCCAAGGCGTTCAAGTATGAGACTCACAGCGATAACTCCATCTTCTTTGAGGTCGACGGACCGTATAAGGCCATGGTTCTACCGACGTCAAAGGAAGAAGACAAGAACCTGAAGAAGCGATATGCCGTTTTCAACGATGATGGCAGTCTGGCTGAACTCAAGGGTTTCGAGGTCAAACGTCGGGGTGAACTCAAGCTCATCAAGATCTTTCAGCAGCAGATTTTCAAGTTCTTCCTCGACGGTACAACCCTGGCTGAATGCTATGCTGCTGTGGCAAAGGTGGCCAACAGGTGGCTAGACGTGTTGCATAGCAAAGGAGCAACACTAGCTGACGAGGAACTCATGGAGCTCATTTCTGAAAACCGCAGTATGGCAAAGACATTGGAAGAGTACGGAACACAGAAATCGACGTCGATCACCACAGCTCGCCGCCTGGCCGATTTTTTGGGCGAGCAAATGGTAAAAGACAAGGGGCTTAACTGCAAATTCATCATTTGCTCGCGACCGCGAAACGCACCTGTCACGGAACGTGCTATACCCGTGGCCATCTTTTCCGCCGAAGAGCAAACAAAGCGCCAGTACCTCAAGAAGTGGTTTAAAGAGGAGCCTGCCGATACCGACCCGCGTGCTCTGCTAGATTGGGACTATTACCTCGAGCGTCTGGGCTCTGTCATCCAGAAGCTCATCACTATTCCGGCAGCCCTGCAGAAGGTCAGAAATCCCGTTCCGCGCGTGGCTCACCCAGAGTGGCTGCAGCGGCGAATCAATATCAAGGACGACAAGATGAAGCAGAAGAAGCTCACAGATCTCTTCGCCAACCCCAAAGCCACTTCCATCTCTGCGGGCGGTCCCTTGGGAGACATCACAAATCTGAACAATGGGATTTTATCTCGCGTTACAGCAACGGTCACGGTGGCAGCAGATATGGAAGACTTCGGGGCGGCTAGTCAAAATCTACTGAAGCCAAAGACGACTGCCGAGGCTATTGCCGGGATGATGGCAGCAGATGCAACGGCTGCGGATAATGCGGTTACCGTCCAAAAACGGAAGTTCCCTCCAGAAGCTGGCGTCGCAGACGCCTCCCTTGACCCTATGGCCTCTTTGCCCAAGGTTATGCCCTCACCCAGCGAAGACTACGTCGCATTTCTTCAGTACCAAAAAAAGAAATGGGCCATCCAAAAGCAGGCGCGAATTCGCCGGCGACACCTCTTTGGAGACCGCAGCAATAGCACCCTCCAAAAGAGCAGCAACATCCAACAGTCTTTTCAGCACCGGGCCGAGATCACCTTCCGCAACACGTGGCAGCTATTGCAACTGCGGCTGTCTGAGAGCCCTGGTATCGTGTCGGCTTTTGTACTGATCGACTCCCGCATACACAGCCTGAAGATCAAGGTGCCTCGCCAAGTATTTTTAAACCTCAAGAGCAGAGAGCTTCCGGATATCGAAATCGATGGTTGCGAGGTTGAGCAGGTCAACCACACGCTGCCAAATGGACACTCGTCGGTGCACCTGTTCAAACTGACTGTGCCGGAGGAGGTGTACTTTGCTGAAGCCGAGAAGTTTTCTCTGCTTTTCAATCACCCGAGCATTGAGGGGGTGTACGAGCGGCAGCTTCCCCTGAACATTCGCGCCCTTCTGCGGCTGGGCAATCTGTGCACGATCGATGAAGCTCAGCAAGGTGTGCTTGGCAAAGGTCTCGACCAGGGCTTTGACCTGGCAGGCCTGAAGCGGCCCACAAAGCACCTCAAGCCATACCTTGATCCGACCACAATGGCATATATTTATGTTTCACACATCAGCTCCGGCGAACGGCAAATTTTCGGGCTTTTCTCCACAACGAACAGTCAGGCGCATATTGTCATACTGAACAAGCACCGGGACAATGCGCAGGACATGCCCAATGTCGGGAAAATCTACAACGATATGCTAGGCCGGCGAAGGGGTGTCGAAGCCGAGGCCAAGGCTGCAGCATCAGCGTCTCAGACAGTCCGCATGTCGGCTGCAGACAAGGAGGCTGCGAAGGCTGCGGAAGCAGCAGCGACCAACTGGCGAGACTGCTTTCCCTACCAAGAGGCGCTGGCTTTCAAGATCACGCAGGTCACGACGCGGCGCAAGGTATATCTTGAGATCGGTGACATTGTCAAGAAGATGCACAAGGAGGAGATTGGACGGCCGCAGATGCTTGTTGTCCAGTCCTCGCAGCGCAACATGCTCGTGCACGACATTCCCGTGCTCGGCGAGTTTCCGGTGCTACCGCTGAAGTACGACCCGCTGGACAGCTCGTTGCCGCCACTGGGTTGGCAGTCTGTCGTAGCACGGCGGTTGGTTAACCATTACTTGGCGCTGGGATCGTGGGTGCTGCACCTTGTTGGTCTCGCACGCTACGGCGATGTCCCCGTCTGCAATCTGGAGCGCGACGATCCGCGCTTCATTATTGATGTGGCGTATGCACGTCGCCTGCAGAACAACAACGTCGTGCTCTGGTGGTCCGGCAGTCCACGGCCAGATCATGCTGGCTATGAGAAGGACGATGTCGTCGGGCCGCTGGAGACTGTAGCCCTGCCGACTGTCAACAACCCGGGCACTTTCGCGTCTGTCTGCATCGATATTGACGTCCGCAACCTCTCCATCAACACCATTCTGACATCGTCTCTGATCAATGAGCTAGAGGGTGCGGATGCTGCGGTTTCGTTTAACCCAGCAGCTGATGCAGCAGGGGGCGAGGATGGCGCAGGTGATGGCGGATCGGGCTCGTTGTACTCGGAAAACGCATTCTCAAACGCTAGTATTCTCGTCTTGCGCGAGATGGTCAAGGCTTGGTGGGCTGAGGCCTGCAAAGGCAACGCCATGGCCGATCTGGTGGTAAACAACCTGGTGCGCTGGGTCGAGAATCCAGACTCGTTTCTGTATGATCGTGCGCTGCACTATTACGTACAGATGATGTCGCGCAAGGCCTTTCAGCAGCTCATGGCTGATTTTCGGCGTGTCGGGTCTCAGGTGATCTTTGCCAGCGCAAACCGGCTACTGCTGCAGACGACAAAGGCAGAGGTGGACAACGCATACGCCTACAGCCAGTACGTTCTCAAGAGCATCAAGAGCCGGCCGCTCTTCAGCTTCATCGAGATGGACGTCAAAGAGTACTGGGACTATCTTGTGTGGTATGACGAGTATAACTATGGCGGCAAGGCGTGCCAGACTATCGAGGACGTGCCCCCGGGCTCGCTGCAGCCACTCGAGACGATCATGCACTGGCAGATGAACACGTTTCTACCAGTGCGGTTGCAGCCCGTCTTCTCGGACTGGGTTATCGAGTTCATTCAGCTGATGCACTCCCTCAAGCGGCCGGCTATTGCCGACGACGGCAGCACGCAGCGTCTAACCCAAATACCCCTCGCGGTGCTGCGAGGCGGAAGTAGTTCCAACAGCCAGACTACGCTCGGTGGCATCAGCATGGCCGGCGACGGAAACGGCAGCTCAGAGGTAGGTCCGGTAATTCTCGGGCCAAAATTCGAAAAACCGTTGAAAAGAGCGATCGCTGGCCTCATCACGGCGCGGAATCGGGAGATGCTTCATCCGGAGCTGGCCAACGACTACGACTTTCCGGTTCTCCCGGGCTCGCTGGTGTGGTCAAAGGGCACCTCCTCGGTACCTTCGAAAGCGTCACAGTCACGAAACCCGGTCCTCGAGCTAGTCAAGGCGCTGATGCAGGTGTTGTCGCTGGATAAGAATATTGCTATGGAGGCTCGACTACTGCGCAAGGAGCTGCTTGCCATGTTTGATGTGCGCGAATTCAGTCGGGAGGGTGCGTTCCAGAATCCATCGGAAAGCCTACGGGTGTCCCAGTTAAGCTGCGACAACTGCACCATGGCCCGCGATCTCGACTTCTGCCGTGACGAGACCCTGCTTCCGGAACTGGGGCCGGATGGCCGTCGGGACGCCTCATCCATGAAGCCGTGGATTTGCACGTTCTGTCAGGCCGAGTACGACCGCATTGCATTGGAGGAGCGCCTTGTGGCTGCTGTAGAAGCCATTGCCATAGAATGGACAGTTCAAGACCTCAAATGTGGGAGGTGTGGCGCCCTGCGTGTCAACGACTTTATGGACCACTGCACGTGCTCAGGCGACTGGGGCCCGACAGTGCGGCGGGAGGATATATCTCGTCTGCATATTTATCGGAACGTGGCTCGCTTCTATGGCCTGCGGATGCTAGGCGATGTTGTCCAGGAGGTTCTTGGTGGGCTATGATCAGCATGGATCCACGAGTGCTGTGTAATGGGCGTTTGTGATTTGAAAGGGTTTGCTTGGTAGTTCTAGCGTTCTGAAGAAATGTGTTTCTGGGATAACCACGTACGGAGTAGTCATGAACATCTGAGGATACTAAGAGCATGCGTAAATAAGTATGCAGAGTATTAGATCGCAAGTACTCCGTATATAGGAGAGTTTCTAACATAGTGCAAAAATTTATAAGAGCAGTCGTTCGTAGAACGATGAAAAAATCAAGGTTGCCCACACACGGGATCGAACCGTGGACCTCAGCATTACGAGTGCTGCGCTCTACCACTGAGCTATACGGGCCAATGGCCTTGCAACCGTGTAAATAATAGCGCAGTGTAGATATTATATAATGGGATGTCACATCAGAAGACTCAACAGCAAGCCGAAGGGAGACCACCAGTAATAGACAGCCACCATATTGGTGTGCTTGGCTGCAGAGCTTTCTGACCTGCGACAGTCTGTCCGTATTTTCTGTCCCTGTATTGCAGCTTGCCTTTAGATTGCAAATAGGACTTTGCTCCTCGACATGTGCCCATCTCATAAAGACGCACAACTTTCGTTTCCGAAAAAAAAGTCAGAGAAACTAAAAAATTGATCCAGGCAGGGATCGAACCTGCAATCTCTTGGTTCGTAGCCAAGCGCCTTGCCATTTGGCCACTGGACCGTTATTGCTGGAGTTTTTTCCATGAGCTCGGTTGTATTAGCCAGGCCTCACTAAGGAGTCACTTGTATCCGCTTTTCATTTTGAGTCGCACCCCTCACCAGGCATTCGGCCCTGTATACCCATTTGACTTTTTGTAGCTGCAAATAATCAAATTGCAACGTCTAGTGAGTAGGATCATAAGGGCTGGCGGATTGGTTCTAACGAAAAGGGCGTGTTAATATTAGCTGCCTAACGCTTCAGGCACTAATATAGTGTGATTACAACGCAGCAGGCGCTTTGGCGGGGTGCAAGCTACTGACTGCAGGCGGCAACGTTTTCATAATTTTTTAATAGGAGCTGTGAAATTTGGAGGCTCGCTCACGAACCCCAGCGCCGCACATATCAGCCAGACACGCATCGACACGACCGCTTTCTCAGTGCCAGCCTGCGGTCTCTGTATATTCTTAGGAAACGCCTGAGCACTTGTCTCTGCCACAGTAACGATGTCGTTCGGCGGCCAAACCCCCACGATCATTGTCCTCAAAGAGGGTGCGTGTGCTCTTCTCCCCACATTCCCATCTGGCAGCCGTTCTCCCCGGATGTCCCCTTGTGCCTCTCCCAACGTTCATGTGGCTAACCGGCTGTGCGCACACGCCTCGTAGGGACGGACACTTCGCAGGGCAAAGGTCAGATCGTGTCCAACATTAATGCGTGCCTAGCGGTGCAGGCAACGATCAGGTCCACGCTTGGTCCCTACGGCGGTGACCTGTTGATGGTTGACGCGAACGGCCGTCAGACGATTACCAACGACGGTGCAACAGTGATGAAGGTACGTGGCGGCTCACACAACTTCGGCCCCCAGATCCTGCGTGCATGTAGCGGCCGACTGATAATGAGATTATGACAGCTTCTCGATATCGTTCATCCAGCAGCACGGATTCTCGTTGACATTGCACGGTCCCAAGATGCCGAGGTGGGCGACGGAACGACGTCGGTGGTGGTGCTTGCAGGCGAGATCCTCAAGGAGGTGAAGGAGCACGTGGAGCAGGGCGTCAGCGCGCAGATCATCATCAAGGGCCTTCGGAGAGCTTGCACCATAGCTGTCAACAAGATCAAGGAAATTGCGGTCGACACGAACGAGGCAGACCACCGGGAGACTTTAAGCAAGCTCGCAGCCACGGCCATGACCAGCAAGCTGATCAAGCGGAACACAACGTTTTTCACAAAGAGTAAGGCGTTTATATTTCACCGGTTGCAGGCCTTTACTAACCTTCACAGTGGTTGTCGATGCCGTCCTAGCTCTCGATCAGGACGACCTGGATGAGAAGTTAATAGGTATCAAGAAGATCCCAGGCGGCTCGTTGACGGACTCGTTGTTTGTCGACGGCGTGGCGTTCAAGAAGACTTTTAGCTACGCCGGGTTCGAGCAGCAGCCCAAGGCCTTCACAAAGCCCAAGATCGTGTGTTTAAACGTGGAGCTCGAGCTCAAGGCCGAGAAGGACAATGCGGAAGTGCGCGTGGAGCAGGTGTCGGAGTACCAGGCAATTGTGGACGCGGAATGGCAGATCATCTACCGCAAGCTGGAGGCGGTATACAAGACCGGGGCCAAGGTGGTACTCAGCAAGCTCCCGATCGGCGACCTGGCGACTCAGTTCTTTGCGGACCGCGACGTGTTCTGCGCCGGCCGCGTGGCTCCGGACGACATGGAGCGCGTGGTGCAGGCGACGGGAGCGACGGTGCAGTCGACATGCTCGGACATCCGGGCAGAGCACCTAGGCACGTGCGGCGTGTTTGAGGAGCGCCAGATCGGCGGCGAGCGGTTCAACGTGTTCTCCGAGTGCCCACAGGCGCGTACGTGCACGCTGGTGCTGCGCGGTGGTGCTGAGCAGTTCATCGCCGAGGTGGAGCGCTCGCTGCACGACGCCATTATGATTGTCAAGCGCGCGATTCGCAACCGCAGTATCGTCGGCGGTGGTGGTGCCTGCGAGATGGAGGTGTCGGCGTATTTGCACCGCTTCGCCGACCGCGACGTGCCGCACAAGCAGCAGGCCGTGATCAAGAGCTTCGCCAAGGCGCTCGAGGTCATCCCGCGCCAGCTGTGCGACAACGCCGGCTTCGACGCCACTGACATCCTCAACACGCTGCGCGTCGAGCACCGTCGCGGCCACACCTGGGCCGGCGTCGACTTTACCAACGAGGGCGTTGCCGACATGCTGGAGCGCTTTGTCTGGGAGCCCGCCCTGGTCAAGATCAACGCCCTGCAGGCTGCCACCGAGGCCAGCTGCCTGATCCTCAGCGTCGACGAGACCATTCGCAACGAGGAGAGCGCTCAGCCCCAGGCCCCCTCACGCGGACTCCCGCCAGGTGCCGCCCAGCGTGCTCTGCGGGGCCGTGGCCGTGGCATGCCGATGCGGTAGGCGGAGACATCAGGGACTTCAGGAACTTTAGGGACTCGAAAGAGGGATATGAAGGCTTTGGGTCGGCGACATGCTGTGGGCGCACGGCGCAGACGACGGGATGTGTAGATAAATATACCTGTCGAACTGGACCGGAAAGGGCATGTGTGGTTCTCAAGGCGCAGAGGAGACAAAAAGTGAAGTATGATTGTGACCATGTGAAGCTTCCAATGGACGACATTGTCGGATCGAGAGGAAGAGCCCGTAAAGGACACGTTTGCCTGAAGAGAGACGGCATGACTGGCACGCTTATCTCAGACGGAAGGTACGAATACTACCAGGGCACACTGCAATCTTTCCATGAAACAGCAGGTGCTGTCGAGCTCTTTCCTTCAAACAGATCGCTTCTCTATTTTGGCTTTGTTAAAAACCACATATCCATGTAATCGTAACCTACACTTTTTGGTTTGGGTCCCATCTATCTACGTTGACACGTGCCGTTTTCCATGGTCCGTTATCCCGTTGCGCCGCCGAATTGCATCTCGTCCAAACGATCGTCCTCGGCCGTCCTGCGACCAATATCGTCCATGCCGCTGTCACCGACACCCATCACGCTGTCACGTGCCGCTTCTTCCGATGACAACAGCCGTCCGATGTCCATCTTAGAAATGAACCGATTGATGCCAGCTCCCATGGGGTCCGGATCGGGTTCTAGGTCCATGCCCGGGCGTAGACTGTGGGCGCTGTTATTGACGTTGCTGCTGTTGTTGTCGAGGCCGCCACCACCGTTGCCACTGCCGACATCCAGGTGGCCACTGTTGTCGCTGGTGTTGCCGTGACCAGCCCGGTGAACGTGCATCTGGCCGTGACCGTCGTCGTTGTGCATCGTTATGGCGCCCATGATGTCGTCCACAGCGAGACCGTCGGCGTCGCGGTGGCCAGCGCCGCTATCGCTGTTCATGATGTTCACGCCATTTCCAGGAATTCTAAGATCGTTGCTGTCGTGCATGCAGGCGTTGCTGTTGCTGCCAAGCTGAGCCGCAGCAATGCTAATGGCGGCATTTGTCTCGTCCTCGTCCTCATCCTGCGGCTCGAGCAACATGTCCAGGTCGCGGTCAACAGCAGCCTCTCGCTCGGCTTCGTCGTCGTCGATGCGCGGATCGTGCACCCCTTGATGGGCTAGGTGTTGCTGGTGGCCGTGCATTTGGTTGTGGTCGTGAGCATGGCCACCATGGTGCTGTCCCCCGCCGCCGCCGCCACCGCTGCCTCCCGGGCCACTACCGCCGTCACTGCTGACGATACCGTCATCGTCCGGGGCATTGAGAAGGGACGTGAAGGCATCTGTCGCAGCGTGGTGATGGTGATGCTGACTCATCTGGTGATGTGGACTGTGGACATCGGCGTCGTGGAAGGTGGAGAACGGGTCACCGTGAACGACATTGTGGACAACGGCTCCGTGGTGTTGACTGTGTGGGTTGTGGTGGCTGAGCGGCTGGTTCATCTGGTGGTGGTGAGGATTGTGCGCTTGTACCAAGCCAGGATGGGTGTGGACGGTGTGAGTGTTGTGGACGACGTGGTGTGTGGCCTGGTGATCGAGCTGTTGGTGGTGGAGCTGGAGCTGGTGATGGTGAGGGTGGCCCGGAGGAGACGGCTGGCTGATGATCTTGGGGTCGATGGGCTGAAAGGCGACAGACGCATGAGGATTAGGTAGTGGCAGCATAGCGTCGAGAACGTGACGGGAGCCATGCTGGGCCGGATGCAGGCCGCGTGGCTGGTCCTGAAGCATGGGGTTGTGGCCAGGCAGGGCGGCATGGGGCGGTATAGGAGACTCTGTCGGGGCGCGCAAGATTTGGCCGATGGACATGGCAGACACGGGTCCACGGATGCCCTTGTAGCTGTCCGGGGTGACGGCGAAGGCGGACGGCGGTGGTGGCGGCGGTTGTGGCGACGTGTGTGGGTGAGAGTGTAGGTGTGCATGTGGATGTGTGGACTCGTCGGACGGCCGGCCGTCCTGCTCCATGGGGACGGTGGAAGAGGGCACGACAGTGGCGATAGAGGAGGGAGATATGGAAGAAGACGCGGAAGTGCAAGCAGAGGCAGAAGCAGAGGAAGATGCAGTGGTAGAGGAAGTGGTGGCAGCACCGGAAGAGATGGCGGAGGAAAGCAAAGTAGGGGCGGCTGCAGGACCGGCAGACGGGACGGAGGATGAAGACATTGGGTTGGAGACCGGTGGAGCAGCTGCAGCGGCGGCCGGGATGTTCTGCGGAAGCGAGGCGGCAATCTTGGCGGGCTCCTTGCAGTGGGTGCAGTTGCGGATGACGTCGGAGACGGTGTCCTTGATGCGGGTCCAGTGGTAGCGTTCGGCAATGGTGGCAGTGGTCTTGTTGATGCCGGCATGCTGCTGCAGGTGAATCTCGCGGGCGATGGCGAACTGGCGGTCCGGGTTGGAGACAACCTCCTTGTCCTTGAGCATGAGGACGTCGCCGTCGAGCAGCTTGTAGGTGGTGGCGGCACTACGGAGTCTGCTTTTCTCGGCGCGGTCAGCCCCGTTGGGATATTCGCCGTATTTGAGGTAGTACTTGATCTTGTCGAAACGGTCATCACTCACAAGATCGTCGGCGTCGGCGCCCTGCACCAGGTCCCGGCCGTAGATGATGGCGTCGACCAGGCGGCCCGGGTAGCTCTTGAGGTTGCCGCAGCCCTTGACGCGGCCAATGCGCTTGAAGCCAAGGCCGTCCCAGATCTTGCACGATGCCACGTTGGTCTCGTAGACCAGGTTGAAGACCGAGTAGGTGTAGCCCAGCTTAGGGGCCCATTCCAAGTACGACTCGCCCATCAGCCGGCCTACACCACGGTTGCGCGACGCATCGGTGACGAGGAAGCCGGCATTGCACACATGGCTGCTGCGGCCGGGATAATTGGGCTTGATGTAGAAGCTGCCCAGACACTCCTTGCTCCAGTCGCGGCCCTCCACCACGTCCTCGGACCGATCAATGTGGCCGAGCAGCATGATGGCGCCGAAGTTCTGGAACCAGTAGCTGGCAAACTTCTCAAATGGCATGGGGTCGATCATCGGGTACGTATCGCCGCCCTCGATCTCCTTGCGAAACTGGTCGCTGAGGTAGAGCAGTAGCGACGGCGGCACCTGCGTGCGCGAGGCAAACGGCACGACCGTGGCCACCGTCTGGCGGTCACGCAGCGTGACGTGACGGGGCACCACATTAGCCGGGAGCAAAGGGTTCTGCGGGTCGGGGTATGGCGGAGCCCCCGAAACGCGGTAGATTGTAGCCGCGTCGGGGTCGTCCATAATGGCAGGCATGGTGGAGGGGTAGCGTGTGCAAGCCCGCAGTTAGGGCGGCCACCTTACTCCCGCGCGTCTTCTACCAGAGTCAGCCGAGGTTCTGAAAGCAGGACGCTCTTCGCAATGCCAAGACACGGGACAGAGAAGAACACTGGAAGCCAGCAGTCAGTGCGGCGGTGAGAAACGCACCTCTCGGGGAAGCACAGCAGTTGGAGGGACGCTCGACAGACGAGCGCGAGCAACGATGTGCGCTGGAGCTAGGCGGAAGCTGGGCTGACGGGAGGTGAGGTGGGATGAGAATGAGGCAGAAAGAGAATGAAGCAAAATAGAAGAAGCCTCTAGATCTAATCGAAATCCAGGGCACAGATCGGCCAGCCTAGGGAAGCAGCGAAGAGCAAAGAGCGAAAACGGCAAGAAGTAGTCTGAGGTCCAAAAAAGCCGCGCCGCTGATTCGACAGGCTCGTGTTCAGGCAGCCAGGCAACAGAGGCTAAGCAAATAACGGTTGGGAGTGAAAGGGCCGAGCCAAGGGCGCAAGAGGCGTTGCTCCGAACGAAAAGACAGAAAAGCGTTGGGGATGGTAGGCTTTTCCTGTCGATTTCTTGTCGAGAATCCGAGATTGTTCGAGAGGAGGGGCTGCAGAGAGAGTCCGGTAATACTCCGTATGTAAGAGAGAATTACAGCACAACTCCAGGGCAGAGGGCGCAATTCGGAGCGAACGGTCTGTGGGTCCAAGCCGCGGGGCCTGTAAGAGAGCGCTGTAGCATAGACGACCCCACTAACCGGCTGACATGGCACACGGCTGATTGACACTCGATGCTAATAGTACGATGTAGGATGTGGAGCCAACGGGCCAGATAGCATTTTGCTTTTGATTTTATACATGTACACGTCAGACTGTTCTCTAGAACAGCCGGCCGGCCTGCAGCAGCCAGTTGCGGCGGCGCAGGCCACCGATGCCGGCGACCTGACCGTCCTCGTCGTCCTCGGTGGGTGCGCGGCCCATGAGCTTGGCCAGGTCAGGCGGGATGGTCCAGGCGACGACGCCGTCGGCAGCATCGCGCAGGCGGCGCTTCTTGCCCATCTCGCCAGCACGACCGAGCACGCCAGCGATGACGCCGACGGAGCGCAGGCTGTCGTCGTTGGCCGGAATGGCGTAAGTGACGCGGGCCGGGTCGGCGTCGGTGTCGATGACGCCAATGGTGGGAACGGTAGCCATGGCGCACTCGTGCAGCAGCACATGGTTCTCGAGTGGGTTCAGCACGACGACCAGGTCCGGCACCAGCGGCCGCAGATCCGACACCAGTCCGTCGCCGCCGTCCGTCTCGACATCATTCTCGTCCACGATGCGCAGCGCTGCCTTGCGCAGGATCTGGTCGCGGTTCGTGATCGTGCCGGCCGTCCACTTGGTGAACAAGTGGCAGCCATCAGCCAGCTCGGCCGCCCGTACTACAATGTCCATCTGTCCGCGTCGTGTGCCCACAAAGAGGATCAGCCCGGCCCGGTACGCCACCTCCTCCACTACCCGCGCCGCCCGTCGCAGATGCGCTGCCGTCTGCTCTAATGCAATCACGTGCACTCCACTGCGCACGCCCAAAACGTAGCGCGCGTTGGCCGGGTTCCAGAGCGACGTATGGTGTCCCATGTGCGTCTGCGACGCCATCAGCAGCTCCAGCGTCACGTCCCGCGGTGCTGGCGGGTCCCGCAGCAGGTCGCCCGGCACATATCGTCTCTCTACTGCCGAGCCCAGCCGCAGCGTCTTGCGCTGCAGCCGCGTCATCGCGATGTAGTCCTGCGCAATCGTGTCCGGCTGACCGGCTCCCCGTCGCCGCTGGCCCCATGCCGCCCGTCCGGCCACCGGTGCTGCCACTGGCACCGCACCCTGGGCCGCCTCTTGTGCTCGTGGCTCTCCGGCGGATATCCCAGTCGCCATCTTCTCAGCCGTCGTCGTCGTCGTCGTTGTCCCGGTCGACAGCAGCGCCCGCTGGCACAACGGGTGCAGGACAAAAGGTGCCGGTCGGCCGACTGACTCACAACACGCCCGGTCAGCAAACAGCTTCATAGAACGTCCATCGAAAGACAGACTGCTTACCCCTCCGTGCAACACTCCGGATTATCATGGTGGCAGGTGCATCAACCATCATCGGTACGGATGGCCGGTTGTGCGTGGACAATGTCAGGCGTAGTCGAAAATTGAAGCTTGCGCTGTTTTTTTCGGCGCTACGTTAATCCCCACCGGCCAATTCCGACGTCCGATTGGCTGCTTACTTCACTACGAGCGTTCTAGACGATCCCCGAAAGCCTTTTTAACTAATAATAACAGGAATCTGCATTGGGGATGATCTGCTTTCGTTCTCGCCTTCGCCTCTCTGTAATACACGTCTTTAAAAAATGCGTTCTCGCTCAGAATAGCCGCCCCTGAACAAACCCTCGCGCCCTTTCTCCCATCATCTGGTCAACCGCGAAATGGTAAAAACGCCCAGGATGACAACAGCCAACGACACGATGGCGCCCGGCAGCAGCAGATCATTCGGCACGCCGGCAATCAGCTGCTCCTCTGCGCCATAAGCACCGCCCGGGCCGCCCAATTGTGAATGGCCGCCACGGTGATGCCGCCGTTTGTTGTGGTGGCTACGGTCGTCCTCCTCCTCTGAGTCAGATGTGTCTATCGTGCTGCGCCCGCCGCGCCGACGCTCTCGAATACTGCTCGGAGCCGGCTCCAACGTGATGACCGGTGTTGAGGCCATTGGCGGCTTTTCTGGGTCGTGTACAAAGAGGTCGACCTTCTCTTGGTGGCTTTGGCGTGCCAGCAAGATGGCTTCTAGCAGGTCCTGGTCGGCCGTGATGGAAACGCTGTCGCCCTCGTCGTCGAGATAGCTGATGGCAAATCCGGACCCCAGAATCTTGCCGTCCTCCACATCGGGCTTGCCGCCGATAGAAAGCACCTCCGCGAGACCAAGCTTGGCAGCCAAATTGTCCACAAAGACTGCAACACCATGCGTGGCCGTCACCTGCAGACGGTGCACGCGGCCGCTCGGAGTCTTGAACTTGAACGGGAAAGGCGTCTCGCTGGGCGGCAGCTCCGGCGTGGGAGGAGCAAGAAACGACCGCGTCGGCGACTCGATGCCGACATGGGAGGCAGAATCTCCCGGCGCCACGCTGTCGACACGCTGGTGGCGGTTCAGCTCAGGCGACATCATGCGCGAGCCGAGGTTCGTGTTGTGGGTGTGGTGGTGGCTGCCATCGCCCGAGACCATGGACTCAGTTTCGTGGTCGAGCGAGAGCCAGAACTTGTTCCAGGCCGGGCCCTCGGAGTCGCCGCTGGCCATTGTGTTGATCTGTTCGAGTGTGGCGTACGTCAGCTTGAGCACGTCGACCATGCCGACAATTTCTCCGCCGTCGTTCATGACCGGCAGATTCAGGTAGTGGCCATCTGGAGAGGAATCGGTCAGCGGACGTCATGATGCAGGGGAGGGCAAGAGGGAAGAGGAAGCAAGTGACCACACACCATGCATCTTGCGCAGCGCAGCCTGGATGCTCATGTCCATGGGAGCAAAGTCGGGGTGTGGCGTCATGACGCGCACGACACTGCAGTTGGCCGGGTCGAGACCCGGGGCGATGACGCGAAGGACGACGTCCTTGCTGGTGAAGATGCCGGTAATGGCGCCCTGGTCCTGGACCAGCACGGCGGTCGTGTGATTCTCCTTCATCAGCTGGGCGGCCTCCTTGACCGACGTGCGGACGCTGACGGTGGTGGGTGGCAGGCCGTTAAGCACCGTCTCCAGCGTGGGGCCCGACATCTTGGACCGCAGCGCCTCAACGTACTGGATGACCTGCTGGGGCTGGCTCGTGCCCAGCTCGGACTGCACACCCTCGAGAGCGTCGTACAGCTTGCGCGACGATGAGTAGGCGCGCTCGAGCTTCTCCATCGCGTCGTAGAAGCACTTGGTGATGTCGAGAATGCCCGAGATGTCCTGGTTCTCGTCCATGACCGGAAGATGGCGGAAGCCCTTGCGCACCATCAGGTCGAGCGCGTCCGTGGCGCTGGTGTCCGTACGCGCGCACAGCGGGTTCTTGGTCATGATTTCGGCGATGGTCACCGAGTTCGCCTTGGTGCCTGCGCCCACGACGCGATAGGCCAGGTCCTTGGCCGTGAAGATGCCAGCAATGCGGTCGTCATCATCCGTCACCAGCACGCAGTCCTCGCGCTTGGCTGCCATCAGCTGCGCCGCCTCGGCCACCGTCGTGTTCGGCTTGATCTGCAGAGCCGGGCTGGGCTTGAGCGCGAGAACGGTGCCGGGCGGTGCCTTGCGGGAGCGACCGGCACGGCCTTGCGGATTCTTGTTCTTCTTGTTCAGGTCGCTCTCGAGTTTGCGACGAATAGCCTGGGCGCAGAGTCAGCAGGGGTATACAAGGAGCGCGCTCTCTCTCTCTTTCTTTCTCCTTTCTCTCCCACAACACACCTCGTCGCGCTTTGACTGCTTCTGCCGGCTGGCGCTGATTGAGGGGCCTCCAACATCACTGGCCGGTCCAGGATGGCTGCCGCCGTGCGGCGGCTCAAGAACGGGTCGTGGGATGCTGGACGTGGGAGCCGGACTGTTGCTGCCGCCATTGTTGAAGGGGATGGCCCCACGGGCCTGGCCACGGCTCGGCGTGTTTCGTACGGTGTTGCCGGACATGGTGATGTGTGGATGGGATGCCGTCCAGACACGAGAGTTGCAGAGTCGCAGTTATGTCTCAGGTGTCCCCCTGTCGATATGGCTGGCGGATATAGAGCCGAGGCAAGCACGTCGAACGAGAGTCCTCCGGAACAAGAGGGGGGGAGGGGACAGAGGATCGTGGATCGTCCGATGTTATGCGGACAGGCGGTCCAATGAGGAGCAGACAATTAGGACAGGCCTAGAAACAAAGCCAAGGAGAATGGGCTGCTTCTGCCCTAGGTCGTGAAAGGTAGCCGCACGAGTATCTTACGAGTATTTCCCTCGAATTGGTGTGGTGCGTTGTGTGCACGAAACGGAAAAAAGGGTGTGGAACTTTTCGGGCGCTCTTGTTGTCTTGGAGATGCACGGGCCAATATTACGGACTGCTCAGAAACGGCGAGCGGATAACAGCAGCGAAATGAGCCCAGGCGTCCTTGTGACGGGAAAATTGATTATTAGATAGTGCTAGCCCATACGACCATTCCAGCGGGATTGAGCGCACTTTGGCCGCTAGCGCGGGGTCGTCCCCCACTAGAAATGCTGTGCCTGCCTGCCTGCGACTGCGACCAATAATGGCGGTATGCAACTATAGTAATATCCGCAATATCGTGCATATGCCACTACACTGCATGAACGCCTACAGCAATAACAGCCCCAGATACGGGGCAACGTGGACGATCCGCATCTTGGGCTGCTGTACTCCGTGCGAGTACGATACATATCGTAAAAGTATGCATACGACAGCGAGAAACTGTGCTCATATAAATGAATGACAAGCGACAGGCGCTGTCGCAGTGTCCTGGCCGACGAGAGGCTTACGACGTCTAGTGACATGGCATTCGAGACACGTCCACTTGTGCTATGCTCGTATTAGCCTCCGCGGGCGGCTGGCATGTGGCAATCGGGGCTGTCGTCGTCGTTGTCGTTTCTTGACTCGTGCATCTCGCCCGGCAAGCCACCGCTTTTCCATTCCTGTCTCTTGACAGGACCGAGCGTGGCCCGTCCAGACCGTGCAGCGATGCAGAAACCGTCGTCAGAGCAGTGCGACAGCGAGGCAAATAGCCTGTCGCTCTATGGGATGCCGACAGCAAGTTCATCTCTTGGACTCGAGAACAGGGCGCGACTGTTTACTTCTCATCGCACCTGTTTTAGCGCCGTGATCCATCGTAGTCCTGGAAACAGACGCAACAACAACATCACAGCTGTGATTGATAAACACAATATCCGTTCAAGCTATCAATATTCGGTCTCACTTGTCGATATATGAGAGGAAAAGCCCCTGGAAGAAAGAAAAGACTTGTGCCAAATGAAATCCACAGCGTGCGCAGCCTTGTCGTCTATGGTGGAACCGGCTGGCGGAATAAGAGGCAGGCGAGGGCCACTTCGTAGTGCGTCAGAATACATGGCCGTGCAAAGTTCCGCCCGCAAGGCAAGCTAATGACATAAGAAAACGTAAGATGCTCTGCGAGTAGATCATGTTCCAGATTCAGCTCCGCATACTTGCGCAAAAGGGCAAAGTGGACTACTAAATAGTAGCGCAGGACGCTCAAATGAACACGTCAAGACGGAAGGAAGGGACGAAACAAGTAAGTTGGCCGACATCTTGTTTTATTTTGCGACTTTTTGTCTAGCAACCGTGATTGCCTCACTCATTCGGGCTTCTAGCAGCATTGTGTCGCCCGTACATAGCAGGTGGTCTTCACGGCTTCATCTTCCTACATACGTTGACAATCGTTATGCCGCGTACGAGTATGCCGATCGCAAAAGAAAATACTGGCGTCGCAATGGAAGAGAGATCTTGCCAGGGGACTCGTAAGGTGCAGCGTCTACAGAGTAAGTAGCACAGCTCTTCGCAAGTCCCGTCTCTTGCTTGGACAGTATTACAAGTACATCTGGTCCACCTTCGGGCGCTAATACGGGGATGTGCAGTGGCCGAAAACCCCTGTCTGGGCCTGAAAGGGAGGAACACCAGAAAGCTTGGACCAATCTTAGCTTCTCATCCCTACACGCAAGTCCGCCATTTCGGTTGCGATGGGCGGGCGTCACTCCTCAAACACGATGTATAAACTGTCGTTGCTGGGCAACAGACGTCAACAGCACCACTGCACCTTCCCCCGGCATCTTAACTCCATCGTCACAAGCGTTTTATTCTATCTTACATCAGGCGGTAACCATAACAGCATTCCATTAAACTCCATACCTCTCTCATCCTGCACTTCCTCTTGCAATCTCACAACTTCCTCTCTCTCTCAGAATCACAAACCTCTCATCTGCAAGAAACTTTCTTTGTTATTTCGCTCTCGTTTATCACAAACACGAGGGGAGAAGCAAAGCAAGCCCAAAAGCTAGCCGGCTTCCGAAAGCTTCTCAAGAACTTCACAAGAGCTTCCATAAAATCCCCAATACCATTCTCGAGTCAATTCCGAAATCCCTGTCTGTATCTACTAGGTAGAGCAGCAGGAGCCTACTTTCCTCTTACCCACCAACCATCTTGCATAACCTCTCCCCAAATTGCGCATATTGACAACAGTCCAAAGCGACTGAGCACAACCGCGGGATCTCGCCCTTTGCCCGGCCATTCTGGCTTGCCCACTGCGTGAGGTAAGTGCAGGCATCAAGATGCAGGCCCGCAAGAAGCCCACAACTAACATGACCCCAGTCTCGGAACCTATATATCGACAAGTCCGCTTAATTGCGACCACTTTCGACATCGACAATAACAAAAAAGATCGACATACTGACAACAACAACGACTACGACAACAGTATCGACAACGATTCAGCCGACCTTTTAAAATTCCGAACTCTACTTCTCGTACCAAAAAGATAATTCACACGACTAACAATGCTGTCCAACCCACCATCCACCAACTCCAGCACAGGTGCTCTTCAGGCACGCAAAAGGCTACACCGGAGACAACAGTCGACGCCGGTAGCCTTTGAAGCCATGAAGATGTCCAACAACCTGCCCAACACTGCTAGTGTTGCCATCGTCATGCAGCAGCAACAGCAGCAACAGTTTCAGTCCGCACAGATGCAACAAGCACCGATACCTCGGCAACAGCCCGCTCGCCAGTTGGGTCACCGCAGAGGACAGAGCCTGGACACAAGGCGTCAGCAGCTGCAACAGAACGTACAACGCCAGCAGCAGATGGAACACCACATACAGCGGCACCAGCTCTTCACGATGACAACGGCGGCAGACGATAGCAGCAGCAACAGCAGCAACAGCAACAGCAACAGCAACAACTTCCGGCAGGAATTCAGTAACAGCACAGTAAGTAACAACGCCACTAACCAAGGATTATCAACAACAGCACAACAACAACAACAACACGATATGCGAGAAACGCAGCGGCAACGCACAGTACGCCCGGGCCCTACGCGCCAGCCCTATGTCAAGCAGTCCCGAGAGGAGGCCTTCCTCCTCTCGCCCCAGGGGACACCAGTAATGATCCCGTCAAACTCCCAGCAGTTTGGCGGCCAGGGGACTGCAAGGAGGCAGCAGCAACAGCAGCAGGACTGCACAGCTGCTCAACTCGAATACGCCAACGGGCACACTGCCGTGATGATGAGGCGAGCCCTCTCCAGCGACGGCATGCCCATTGGACAGCCCGGCTTTGAGCTCTACAGCAGTCCCGATACAGACGGCGGCTTTCCGTCGAACACGTTCATGTCCTTCCAGGACACGGCCAGCTCGGCTCCCATGGGTGTCGCCGCTTCGCCCCAAGGTTGGGTGTCCGAGGACGACACGTCCAGCACTCGGCGCGGGTCGCGGAGAATCAGCAACACCATCATGGACCGCGTCGTCAAGTTCGAGTCCCTGGCCGTGGACGGGATGGGCAGACCTACCACGCCCCCGCACCAGCATGAAACCAGTGAGTCGGCGGTGTAGATTGTCCTGAAGGCCAGGGGTAGAAAATTAGAGGCTGACCGCACAGAATATTTCCCCCCAACACCGACGGAAACTTCACAGGAGAGCATGTCACAGCAAGTCGATGGCGCCCGGATGGCACGATTCTCGGACGACTATGATGAGTCGATGGAGGAGACAATCAAGCCGGTCCGCAACCACGGAAACCGGGCCAACCGGTCGTCGGGTGTTTTTGACGACATGCGCCACCAGGCCGAGGCTATGGCAAATCCCACCCATCCCAACATGATGCAGATGCCCTTGACCCCGGCAGACTTCATGAACATGAGCAACGTCAACGCGGAGTTTATGAAGATCCAGACAGGAAACTATGCCGTCATTCCAGTGCCTTCCGACATGCAGCACTTGTCGCCGCCACTTTCGCAGCAGCCGACTCCGGCATCCATCCAGGGCGTTTTTGATGGCAACACGATCGGCTCGGGCATCGTCAGCCAGGGTGCTTTTGGCAACAAGACAGACATGTGGCCGACTGACTTCGACTCTAACCTGACTATGCAGTCGTTTGCGACAGGCCTTTCGGCGGAGGAACAGGCGACAATGTGCCGGCGGCCAGCCCATCGACGCAACGAGTCGATGGCCAGCATCGTCAGCGCCGCCAGCATTGCGAGCATTAACATTGACGAGACCAGAACCGAGACCGGCGTGACACTGGACGACATTGCCACGTACATTGATGGGCCCAACCCGGTCGATGGCAAGTGGCGGTGTCTCTACGACAACTGCAACAAGCGTTTTGGCCGCAAGGAGAACATCAAGTCGCACGTCCAGACGCATCTGAACGACCGCCAGTACCAATGTCCACACTGCCAGAAGTGCTTTGTCCGCCAGCACGACCTGAAGCGTCATGCCAAAATCCACACCGGCGTCAAGCCGTACCCTTGCGAGTGCGGGAACAACTTTGCGCGTCATGACGCGCTGACCCGCCATCGCCAGCGCGGCATGTGCATCGGCGCCTTTGACGGAGCCGTTCGCAAGATTGGCAAGCGTGGCCGTCCGCGCAAGACACGGCCGAGCGTCGACGAGCGCCGTGACAAGTCTTCTCGCACGCGGTCGAAGCACAAGTCGGCCTCGGACTCTAGCGGGGGAATGCTGTCATCGTCTCCGGAGATGTCATCACACTCTGGCTATTCAGACAGCTCAGCCGTCAACTCTCCACGGACCGACGATTCGGACAATGCATTCGACGATGAACCTTTCGAGGGCATGGTTGATGACGCTATGCTGGACATTGGCTTCGGCCTGACCACCACGACCCCGCATAGAACCAACAGCGGCACGATGAACCCGAACGCTTTGACGGTCTCGTCAGCCCCGATGCCGGGTGCAGGCATCTCTGCTGAGGAAATGGTGAACCTGATGCCTGTTGTGTCGCCGTCTGAGCATGCTGCCGCCCTCGCGGCCTCGCCGTCAGCAATGAGCCACTACTCGCACATGTCCCACGCGTCGATGAACAGTGGCGAGCCCAGACCGAAGGAGCGGGACGGCGAAGACCGCCTGCTTCCCACCAGTCACCCTGCATCCCCCGCCAAGAGCATAGCCAGCCACTACACACAGCATCCCAACACACCCCCAGAGCTGTCAGCGTCGAGCTCACCGCCGCATTCTTCCACACACTACTTTGAATTGGACCCCAACTCGAGCTGTGCGGAGGAAGATTCGATTGGCTTGAGTGCTCCACTGACGGCGGGAGGATGTGGCCCGCTGGGCATGGATATGGGCGGCTTCACAGCCGGCCCTCTGGATGATGACGTGATGCTGATGAAGGCCTACACAGCGGACGATGTGCTGGTGCAGCTCGACAACTCGGGGCTCAGCATGCTGAACACCAGCAAGTTTGACGACGAGTACGGCATGTTCACCAACAACGATGACGTCTTCTTCGGGAGCAGCTGAGCGGCCTGCTATTATCGCGCTCTTGTACCATCAGTAAACGGTTGATGAGCTTTACGAGGACCAGATTTGGGTATTATGTTTCTTGCCACATTGCGAGCTGCGGCTCTGCGCTTTCTTGGCTTTGATGCTGATCTGCAAGGAACCTCTGTAAGATACAATAGGGGGCTAGAACAAATGGTTTTCTTTTTTCTGTTTTCGGGTGGTTTATATTTCTTGGGCGGGACATATTTGGGTATTCCGAAGTCAGGTGGGACCGGATCTGGAGTCAGTCAGGACATCGGGAAACTAGGATTAAAGGAAGGAAGACGGCAGAAGGTGGCAGACGGTGGCATAAGGCTATGCAGGCTGAGCACTGGGATGAGAGCTCGCAGGGCCCTCGTCCCTACTAATTTTGCTCCTTCGAGTGAAGGATGGCTGGCTCTGATACTCCACCTCTAGCTTCCTTTCTGAGGCGGTTGCTGTTTTCAGTGTTTTCGGAATACCTGCCTGCTCTCGCCAGTTTCCATAGTGACAATTGAGCAACAATGGGGCGAAGATATGATTGGCAGCCCGTACGAGTAGAACAGCTGGGCGCTCGTGGAACACAGCGTTCACATGACCCGTCACCTGACCTTGATGTCATCCATCCCTTTGGTTCATTCCTTAACAACGGCACTCTTCGAGCAAAGCCCCAATTGAATCGAATTTGGCTAAGGTGCCCGACCCTAGGATACAGCCTGACCGGCTAATGCCCCTCATCAACGTCACCAGTCACAATAGCACTCAGGCACGCCTTCGATTTCATCTCCATTTTCTTCTTTACCTGCTCGTCCCGATTTTGTCACACACCAATATTCCCAGGAACGGTTGAAGAGGAGCATGTCTTTATCATGACCATGTGACCGTCACGTCTTCCTTGACGACAAGGAACAAGATCGAGCCAGTCTAATCAACTTGTCGGAACGAAAACCACCAACGGCCCCTCGTATCTGTCAATTTCGTTGACGTCGAGATGAATGCAAACTCGCCCTCCCCGCTGCCTATGCAGACGTTGCCCAATGTCGGGACTCCCAAGCGAAAGCGGGACGAGCGCTTCACCGAGTATCAGGGCAACGGCAACGGCAACAACAGCAGCAGCAACATTGCCATTTTCTTCCCTCGGCCCATCAGCATGCCCACCACGCCCTCTGCCGAAACACTGCAGCTGGACACCAGGTCCATACACGAGCTACCGTCACCATATGCCGAGCCATTGTCCAGCATGCTAGCAAGGGATGGAAGCAGCAGTCCCCGCAGCCGTGTTGCTCACCGCTTCCGCAATCTAGCCATTGGCGGAAGCAGCGGTGACGAGAAGGAGCCCTCAGCCTCAGCAGCCGACAGCTCGCCCACGAAGCGCAAGCGGATCCGGCTGCTAGGAGAGGAGCCAGGATGGGGAGGGCTTGGTGGCAGTGGCGACAACGACTCGTCCAGGAGTCCTGGGCGCCGAGCCCGGCCATTCTCGCCCTCTCCATCTCCGTCGCGCCTAGTCGTCGACGCCCTTCGAGCCTCGCTCACGTGGCAGGAAGATGAGATCACCGTGTACGATCCGGACGATGCTGATGACGACGGCACCGGTGTCAACGGCATCGGCTTCCGGCCGACCCCAGCCATTGCCCGTGCCCGTGCCGTAAAGCGCCGCCAGCAGCTGGCCGACTACCGCAAACGCGAGGAGCGCGAAGCACGTGCCCGTCGCAGTCTGCTGCGCCGCTCCCGAGCAGCTGCGGCAGAGGAAGAAGCCGTGCGCGTGACCGAGGCATTAGCCCTCGCTGCAGCGACAGCAGACGCCAGTGCTGCACCAACATCACAACCGCAATCGCTACCACTACCACGACCAATCGCTGCACACGATGCGGCCACGCCACCATCACCGACCTCCATCCCAACCGCCCCGACATCATCCAGACGTGTGCGGTTCCTAGACCCCGGGCCCACGGCCATCCACTTCCTGGAGCCGGAGCCAACTGCCGTCCTGAGCTCCTGAGCTCCTGGGCTGGGCTTTCCTTGTTTGTGTGCTTTGCATGTGCTCTGCGGCGTTTTACGAATTGTATGAGGGTCTCTGTGTTTGAGGGGAGAAGTAGAGGAAGGGACAGGCGATAACGCTTACTGTCACTGCGGCGAAGTCATATTACGATGCTGTTTTCTTCGAGTTGTTTCTTTTACTTGCCACTATGCGGATATCGTCACGCCTGTAGCTTTATTGTTTTTATTCAAATAAAATACCCCTAATGCCAACTCAACCCCATCTTTGACCGAACAGCTTTACCAACCCTGGCTAACCGATCAGGTTTGACCTGTCACCATAAGAGGCAAGCACGGGCGACGCCATCGCCACTTCCTTATAAGGCAGCTTAGCTATGCAGATGATCTACACCCGCAAATGGTCTCTTTTCTCTTGACTGCATACCCCTTCTTCAGCTCTCTCATCTTCCTGGTACCCTACCTCACTGTTTATCTACGCATTCCCTAATCAGATATCTCCTGTTCGACCTACCTACAAATCGCCGACCGGGCGCGAGCCTATGTAACAACACAAATCTCTTAACTTGTCTCACTCCTATACATATGTCCTTCACTCCGCCGTGGAGGTGCATGGGGGCAAACGATATCGACGGTTATCAGGAACAGCCCATGTCTGTCGCGGCCTTTGCAGCGTCACTGGCGCAGCTTAATCTGCACCTGGTAGAAGCAGATGGCGAAGATACAGTACAAGCCTGGGTGAAATGCCTGTACGACGAACCGGCGAGAGCCGAAGCTACTCCGAAAGTCGCTGCGTAGGAAGCACCAGGCCGTAACGGGGATGGCATTCAAGGAGCTGACGAGGCAGAGAATCTGCATCGCTCTACCGGTGCCGCCATAGGCAAGCAGGAGGCTGGCGATAACTCCGGACTGACCACCATCTGCAGCCGGCCGAGAGGTCTGTATACACACGGGAACGAAGACTGGGCGGTGCCGAAGGACGAGATGGAGAAAGGCAGCAGAGGAGAGACGGGTGGCTGCGACGGTGTCCCGTTTGCCCAGCTGCCGTGTCTGACGGACAACCATGTCCTTGGTGGATGCCGTCGATCTCTCCCTGCTGAGATCATCCCCCTCGACCTCGACCGTCCCCTCCAGGACAGCACAGCCGACTGCTCCTGTCCCCGGCACAGAAAGATCAGCAGGCTGCACGTTGCGATCCAGGAATATCTGAGGATGCCTGCACACCGGTGGCCGGGGCGCTGGCGCGGACGCCGTTACAAGGAACGCACATGGATGAGCTCGCTTGACGGCCCGGTAGAGTGGCCCACAGACTCCGACCGACAGTTCGCTCTCTGCAATAGTCAGTGGCGCAGACATGGGCCGCGACTTGCAGCCGGCAGCATCTGACGGACTCGCACTCTATATTGACTAGACCAATCGCCTCTCTCGCCGATTGGACATGCTTATTTTCTCTAAAAAAAAAATGGCAGATCTCTACTCTGCACATCTAAAGTATGTTTCACGCTACATTTCATTTATACAAGGCCGTGCCGTACACGTCTTCGTCTCATCGTGTCGTAGCAAATGCTCGTGTCCCGATAACTCGTCTCACAGCTCCATGGCACGGCCGCCACTGCTTCCCAGGACAGGGTGTAAAATAAAGGCCTAAACACAAACACGCTTGAAATAGCTGATCGGGGCAAACTCAAGGCCAGGTGATCTAAGCCATACATCGTTCCAATCTCCTTGCTACTTCGAGAACTGCCCTCTCAAGGCATCAACCTCTCTTTGCAGAGCGCTCAGATCGGCCAAGATGGCGCTGGCTGACGGGTTGTTGTAACTGCTCTCGTTGCTCCCTTTTCGTGGCGTCACTGTCCCATCTGTTGCATTAAGCGGGCCATCGGTACTTCCCCGGCTGCTACCTCGCGCCCGCGGTGGCGGTGGTGGTGGATGTTGATGCAGATGTGCCTGCACGCGATGCGACAAGGCATCTACACCAAGGACGCTCGATGGACGCCCACTGGTGCCGCTGGCCAAATCGCCCACCTGTCCTGTCTTGCTCTCCTTCTTTCGAACAGAAATGCTTCGTGCCGGCGGTGGTGGTGGCTTGGCTAGTTTTGCCGGTGTAGCGCTCCCAGATATCACACTTCCGACCAGCCCGGACACAGTGACAGCATCTCTGCGCACCACTTCAGCCCCGGGACTTGTACTTTCAAGAAAATGGGTGCCCAGCGTGGTCGGCGTGACTGGCTGGACCTGTCCTGAAACATTCACATTATTCCAGGCAAAAGAACTGCGGTTGCCATCCACCACGATGGACGGACTGGACGCTGCTGACGGCATGGAAGGAAACGATTGAACCGTAGGGGAGATATACGACGTTGGCAGCCGCGCTGCATGATGAGGTCGTCGTGGAGGTGGTGGCGCAGGCGCGTTGATGGTGACTCTGAGGCTGGAGGATATTGACCGTGTAGATTCAAACGAGGACCGCCGTGAAGCCTCGGGGGACCGGTCCTGTGCACTCTCTGCCCACGACGGCAATGACTGCGCAGAGGGAACCCGATCCTGGATGCTTGATCTGCTGTCGGACCTGGCATGAGCCATCTGCCGCCGAGGTGGAGGGGTAGGCTTTTTCGTCTGTGTCGGAGCCGGTAGTGCTAGTGGTGGTGAAGAGGCAAGCAACTCAGCTGCCGGTTTCGAAGGTGGGGGGGAGATTGAGAGCGTAATGGCGTGCGAGGCGTTTGGGGGCGTCGGTGGGTGCGGGTGAGAAACGGCGTCATCAAGAGCATCCAGGTTGATGTCGACTTCTGGTATCCTCCCTGCGATTTCGCGGTCAAAGAGGCTTTCAGCTTTCTCGCCTGTGCTTCGGAGTATGGGTGGCACCGGTAGAGGCTTGTTCATATCGGAGGACGAGGAAGATGGCCGGATGCTGCCGCCACTGGTTCGGCGGTGGGGTGATGTCATTGCTGCCGCTACCTCATCGGCTGCTTCCTTCACATTGTGCGTGGAGCTGATCAGCTTCCCATGACGGGAGCTCGGTGGTGGCGGCTTCTTGCGCGGAGTCTGTCTCTGTGATGGGGTGGTATGCGGTCCCTGAACAAACCTGCTTCGGTCATCTTCTGCTCCGGAGATCTCGTGGGATGACCTCGGAGAATCCCAGGGTATATGCGCCGTGTCGAAAGTCGAATGTTTCGAGGTCGAAGAGGCGTCGGTGAAGCTCCCCAAATCGGTTCCGGCTGCTCCTACTCCCGTCCCGCTACCATCTGCTTGGCCTGTCATCAGCAGCCTTCTGAATGCGTCGACGTTCAGGGGCGCTTTCCCAACAGTTGGGGCAGTTGCAGGCGCAATTGAGGCTGGAACGGGAGACTCCCCACCTTCGTCCTTCTTATCCGGCTGCGTGGCTCCAAGTGTCTTGTGGAAGGGGTTGTGAGTCGGCACCGGCTGTGTCGATGGTACTGTAGGTAAATCTCGGCCAGACTGGGGCGCCCGGTCGTCATCCGTGTCTTCGGAGCCGCTGCTGTATTCGTCGTAGCCAGGAGTATCTGCAAAGTGCACAGCGTACTTAGCCGTACCGCTGACGCTGGCTGTTGCCGTGTCTGCAGCCCCATAAGCGGGAAAGCGAGCTTCAAAGTCGGCATCGACGGATTCTGGTGACGAGGGAGGCGACTGCACTCGCACCTTCTTCACCGGCTTGGGATTCAGAAAGGTGGTAGACGGCGGAGCCTCGGTGGATTTGGGGAGTGCCCGGAGCTGATCTCGAAACTCATCGCCGGTTGGATGCTGGAGACTCTGCAGGTGTTGCTCGAACAAGAAGGCTGCGGCAGAGCTACCGGAGCTTCCGGCAGCTTTGGCACCGCTGAAATGCGGCAGGTCTGGCCCAGCAGAAGGAGGGAGACTGTTTCCCGATGGCAATGCGACAGCAGCAGAGGGTGTCGCAGATCTTCGGCGGAACGGATTGTTGGACGTAATTGAGGTTTCCGCCATGGCTGTTGTGGTGCGTGGAGAGACAGGAAGCGCGCGTTGCTTTCTGGGCGGCCAGGCTCTGTATCAGAGGTGCTTTGCGGGGTACAGCCGTTGGACGCTGGGGAATTTGTCGAGGACTTGGGACGCCGGTTGAAAATATAGGGCACTTGCGGCTTTGCGCTGTGGCTTCTGTCAATAGCGCCCTAGAGTTAAGCGGATTGAAAGAAAGAAGATGGATAATGAGCTAGGCGATAATAAGTGGAAGGGAAGATGCAACCCGCAGAAATGTAAGCTTCAGCCTGTCGCCATGGTCACTCTCAATACAGCGTTATGGCTCTTTGTTTCCGCTCGTCTTCCCCTCTGCCCAATGCTTCTGTTCTTCAATCGACTCTGCTTTGGTCGGGGTTTGAAATTTGCGGCTCTGCTTCTGCTACTGCTAGGGGAAGTGCTGCTGCCTAGAGGAAAATGCCAAGCGACTTTATAGTGTTGTCGTAAGACTGGGCTGGAGAATGACGCGTGCGTGCGTGCAAACGATTACGGTGAACTGTGGGTTCGTTGTATGGTCCCAGCGCCTGGCAAAGCAATCCGAAGATGGCAAGGTAGACAATATACAGAGAAGCAAAAAGGTTGCGCGGAAAAGAACGCACGTTTTGGTAAAGGCGGCAAAGATGGAAGGTGCCTCTGTCTCTTCGCCAAATCGACCACCTTCGGGCAGTACGGATACGGACGGAAAGGAGGGGGCCGGAGGACAGAGTAGCTAACTGGACGGGGCTCTTGGGAGGGGCGGTGCAGGCAGGTGGGGTCCTATTTTTGGCCGTATGCAATAAATTGCTCGCTGCCCGCGAAGTAAAGCGCTTTGTCAGCTGCCAGATCGCATATCGCAATGTGGGCCGTTTTTGTATTCAACATTATGGGAAAATGCTATTACATACCAGGCCGAACCATTCTGAGGGAGCATGAGACAAGATGCGTGCAATACCTGTGGGTCTGGGGAGGGCCTCCTCTGTGAGTACTCCGTAGCTTGGCACGGCAATTCCATGCGCAACCTGTCGGAATTACATACAGTACTCCGTAGTATCGTGTTATTTGACGATAACGAGTGGGTACACACATATCTTGTCAAAAGCATGTCCGTTCTAAGCACGGGATGGTCTGTACGAGTACAATCAGTATGTCGGTAGTGATCGCACAATCTGACGCACTAAAATGAAGAAGACGAGCCAAAGCGACAGAACGAAGCTGAGAAAAAACGGTGTGCGGCCTTTTTGGCGTCTTGGACAGTTGTTAGCGGCAGTACTTGAATATTTAGCGGGTCGACACCGCCCCGGCAAAGTATGTTATCAAGCACGCGCGATGAGGAGGTTTCGGGGCGATTGAGTCGTAGCTTGAAACTCGATACTGTACGGAGTACGGAGTACTCCGTATGTATGTAAGAATATACGACGTACGAGCACGGAGTATGGAGTAATACATATCTTGCAATTTCGTGGCCTTATCTTATCCAGATGCTGGTTGGCACACGTGATGCGCTGCCCCTTTCCTAAATGGTAAACACGACCCCTGTGCTTCCGATTTGTATCTCGCCAACATTGGCCAGGACGCGTTCCGGCACCACTTGATGTTGCAGGCTTTAAGAGATGTCGAGGCTGCGACGTTGGCTCCTCTCAGAACCTATGCGCACAAAGCTTATTATTATGTAAAATACGCAAATTCTGCACTCCGTATCTTTCTATGCGGGGCCGGAGCAGAACTTGCGACTTGGACAACACCAGCAAGATGCGGAAAATCAATCAAGCCTTGTTGAAAAACAGCTAATATAAGCCCGTCATAAAAGTGTAAGCAAAATATGTGCGCAGAAGCAGTCGTAACAATCAACCATGCAGAGACTTGACACAATCACTTCAATCCCACAAACACTGCTCCCGGCCTTCCTGCCTCCTCCAGGCGGACAAACGCAATAATCAACCCGACGTACTTATATATCACGTACACACTCAAGATATACCATTGCCCGCCACCATCCGTCGCCTTCCAAGATACCAATAAACGCCGATCTCAAACCAGAAGGGGGTACCATCACACGTAACTATAAAAACAACCTGTGCAGCAGACAACATTTGCGCTCACGAAAAGAAACAAAAAAGAACAGGGTATGGAGCAGATCATGCCGACTCAGTAGACTTTTCCTTCTTCGACGCAGCCTTCTTCGGTGCCGCAGCCTTCTTGGCAACGGGCTTGGAGACGCGGCCTGACTTCGTCGCCGGCTTGGCCTTTGGCTTCTCGGCGGCTGGAGCAGGAGCGGGAGCGGGTGCAGCAACAGCAGCAGCCTAGAGATGTGTTAGAATAAAGGGCCGCAAGTATGGGGTGAGATGCACTAAAACAAGGTCAACGTGCCTTCTTCTGGGCAGCCTTCTTGACCTCCTTCTTCGGGGCAGCCTTCTTGGGAGCGGGCACCTCCTTCTTGGCGGCAGCCTTCTTGGGAGGGGTAGCCTCCTTCTTAGGGGGGGCGGGCTTCTTGACCTCCTTCTTGGCAACGGGCTTCTTCACCTTGTCGGCCTCCTTCTTCGGGGCTGGCTTGGCAGCCTTCTTGGCAAGCTTGGTGCCGCCTGAAGCGCCCTTCGGCTGCTCGAAAACGCCCTTCTCAACGCCGGCCCGCAGCGCCTTGTTGAACAGGGAATCGAACATAGTGTCCGTAACGGACAGGCTGTTGTTCGCCTTGACATACTTCTTCAGCGATTGCCGGCTGGCGGTCGAGTTAGTCTACTGAATGAAGATTGAGAGGGAAGCGCAGCCGGCGCGACGGCGACTTACCTTGATCCGTTGCGGTCCTTGAGCTGATCCGTTGCGGTTGCGTTAGCGAATGCTGCGGTCAAATGGAGGCTAGGCTGGGAACAAAGCGCGCGGGGGAGCCACAGCAGACAAAAAATCCGTCGCAAAAAAGAGACAAGCTTGCGCCATGACATGCAGACAGAAAATGGGCAAAGGTGACTATACGCTGCAAAGAATGGTGCGTATTTACCGAGACAATAGCATCCGTAATCATATCCTGCGACGAGAGTTAGCGCAAAATCCACATTGCGACAGTGCAAATTAAATCGTGTCGCGGTATCATTGAGCGCGGCGACAAACCTGGTACGAGGCATGGGCAGCCTTCGCCTTGGCCGCGGCGGTTTCAGTCTTCTTCGGAGGCATTTTGCTGATGTGGTGTGGGTGAATGAAATGTTGGGACGTTGCGAGAAGCGTGGGCGCGACGGGATTCTTGGATAGTGGGAGCTTGCGCGGTGTAATAGAATAAGTTTTGAAAGGGTGTGAATGATGTTCAATCCAAAGCTGTTGAAGAACGAGAGGAGAGGAGAAGAGAAGGAAGAGAGACCGGAAAGAGAAGCAACGGGGGGAGGGAGAGGGCAGCTGCGCGCCTGCCGGGCGACTTGTTTATATATGAGAGCGGGGGTCGCGGCGCAATCAGTAAGTGCGTGCGGTCGCAGCATTCTTTTTATTATTAAAACGGGTAAGAGCGAAAAATATTAAGAGAATAATAATAAAATCACACGCCTCGTTAGCGGCGGTTGGGCTGCGTGTTATTTTTAGTGGGGATGCGTGGACAGCACATGAGGCACAGAACAAAGACCGGGAAGAGAAGGCGACGAGACGAGGGACCGACACCATACACCCATAGCCAAGTGGCCCAGGCGCTGCAGCGAAATCAGGACTGGGTATCAAATCAACCCCTTCTCGTAGCGCCCCGATGTAAGATCAATGGCAGATTGCCCGACACGGCTAATGGAGATCCTGCCTGCACGCAGTCATCACAGGGCGTCTTGATAGTTGGTCTTCTGGCAAGTCTTCGCGTTGTGTGGAGGTACACTCGCCAGCAGGCACTGCCATCCTCCTACTCCGTATGTATGCTTTGATAAATCCGCAGGATACGGAAGAGCTCTCCAGCCAGCGCCTCCCTCCTTGCATAGTGTTTCACGTCTCGTGACACCCCGGTTTTGTTCCACGGGCCGTTATCACTGGATGGTTCCTTTCACGTGCACGCGTACTGGTATGTGTCTTACGCAGTGCATTCGCGCACTTTTAATCTCTTGAATGGGTATCTGTAAGATATAGGTGTTGGTGCTGCTCTCTCCGGTCAGGAAGTCATGTATGTGATCGGAAAGGTGAGCACCGGCCACCCCCTCCCAGGGGGTACCACGTCTCCTGATTCGTCTCGCCGATCTAACCTATCTTACATACTCCGTATTATCTTACTTATATGCGCACAGCCACCTGTGGCACCTAGAACCACAACCACCAACACTAACTAGCGCTCCAATATGACTAGTGGCCGATAGCAAAGACGGCAACACAACAGCTTTGGTGGGCAGGTGTTGCTTTCTATCTGGCTGCTTCCTGATTGCGGCTGTCAAGCATTCTTTTCTAAAGAGAAAAAATACTCCACCCATCGTTTTGCCTTCTTTCCGCTGTTCTTTTTTATGATTGGCCGCCCAACCAGAATTGAACAAATAACAAAAACAAAGGACATCTTCGAGCGGATCTTGCGTCCTTCCCCTCTCCTCTTACGAATAGAAAGACTTCTCCTTTTCTTTCTTTATGTTAACACCCCTTATTTCTTGCGCCTGGCCTTGTTCCTAAACTGTCCTTTCTTTTTATTTTCCGGACCTTGTCATTTCGTATTGCGCATTGTCGCTTCACGTTCGGACTCGTATCCAGGCTGCAGCGCAGCAGTATGTAAGATACTATGTATGTCATTACGTCTATGTACATATGTATCTTATCTTACGGGTAGGCAACCCTGCTTCAATCTTGTCGCAGGATGTGGGCACGAAAATCGGGGTCGCGCCGTTATGAAGTGCACGTTCCCAGCGTTAGTTATTATTTGAGTGGGGCAACCAAAATCTAACATCGTTTAATACGGAATGTCCCAAGCTTGTTAATCCGGCAAGCCGCATCTTGCTCCGCAGTACAGAGTATTACAGTTGTATGTTTTGCTTTATGGAATGCATATCGCTTCTTTTACATATACTAGTGGTTGCGCACAATCTATAAGCCCTCTCGGGATTTACAGTGTTACTAAGTATCTTATTATGACAAGATGGGTTTTGACCATTGTAACGCATTGACTCGTTCCAAAAGGGTTGCCCGTTTGTTTGATGCAGTACGGAGTAGTCGATTCGCATTGGACTTCCTACACCCGAGTTAGTAGTGGTGGGGCTTTGTCTTAATGGCCAAGTTGCGACATATGTAGACCACTTTTTGATACTGGAAAAATACTCACAATCTTCATACACCTAGACCTATAATTTGTCCACACAACCATATATTCTTGAAATATAACTCTACAAGACAAAAAGCAAGCCGTATTTATTTGAGGGTTAAGTATGTATCGTTGGGTTATCAAGGCAATCTCGACTTGAACATCTAGTACAAATTGGTTGTTGATGTGATACCAGATAAAACAACGGCAGTATCAAGTAACAACTTTTGCAACAGGGTCTGAAGTAACCGAACAAAACATCTAAATTGTTACAGTTAGGCTCCCACTTTACTTCCTACATGATTCTTAAGGATATCTCAAGTTCCAAGAAAAACCCCATGTTAGCCTTTCCCATCAACATATTATAGATAATGCTGTCAACAACGTGACATTCTTCTCTGATAGGAAGAGCTCACTCACCCAGCACACGCGATAGTACTCAGACTGCAAGCCGTGCTTTCCTTACACCTACTTTCTTCCCAGAAACAAGCCAGAATACGACCAGGCAGATGCAGCACTGTACCTATCATTATCAAACTACCAACGCATCATTCAACAGCACCACGTCGGCCATCTTGGTTTAGTATCTACAGATCACATAATATGTCTTGCGAAGAGAACGAATTTAAGCGAATAATCGCCTTCCCAACTTGATATTCCACGACTTTTCATAGGGATATAAACCATCCAGCGCGCCGCCCATCCCCCAAAAGGAGAAAGTCCTAAAGCCCAATCACTAATCCTTCCCATATGCAGAAAACAAACCCTTTGTCCCTGAATCCATACACGAACGGACGCTGGTCTTCCCGCCCCCCTCGGATTCAGCTGGAAGAAAATACAGCAAGCCCACACTCTATCAAGACTCCGCCGCATAATGAAGCACCATGACAACAATAGAATTACAGCTTACATCGACATATATGACCGGGCCCCCTTAAATGCAAAACTTTCTGTCTAGCCTTGACAAGGCGCGTGTGTCTTCGCCTGATGGCGCGGGCTGCAAGAACTGCTGGGGCACCATTGCAAGTGGGGCACCGTTTCCGGCACTGCCGGCGCCCGGCCCGCCTGCGCTCGGTGACGGCGCGGCAACCGAAGGAGGGAATCCCAGATGCCGCGGCGAGCTGCCAGCGCTGTTGGTGTTGGCAGCGTGAGCGACGGCAGCCTCTGACGATGACTGCGTTGGGTGCAGCAGCGCTGACAAGCTGGCCTTATTGCTACCATTGGCACCACATGAGGCGCCATTCGTGTAAGTAACCGGGTATGAGTGCCCGTTCGTTGGTGATGGAGAGAGCCGCCGAGGAGACGACTGGGTTGGTGGCAGACTGCTGGCTGGTGCAGCAATTGTCGAGGAAAGCGCCGGCAGCGACAGCGACACTGGAGGAAGGTTGGTCCTGGACCCAGGGGGTGCACCGTATGAAGATGCAGCGGTATTCGCCGATGCCGCAGCGGACGATGCAGACGACGACGCGGAAGACGCGGAAGACGCAGACGAGACCGGAGGGAGCGCCGGCAACGATTGGCGATAGAGCGATCCAGGGGACCTCGACAGATGGTGGAGATGGCTTCCACTGCCTGGTCCCATCGGTGACTGCTGGCCATACGAAGGCGTTGCCCGCGAGATGCCCGGACCGGAGGCTTGTGGTGGCGGCAGGGGCATGCGGTGATCATACTGCGGCGGTGGGTTGCTGTAAGGTGGGAGGGAATGTGAGAGCGGCGCCTGTTGGTGGGCGGTGTAGTAGGTTGAGGGCGGAGGTGGTGGTGGCGTACGAGAGTGTTGCTGGCCCTGGTGCTGAGGCTGATGAGACTGCTGCTGTTGGTATGGGGCGGAGGCTGGGGAGTAGTGACTGTAAGGTGGCGTGGCAATGGGCGAGGGTGGCCAGGAGTAGCCTTGCTGGCCGTACGGCTGATACGGCTGGTGGTGGCCGGGACCCAGCTGTTGAGGCGGCCCACTGTATGGCGGCAGTGCGTGGTAGTGGTGCTGCGGAGGCTGCTGGTTCATGGGCACCCGCGCAACGGCGGGGATGGGCGTGTTGTCACTCATACTCGACTCCGGATACATTCCCTTGACGGGAATGACGCTGCGCAGAGTGAGATCGGTAGTTGGATGGGGCAGATCGGGCTCGCCAGGTGCTGGCCGGGCGTAGTATGAGATCAAATGCAGATGCTGGCCATTGGATGTGGTGATGCTAAACGACTGCTTCATCAGACCATCGGCTTTGTAGCGATAACCGTCGGGTTCTCCGTCGTCCTGATCCTCGTCGCTTCCACGGCCGGACGAGTCGGGCGTCTTGCCGCTCACGCGCCGCATGGTGTTGAACCCACTCCCTCGTTTGCCTTCCATCTCACGGTAGGTCAAGAAGCTGCCAGAGACGCGGCTGGCACTCCACGATTTGCCGTCGGTCCATCGCCGCATGCCCGCTTCCCGCTCGTCCCATACGAAGACCGAGCCGGATCTGATGGCCTGGCGTTCCTTTTCCGACAACCTCCGCTGCACACGCGGAAGGAGGCCTAATCTACAGGCCTCAAATAGCTTGATTGCATCCGCTGGGGTCCGTACAATGCCATGGTACGTCTCCATGGGGTGTTTCTGTGCAGCCATTTTTGGCGTTAATGGGTGGGCGACTGCCCGTTTGAGAACTGTTTGTGTGCTCTCCCGTTGTCTCTGCTCACTCCCAGTGGACAGGCTGTTCATCCGAGTGAAAGCAGGTCTGATTGATGTGTTTGGGGACTGATGTCCTCCCGAGTTGTTGGCGTCACCTTCGTAGTTGTGCTGGAAGCTATCGCACCATTCGGTTATCCGCAGGACGTCAGAGATGAGGGAGATAGCGCAGACGTTGTATTGGTCCCTTTCCTTCGTTGCAAACACAGCTAACAAATGAAATCCAGGCTGAGTTAAAAGGCTGGTTGGGGATAGGTGCACGATGCCAACGCTATAAGCTTGATTACTACGGCACGGTGGCCACGCGGCTGGCAAATAGAGGGACCGAGGAGCAGAGTGTTGCGTGGCGTGCCAAGACAATAAACCCGGCTCGATGATCGACGGGCAGTTCCTGGCGTCAGGCTTAAGAAGGGCAACCGCAGACGAGGCGAAATAGGCGCAGGCAAGCTGAAACGCAGTTGTAGAGGTCTGGGCGGACAGTGGAATGGTGTGGAGTGTTCGCAAGAGGTGTGGCATCAGCTTGATGACGTTAGCTTTTCCCTTTCTCGTAAAGTTTTCTCTGTACGGAGTAAACGTGAGAGCGAAGATGCTCAGGAACGATCTGAAACGCAAGTCAAGGTGTGGGAAAGAACGGAGATTCTAGGGACATTTAAACGACGTTAACCGATGCGCAAGGGGAATGGAGGCAACCATAACAAAGTACGGAGTACCGGGCCGTGGAATATCTCCATGACTGCGTTGGTCTGACAATGTTCATTCGGGGAGTGGGCCCGTCCCGCAGGTGGGCGAAACGCGGAGACTTCGAGACGAGCAAGGGGAGGGGGTTAAAGACGAGGGCCGCGCACGCAAGAGGGCCCCTCTCATAAGCTCGAGCGCTTTGAGTAGACTAAGGAGGACAGACTATCCTACCCAGTGCCGCAAGATGATATGCACGGACATACAGATAGGGGAAGGGGGAAAGGGCAGAATAATTTCGTCCGGAGAACAGAGCCAATAACGGCCGTAGGCCTTGGTGATGAAGCTTCCAGAGGGCTCTCGTGAGCAACTGATATACCCAGGAGTATAGCGTTGCATCGTCGGCTGGATCCGACAGGACGAGAAGCCGTCACGAAGTAGTTGGTCTCAGTCTGGGGCCACCATCACAGGTCCCAGCAAGTTCGATCCGATTGCCAGATCCCCGATACACACCGAGCTCAGCATACCGCTGCTGAGGCTGTCCGGGGCCGACACTGTCCCGTGTCCTGCAGCGGTTACTGCTGTCGTCGTTGCTTTGTTTCATTGATGCAGATCCTGCCTCTCGCCCTGTCGTTCCCGAGTTCAAGGGCAATATGATCGGGCCATACGTCGTAGATGGTGGCGGCCGGTGTTGGCTTGAAGTCCCGGTTGACAGGCAAGACAGACACCCCACCCCTTCACCTCTGGAAGAGGGTCGAGTTTACGACTGCTTGTGGACCATGCTCAATTCAATGGCGCCTTGTCCTTGTTGAAGAAAGAGCTGTTCTGGACCGATCTCCGTTCGTGGAATCCGTCGCCCGTATGTGCGCGCTTAGGTAAAGGAAAAAAGGCAGAGCGGGCAACGCGAAGCAAAAAGAGACAGAAAGAGAGACAAAAAGAATCGTGACAAAGAACAACGTTCGTATACGTACCTCGCAAAGGGCAACAGTGATTACAAGACTGCTTGAAAACAAAATACGGGATGCCGAGTGAGCCGAGGTGGGCGATGCAAAAGACGACGTTTTTAGCAAGACGAGGGTGGCGCTGACGGGCGACGATGAACGATGGCAAAGACCGCAATACAGGATATGAGAAGAAAATGAGAAACAGGAGGAAGAGAGCTGACGAAGGATAGCCTAGGCAAGGTTCGATGAATGTCGTTGCCGGATAGGGCAGGGAGAGACGAATATAGTTCGACTAGCTATTTCATTTCTTTTTCTGCATTTTCGCTTCCCTTCTTCCCTTTTTCCCTTTTCCCTGCTCTGGTTGTGCTCCGTTGACGTCTTTACCCTGGGCTTGGCAGACTTGGTAGAGGGCAGATGCGATAGCAGGGAGTGGAGGCCGTTCTTGGTTGTACTTTGTATCTGACTCCTCTTTTTCTTTTCCTTTTTTTCTTCTCTCTTCTTTGGTGTCTCTCGTGCTTCGTGGAAAAGCGGCAAGAAGTGGGACAATCTTGGCAAGTTGTGGTGTGGATGTATAACAATGGTTGTTTTCTGATACCGACGTCGTAAGTGCACAGCACTCCGTTTGCCGCTGGGGGGTGATAACCTGTGAAATAACGGGCGATTTTGGGGGGTTGCGGCGTTCGACTGGCAAACATTAAACAATCTCGTAGTAGATATCTGACAAGCCACGCGTAATTGTGGTTCTCCTGTCTCTATACCGTAAGCGCCAGGCTTATTTTGCGGTTGCTTCGTACTTTGTAGGCCTATGGTCTCTTTGTGGGGAGTGAGAAAAATAGAAAGGGCGTGTGAAAGACAGAGTGGAAGGGGCGTGCCGAAGAAGGACCCACACTCTCATCATTAAAAAAATGCTGCCAAAAAAGGTTTGCTCCCCACTATACAGCAGGCTAGCGAGCCGCTATAACGGTGGGCCTACTGGAAGAGTATGAGCAACTATTAAGTACGCACACGAGTACGAGAAGGACACTCCGTACTCCGTACATACTACGGAGTATGTTGCCAAGTATCTGTACGACGTACACAGCTCGACGTAGGCTCCGCAAGGTTGTGCTTCTTATGCACCCCCCAATCTGCCAAGCAATGGCCAAGGCTGCGCATCGCAGGAGGGGAAAATTATGCCTATCGCACCGAAATGAACGAGTCAGACAGAGCTGTCTTCAGATGGCTGACAGTGTGAGGCTACGCTCACGGATCAGACGGGAAGAAAAGCTAGCGGGTTGCGTAAGATGCAAGTAAGCTTCTTTGCTTGCTATGATAATGCACGGGCAGGCCTATATGTGGTGAGAGCATGCACAGGTATGACAGGGCTCCTACATGCGAGTACGGAGAAGTAATACTCCGTATGTACGGAGTATGGAGTGGAATTATGACCGGTATCAAGCCGGCTATCTTGCTGCTCCGAACAGACGCCGTGTTTAACATGAGACGTAAGAGATAATGTTAACCGTCCCCAAGAGACGGCGTTCTTGGGGACAGATATGTTCCGGACATGTCCTACTAACCTGTACGATGGAGACTAGGCCCTGATCTGCAGTGATTTTGGGAAAAACACGGGCGATGCCAATGCCATAGTATGTAATGCCATGACAATGCCTGGTCAAGGCAAACATTTCTCGTATTTAACGCTGTTTTCAACAGGTACTCATACTATGTAGAAACTGACAGAGTACTTCCGTGTTACGGCCGGAAGCCACGGACTTACTTTTAATAATTTTACGAGTAATACCCCACGAACTCGTATGCATGTACACGAGTACTCGCACCAGCAAATGGATTAATTAGACTATTCGCACTGCTCTAATTTGCCTGCCTGTACTCCAAACTCCGTACGTACTATGTACGCAGCCCAGCTCCACAAGGGCCAGGCTGCTGGGGTCAACTTGGCGAGCTGCCTGCTTTCGGCCTCTTGCCATAGTTGTGTGGACCTAGCAAATTTCAAGCTTAATTTTTCCGAAGAGGGTCCCAGCAATCGACCGCTTGCCGATGATGGTTGCGTGGCCCCCTATTGGGGGGGGGGGTCTTTTCATTTGGCTCCATTTTTACTTTTCAGTGCCAATATTTCCAAAGATACATACGTCGTAGTAGATGCGAGCCTGCCCGGATCGCTGTCCTCTACTCCGTATGAAGTATACAATTATAAGGTAGATAATATACTATTTTGTTTTGCAGTCCACTGTTGTGTCTTACCTCTGCTCCATTTGTTCAGGGAAATGGCGCCATTAATAATCCACCCCAAGATCATCCTTCATCCTTCGGCTATCTTGGGAGAATTTCCAATATCTGAGTCAACCTGTGCACGATTTATGTCTACTTCCCCTTGTGCTACTTCTTTGTCTCCTTTCTTTTTTTCCTTTTCTCGTGGTTTACGGCATAGACGAGATGAACAGGGCACTCGTATTCCCGGCATGCTTTGTCCAGCCCTAACGGGTCCGTAACCATGGTCAAAGATGACAGTCGTTCCGTATTCCTGCTTCGTAATGCTTATGTGGACACCACCCACCGAAGACGGGCTAACCAGAAGTGGAGAGTGCACACCAATTTTTGCATGAGCGCAAAATTGGTCAGTGGCACAAGACTTTGCACGCCCAGCGGACCGAGCAGGTTGAATGTAAGTTATGTATAGAGATAGTGTATTAGAGCCAATCCTCGCACACCCATACGAGCGCGACACCGATGCTTCGATATTGCAGAGTTTTCTCATCATATTATAGGGAGATATACAGACCTCCGAGTTTTGTCGCAACCGTGTGCATTGCTAATCAGAATCGTATTCGCAAGATATGCCAACATTCTCGGTTATGTTCTGTAATCGTATGCCGGCTTGCACGAACATGCCGGCCTCTCATTCTGAAACATTTATCCCTGGCTATCATAAGGAGTATTAATATTTTGTATTGTACGGAGTATTTCCCAGAGGGCAGGCTTGGCAAGCGCAACTGAAGCGGTGCTGTTGCAACAACCTACACCCTTCCTACAAAAACCGTGCTGCTTCTTGTAGACAACGTCGTACTCCGAAGAGTTTCAGTGCCGGCATTATTTAGACTTTTGTGGGGTCGCGTAAAGAATAGCAAAGAAGGGGTGCGATACCCAAGCGTCCTCGAATTTTAGCCTCATACCAGCCACAGCCGGTCAAAGCATGTGCGAATTTCTATCTTACTATCCGTATGTGCAATGTCTTACTACGTAGCTACTCCGTATGCGACAACACCGCTCAACTCTGCTTGCACCACTGGTGGGACAGTACCTTTACAAGTACCGAGGAGG